AATGGTCCTTGGTAACTTAAAAGCAATGGTACCAACTGATGTAAGCAACCACGTCTTAAATGAACAGGCCTGCATCTTACTTTCAAAATAACATCATTAATATAAACCATCTTACCGTTTGGGTGAAACATCTTGGAAATAAATTTCACTATTGGAGGCTTGTTGGGGTATTCTTCAGTAAATTCCATTGTTAATCTAAATGTACCTTTAGGAAAAATAAGATAGGTATCACTGAATCATGGACAAATCCCCTCAAATGGATCACAAATTGCTTTGGGGAAACATAATAAAATCCACCTATAAAATATGATAAAAATATGCAAAACACGCAAATATATATAGGCAAACATATATATAATAGAAGATAGGCTAGAAATGAGACATGTTCTCTTTTACTCCAAGTTTCGTGCTTGCGCACTCATCAGACAGACTATAATGACAAATATTCCTGCTACCACGGTATGAATATACAAAAGGTGTGATAAAGTTTGACAAAGGAAATTGTATTAGATAGAGGTTACATACCTTCCTCAAAAGGGGTCTCTTCTGGTCTATAAAAAAATTTTTACAAGATATTATTATATTGACATGACATTTTTTTAGCAAACTTTTCAGCAATTATAAGACAGGAAAAATGTTTAAACACAATGAATTGATAAACATGCACAAAAATTACACACATTAGAAATAAAGATTATAGAAATCTATGGGAGCAGATATTCACTCTTATCAAGCTACTCTTACTTGGCACCAAATTATAAGTTAATAGTAAAGGAAAAATTAATAAAAACATTAGAAAGAAACCAATAAGAATATCAATTACCCAAAAATAACTGCATTCCAAAGCATAATGTTGTTTTCTGTAGGGGCTCCACTGACACCAGCAGGGGGATCTTCTTGAAGTCTTGAAATAAATAACAAAATCAATACAGCAATACATTCCAATATCTGCACTTCTTAGGACGCTCAGTGCTCAGGCTGTCAAAGTACAAGTAGCAGCAAACAAGCAGTGGGGATTATACTTAATTTGCTTCTATCTATCTTGCATCTGAAGTTTGACTTCAAAGCATTTGAAAGCTAATACCTAGAATTTATCAGAACTGGTGACTTTGTCAAGATTTCTGGTTTGGTAGGAAGTGAATCCAAAGAGCAATACTTAAAGACCCACCATTTTTTCCCACCAATAGCATTCCAAAAAAAGCAAGTTTGCAGACTATGGCAGATGCATGCACATTTCACTTTAATCATGCATGTGAAAATAAAGCATGCATATAAAGCAGAATTTACAATAGTACTATTATGAAGAAACTACACTCCCCTCACAAAAGTACCCAGGGACAGTTTGATGATTGATTGTGCTTTCAGACAAAAACAAATTTAGGCTGGCGAAAACGACTTTTTAACTTTGTGATAATATTTTTTTGAGAAACCCTTCCAAAATAAACCAGAACATTAAAATGATGCAAAACATGCAGAAATTGATTAAAATTTTTTCATGAAAACTGACATTGTAAACAAATTTCTCTAACAACAGATTCGCAACTGAATTCGAAACTGTCCGGATACTTTCAGGAGGGGAGTGTATTATGCAAGCCATATGATTGATGAAAGGAGTTTTGCTCAGGGGAAAACTTGGCTGAAATGATTTCAATTGAATTTCAATTTCAATTTCATGTGTATTCACAGCTTAATTACAATATACTGATCTAGTCAAACAATTTATCAAGATACAATTCCAGTTATACTTCAATACATACAAGGTTAAGATATTTAAAATAATTATTTGTATCTATAAAGTTATAGCTGAATGACACATGGAAATAACCCATAGGGGCTTTCGAGCCATCTTATGTGAATTTTGCCTGAAGTAATTATAAATCAATACACAATATTAATAAACAACAATAACATTGTGTTTATTAATATTGTGTAAACTTGAGATCTTGCATAGAGCTCCAAAGCTCTGGGGTTCTCCCTTGTCATCTGGGGTCCTTCCATATACTTTTCATAATTACTCGTTTGTATCATTTAAGGCTCGACGTCCCTACTGCTTACAGTATACATGGATGAAGAAATAGACCTTTGTGAGCTTCATCTGTCAATTTCACTTTTCAACATGACTGAATTGCAAGTGAACTTTAACGAATTAAATTGAAATCCTTCAGTCGAAAGAAAGTTTCAGAAACAGCCCCTCAACAATTTCTCAGCGACGTAGACACTATTTGAGACTGAAGAGATACAGGTATAGCACAATAAAAATGGCGGATTGTTTCCGCTAATTTAGATTTGATTACATTTGCACTTCTGTGCTGAATCGAACTATTATAGTAGAAAAATGGCGTGGAACATACCGTTTGAAGTCCCTCATAAGACGTCTTCTAGCTGGAGTGGACATTGTGCTCTAAAAAAGAACCCTGATTTTCACTTTGTCAGCCCGCAACTCGCAGGCTTCTATTCGGCTTTAGGTCACTGTTTCATGGGCTGCTTCTTTCTTGAACAATTCTATTTTGCTGCTTACTGCAGAACAGACCTTGATGTACGAAATACAACACGTTTAAAATGGCCTTCTTGAGTTTGTTACTACTTTAAATGTTATGTTTAGCGTGTATGTATTTATATTTCACGGTAAATTCCTGCCGCAGTACTGCCTGTCCTAACTTTTTCGATGTGAAGTAATCATGAGAGCTGGGCAGTAATGATGACGCAATAGCCTCATTTTCAAAAACTATGACAACAATCAACAATCATAGCATTTGTGAGGGGACAAAATACCCTACCTGTAATAGTATTGAGTTTTGATTCAGAAAAAGCTAAAATTGAAAATGAATTTTTGATAATAAATTTTTGATTTTTTATCTGGTATCAATATTATACGTGACCTTCAAATAATCTTTAAAGTTCAATAATTTAGTAGTTGGCATTTAGATACCCAAGCCGGAGGTGTGCCATGGCAGAATACGCCTTACGCTCATTAAGCCTGATTTAAGGCTGATTTCCACTAGGCGAATTCTTTCGCGCGAATCGAATTTTTGCCAATGTAAGCATGCGTGGTGTCATGTTCTCAGATTTCGCAGCGAAAAATATGCGCAGAAGTAGAAAATTGGCCGCGAATTGGCAGTGAATAATTCGCTGCGAAAAAGTAGAAACCATTCCTACTTTTTCGCTGCGAATTTTTTCGCCTTGTAAAATAAACCAATCAGAACAGCATTTGAAGACACCTGATTTCTGTTTTGGTTTCAGAAGGCCTACGTCTTTCCGCATTCTTTTTCTCAAACACTCTCGCCTATCCTGTTCTTCGTACACAATCCATGTAAGTGGATTCATATCAGATTATTTTTCAAACATTTGAAGTTCAAATTGACGAAAGCTGGCTTGAAAGTTTTATCGTTCTACCAATATGTCAGAAATAAAAAAATAGGCAAGAATTTCTTCAAATTGCTGAATTGTTGGCCTGCTCAACAGCAACAGTTTTAAGCAGATGCACTAACAGGATCTCGCATGCTCTTGCAAGCTTCGATGGCGACCTTTGAAGGTATTTGAAGAAGTTATCCTGGTCTTATAAATGTAAACGTAAATCTCTTTTACCGAAAGATGGAATTCCCCATTCTGAAGACGTTCTGAATAAATTTTTCTAATCCAGTATCGCTTTTTTGCTGCTTTGCTTGCTTTTTTGATAAATTTAAAATTTAAACCTATCTGATAACAGCAATCTTCGGACAGTCGCTATATTCTTTTGTAATGCTCGCAGAGAATTCGCATAAAAACTTCTGCCAGTGTGAATTGAACATCGAATTCGAGAGAAAAATTCGCAGCTAAAAAATTCGTGGAGAAAAATTCGCTTCGCGCGAAAAATTCGTCTCGTGTAAATCAGGCTTTATAAACTCAATTAGTAATATCAATGTTTTATAAGAAACGGCTTCTAAGATGCTCAGCGTGGAAAAAGTAGAAAAAATTTACGTCATTGTTCCAAAATTAATCATTCACACACCGATAAGGAACTTCACACCACCGGGCCTAATTAGATGAAATGAGAATCCCAGGCTTAAGGGATAAACCGCCTAAAATTTTGGCTTTCAGGCCTATCTTTCTGAGAAAAGCAGTGAATCTTATCAATGTTCAAAAGAAAACCTTCTTTGAAAGCTAGATTCTGATAGAAGACAACCAACCAAAGAAATAAATACAGAGTTGAAGGATAATTTTTTACCAAAAACTTTAAATCGTTTAATAAACCAACGGTTTGAATCTATTAAAAAATAATACATTCTCCAATTAAACTAAACGAGCAAAAATATGAGACTATTTCGGAATTCTAAAAAGACCCATAAAAATGTATCAATATTACTTGACAAAAAATCCTACAAAAGTGGGGGGATAATGGCTAAAATTTAAAATTTAACACCATCATGTTTGGACCATTATGTTTGGAACAGCATACTAGAAAATATTTTGCTTTAGATACGGCCCAAAGTTATGCGCAAATAATGTCTGCGAGCAATGAAGAAAAATTGAAAATTAACACAGAGACGATTTCAGGCGGATATTTAACCAAACACAAGACAAAGAGCAAATATCGTATTTTTACCATGTTAGGGGTACGTAAACAGAACAAGTTTTTAAATGTGAAACCTTCGTTGAAAAAGAAACAGCTACTTAATAAGATAACCGTAATCTAAGTCATGAATCTAAATATATATGTATAAACCAAATACTTATAATTTCGTTTAAAACATCTGGTCTTTTGAAATTTCAAAGCAAAATATTTTCTGCTACCATTTTTGCTAGTCGTCGCTTAAAAAGAAGCATACCATGAATATCTACGAAACGAGAATCGAAAAAATAATTTTCTCAATAGCAGCATGTTACCAAAGTAGAAACCATATTTCTTATGCATTGTGTATCAAAAATTACAAATGAGTACGGCACAACCAGGTCAAGTACGAAAACCCGTCTCCACAATTTGGAAAAAATACAGAAATAATTATATTATGTAGGATTACTCCCCCATAAAATTCCTGCAATTTGATGTCTTTTAAGCTTGTCAGTTAACATAATACTTGACAACTATGTTTGACAACGTTTCTCCTTAGAAGTGACAACAAAAGTATAGGGTCCCTCTATAACCCCTTAATATCTTCATAATGTCTATATACGAATACAATACTAGTCACAATACAAGTCACAATACTAAAATAATTCTTCACATATAGAGCAACATGAAGTTTAAAAAATTACCCGACCGTCGCTAACCGACACATTCCTTTCAAAAGAGACTTTTTGCAGTGTATATAAAGGTCTTGCAAAATGTGGTCCGCCAGTATCCTAATGTCAATTATGAGGAAAATTCATCATGGTCCGGAAATACTAGCCTAACTTAAACAAGAACAGTAGAAGCATGCATAAACAATCAAGCCTATTACCAATTGATACAATAATGGCTACAACAACTGCACGTCATCATAACAGCCATTGTGCTTTTGTACAGTTATAACATTACATCCAATGTTTTACATGGAAATAAGCTGAGGCGGTTAGAAGCACGCATTCTAATGGATTGCATGAAAATTGTGCAACATATCTACGTTGATTTATGCAACGGTTGTCAAGGACAGCAATCGATCCATCGATTGATACAAGCAATCAAATTCAAAATATCACAAATGGCTTCCCTCTTGAACGGAAATTATGGTACGAGCCTCTACTAGACACTACAAAAGTTCAATCTAATACCGTATATTATATTAATTTATTAACGAATTCTTTTTAAAGATTGTCTCTTAATTTGCAGCTCCATTTGGACTTGCTTTGACGAGCCTTGTTCTCCCAGAACTGTCGACTGCAAACATAAGGAGGGATAAACTAAAATTACTATTGCTCATAAAGACTCACAACACATTACATTTCAAACATGGCATAAATTTGAATTTGTAGGGCAATCACTTTTTTCATAAGTAAATTCGTTACCGTAATTTGATCGTCAGTGAACAACAAAATAAACAAATGCGATTGTAAGTCTTAAAAGAAATTTTTACTTTAACTGTCAGGCACTGTACTAGAACTTATCGACGAGTTACACTAACGGGCAAGCTTTATGCAGGTAAGCTATACCCAGGAAATAAGCAGCTGGACAGGATAAAACCAAATTTAATCTACTGGCTTCGGTAGGTTTGTAAATGAGCTTTTTCGTCAATAACAGTCAAATTCGTGCAAGTCGGTTCACTTCAGACCAAGAATATCTGTCCGACTTTTCGATCTACACGACGCACTTCGAGAAGAGTTAATGTGGTCAAAGTCAGACAATAGTTAGCTCGTAATTTTAAGACAAAATGAGCAAGTTTGAAGAAAGTTTTTCCACTTATTTCTTAATTACATCTGCAAATACAATTTTTTGTATTTCGCACAAATTTCGTAAGGTGGGCGGTGGTTTACTTACAGTCGTGCCTCATGTACATATAAACAAAGCTTATTGAAATAATTTATTTTAATTCTCCTTAGAATAAGGTTATGAAAATTTTTGGTGCGGCCCTTGTCTGATGCAAAAATTTATATCCCTATTACAAAATACAGTATAGGTAGTAGGGAACAAACAGAAAGGGATTGAAGGTAAAGGGAAAGACAAACAGTTTACAAACCTGTCTCCCCAGGAACATACTTCTTCTTTGATTGAGAGGCACTAGATCCTCAGTCTAAAACAAAATTTTTTTTGCATTGTTTCAACACAGAACGTAACTAGGGAGACTGATACCGAAAAGTGTTCTCGGTTGAAAATATTTCTAAAAAAGCAAACTTTAAAAAAACCACAGAATATTGATCGAAAATTTTTCAGCTAGGAAATATATATTAAGTAAAGGATTGAGGTAGGCCAATCAGTAACGCAAGGACATGACTCTAAAAGTTGCCTGGTCCATGCCGCTTGTTTGAGAAAATTTACAATTGGAAACCAAGGCTGAAAACGAGCTCTCCTTCTGCCTACACAATAGTGGTTGTTCAAAACATTTCAAATATATGTAAATGGATTCTGAAAGTGCCAGATGAAACGACGACCGGGCTCTGCCAATCACCCGAAACATGTCGCCGCCATATTTTTTGGCACAATTTGGGCTTTAGTAAATGTTCTCCAGTTACAGAATCACACGTTTTAGTGCTGTTTTCAATCTGTAAAACCGATCAGACTTTTCTCTCAGGAGGAGAGTTTTGTTTCTAGTGTTTGAAGGGACATGCTGTTTTGTTATATCATCCAATATCTAGTTTGTGCGTCCTACGTTGCCAGAATCACAGTGACAATGGACTTATAATCGACGGAACTCTTAGGAAAAATAAAGGAAGGAAAAACATAACATAACATAACATAAATATAAAATAACATCACATGACATAACATAACAACATAAATATAACATAATTCAAATTGTATATACTCTATTAGTACATACGATTGCTGTCATAGTCCTTTCTGCTTCTTGAAGGTTTGTCCAAATACCGTTTGGATACTGAATTCAAAATAACAACAATTACATCTCAATGTAACAATAAGTTAAAGCAGTTAAAGCCTGGATGCAAAATCGAGCTAAATCTGAGCTAAATCGTATTTTTCAAATAGAAGTTGAAGCAAGTTTGGGAAGAAGATCAATTAAAATATACAAAGAGTGATGAATTTTACATGTCCACAGTATGATTACAAAGATCAAGCGTACAGTAGTTCTTGACTTAGGGAAGAATTGATTGGGGGGGGGGGGGTAAGCCCCCGTAGCCCCCCTTCCGTGAGCCCTGAGTAAATATCTGCTGAAAATGTTACCTTGATTTGTAAAATAGCACTGATCCATCTGTACAGGTATTTCTCGTCGTCAGTACACACATATCTACAAAAAATTTTAAAAGCCTGGTCAATGTACTTTGCTAAAATACTAGTGAAAAATCTTTCTTTTAAACGTGGAGCAGCGTGTAATAAGTTCTTTTTTGGTATGACAGTTTTCTTTTGGACAAATGTTTAAACAAATCAAGCAACTAAAAACATCGCTTTCAGTGGCTGGAAACTTTGTGAAAGGTTTGCAGGGAATCTTGAATTGTTTATTTTGCTGCCAGGAAGAAAAATCTTTTTTCAAGGCCTGCCATTGAAAACCCTCTTCGCGTAGGGAAAAGGCCTCTCAAACTGAAAGCTGGTCCCCGGCTAGCCCCCCCCCCTGATTTTTAAAGCTAGCTTCGCCACTGATTAGGTCGGTTTTGAAAATATATTCGCGAAGTAAAATGAAAATATACAACATAACTAAGTTTTCAACTGATTTTACAAAATCTTATTTGCACGAGTTCATGATTTAAATTGGTTGACAAAGAGCCTATAGAATATAAAGCTTACCTTTTCTCACAATCGCTCATGAGTGTAAACCCATATCTACGAACGAGCAAAGAAAGTTAATCAATTAAATAACAAATGGAAATTACATAAAATTGGAGTTTATTAAACTGACGCTCGAACTAAAAGCTTCACCAAACGATCCATCAAAACATGAAAACAAACAAATCTTTATCTCGATGAGCTTATTTGTGTTTGTTTTAGTTATTAAAATTTTTTGAAGTATTTAAACCTTGCAGATTCTGAACAAAAAGGATGTTCATATTGATTCAAGTAGCGTGGTAGGCGATAAACATTTCGCTTTTGCACAAAATAAGTAGAAGAAGACGCGAACTTTATCAAGTGCTGGTCGATAATTGTTTAGCTCACTGTATTTTTCAACTTGTTGAGGATAAAAAAAGCAAAATGATTCTGCAATTTTATTATCACAAATAAACATTAAAGAAATTTAACTCACTACATTCCGATTTCTTCATGCAGTCAATGAACAAAAACCATTTCACAAAAAACATTAACAACCTATTACGTCACACTACATAATTCTACAACATGCTACAGATTGCCATGAAATGAAACAAAATGGCGTCAGATACTTAAATAAATAACCAGATACTTAATTATTTGGGCTTCCAAACGATGGCAATAGAAAGAGGGTTTTCAGCACAATGCGATTCTTTGAAATACAGACACCATAGTTAGTACAAATATCAAAGTAACATAATGTTATTGTTTTAAACGAAAGCTTCACTAAAACCAGCTTACTTTTTTGGCGACTTCTTCTTTGCTCGTTCATCGTTGCCAATGAAAAGCAGCCACTGATGAATTGACAGCTTCTCAACTTCTGAGCTATGCTAGGAAAAACAAGTGTACTTTCTCTTAACCTTTTTGAAAATGATGAAAAATGCTGATGTCAAAGGCTTTCTCAGAATCAGCTTAGTTGTCAAAAGCCTTAGATACACGCAAAAATATTTTCTTTATATTATCTTATCAACAATATAAGTTTGCTTTCCTAAATTAATTTTTCAAGCTGATGCAAAACAGAAAGATAAAGCTGCACCAACCCTACAGCACTGCTTGTAACATTTCTCAAAAAGGAGGCTATTAAAATTGCCTAAATTGAGGAAACCTGCTGTCGAAATTGAAGAGAAATCCATATTTCACAAAACCATTTCGCGCACCAGCAAACTATAGACAGATCTTAAAATTAATTGTGCGGATTTATCCAGAGTTTATAATAATACGTCTAACAGAAAGATAATGTAAATTTTCATTTTTAAAGTACGCTTAAAAACCAACCCAAAATTATAAACTCGATCTGGACAAATTTCGGTTACTTAGGTAAATTATACGAAGTTAATTTCGTTCTGCTAAATGAATAAAATTTATAAAGGTGTGTTTTTCATTCTGTTTTCCGGACGGTGTCCTAACCAATGACGTGATTCATTTACGAGATACATGACGTCATAAAACCCTGAATGCAATAAGGTGATCGAATCGTAGCTGAAGAGAGACTACATGCTGGAAATGATCATCCAGTGCTTTGTGTAAGGATATTGAAACATTGACAGTTGCCACGAGTATGAAAAGACCTTGAAGTGTCCTTTTAGCCTATGAAAAGGCCCTATCTGCAAAAGTCCTCTTAATGGACTTGAAAGAAAAACGAACATATAATGAATAGGAAATGAGTTCGTAAAGAAAGAGGCGTTCCAAAACTACTTACTTCCTTCAAAGAAACAATTAAGTCTCCTGTCCTTAAGACCAGAAAGTGCTCCTTCCAGTTTCCATCGTTCTTTTTCCAGTACAGTTTGCCTCGAATGCTAAGTCTTGCATTCTGCTGTTATAACATTAGGTTATCTAAGTTAATTTGATTCTTCAAATATTGTTTATCTACATATAAAATGTAGAGTGTCAAATATATTATTTCCAAATAAACCCATGTCCTTATATTTTAGATTCTTACATAAAGCCTACTGTTCGAACATTAAGATTCCAAATAAACACTTTCCTATGTTAAATACTTCCCTAAATAAACAAGAAGCATATTCCTGAGTGGAAACCTAAAAGATAGGCCTTAACTAGAAACTACTAAATCTTTCTCATTCAGATCTAGTTCTCGGGCAGTTGGGCTCTGTTCTCCACTTACTACAATGCCTGCCAAAAAATACTTGGAACACCCAGAAATTTGCGTTGAATTTTATATCTTTCACCCCTTCTTCCCTCGAAACAATGTTGATGGTTTAGAAAAATATCATACAAGTAAGGCAAAAGAAGTAACTTCCTAAGATTCCTAAGTAATGTCCTTCTATACCAACATTGTTTCTGGGGGAAGGGGGGAATGGCTGAATTGACCTTGAAAACTGGCATCAGTGTTTCAAGGCCTTTGGCAAGCATTGTAGCTTTGATCAGTACAAGAAAAGTCTAGCGCAAACCACTTGGAAACAAACCAATAATTGTTATTGGTCTTAAAAGAAATTATCTGGTTTTAACGGCATGTACGCAAGGAACGAAAAGTAAATTTACCACAGGACGTCGCCTGTTGAAAGGAATGTTTATTTCTGTGAGGGGCAATGGAATTCCATAGAAAACCTGTTGAATACATGGTCACCTAAATACTTACATATGGCGCTGTCATTTCGAATACATAATTATTCTTCAAGGAATATGTACGTTGATCTTCAAGTTTAATGCTTTCCATCAACAGGGAAAATACAGATTCGTTTGTATGCAGTGGTCGCTCTAAATAGAAAAAAGAATATCTTGTGCTACTTTGCATTAGTTCTAGGATAGCATATACACAAGTTGTTAGATGCTATGAGCTAAAAAATTCATTCTTAGCACATAGAAGTCCATGAAAATGTGGGGTTCAAAGATTAGGGGAGAAATAGCCCGATAACTCTAGAAAATTAAGGGGTTTGAGCTAGAATTAGCTACATTTAGGAGTTAGGATAGGCAGGAGGAAGAAACGGGAAAAGCAAGGTACTAACTTTTGACGGGGGTATGCTTAATTTAAAGGTATACAATGGCTGGGGAAAAACTAATTCCTTTCATTGCAGACGTTACATTTGCATTAAAAGAGCACTTGTGAAAGAGAGAACAGAAATTGAATAATGTTTCCGTGAAATCAGTCATGCTTTGACTGTATTCAAAATGCTTTGAATTTACAATGTTTAAGCAGAATACCTCAGACTATTCACAGGCAAGTGAAAATTCAGCGTTCTTTTAAAGGATCGGACGTACCTAAACCAGCACCCTTTATTTTCTGAAATAATGCCCAGTTTGAATCGGCTGGCAGCGATTTCAATTTTACAATGTATAAACAAACTTCGCTCGCAGTCATCTTTTTGTTCACCTACAAATAAAATCAAAAAAGCTTTAAAAGCTGTCACTTGTATTCAAACAATAAAGAACACATTCGAGTTTCTATCTTTGAGGGTGATAAGATGGCGGGAAAATATACATGACAAGAATGTATAGCAATAAGTATAAATTTTGAAAGTTTCTAAAACTACTGAAAAGAAGATAAAGAAATCCAAGACATTGTGTAGATGAGTGACGGTCTATTTAAGCTAGAGTCAGAAAGGTATTTAGCAAAATAAACAACAACGTTGAAAATTGACCAGTAGTTTATCTATTATACTGCCTGAATGTCAAGATATGATCTCGGAAAGCAAGAACAAGATGGGTTTTCCGATTTCACGATTTATTTGAGCAAAAGGACTGCCTGCAGATTAAGCAAAACCGAGAAAGGGCCCAGACAGAAGCAACGACCATAAAAACAATAATTAAAAATAGCAGGATCAACTGCAAAAATCAGTACCAATAATACTTAAAGGTCATAACTAGTTGATTTTTTAGAACATTTGAATCGATTGACGTTACAGAGATTGAAGCGTTCTTAGGGCAATTAGTTGAAATTTACCTTCACCATACAAGAATCCTGACTGTCTTGTATTGACACAGAAATTTGAATTTCGTCGATTTTGAATCCCTAAACACAAAAATGTGTCAACTATAATTCAGAAAAAACGGGCAACAATTTGCAGGAAAAAGCCTGCTACTCTTGTTTAAGAAATATGGCTCTGCTGCTTAAAAGAACGAGCACCAATTTGTTCATGATTTCATTAAAAGGATGGAATCAATTAAAGATATACCAGTGGAGCAGCAATTTGCTACGTGGAGCTGTTCTTTTTATATGGAGCTGTGTTTTCAAGCACATTGTTTACTTAGGTTTAATTTTCTAGTAATTGGTCATATTGTCATTTGTTGCATCGTATCCTCTGGCACGTTCGTGTGCTTTTTGCTCTTCTCAAGCAGGGTAGATTTCTATACCTCAAAGCTGAATCATCAAACTGTTTTGTCCATGATTACTTATCTGTGTTTAACTTCTGCAAATTATAGATTTATTGCTTGACGAAAACACAATAGAATAAAATGCCTCTCACCAACCTCAGACATTCGGTCTTTTAGTTTCATAGCATCATCCATCACCCGTTTCGCATTTTCAATTTGCTATTGATAAAGAGGATAGAAAGTCGGGCACGTGTTCAAATTAGTTAAAGTACAAAGTAGAAACTAAAGATCATAAGGACGTCACTGAGGACTGAAATATAAATGTGTTAACACTCTACAAAATGTGATAATGTCTGTGACAAGGATCAGAGGGGGGGAGGGGGGGGGGTAAAAGCATACGTTAAAGCATGAATTTGGGAGAGTCGGTTTGACAAGCATTGTCACTAAATATCAACATAATTTAATGTAAAGTGCACAAAAATACAGTGGTTGTGCCGCTATAACGTTGGATCTTGGTACCGCAAACTTAATTAGATGGCACGAAATATTGGAAACATAGCCTCCTTGAGCATTTTTCGTCCGACACTCTTCAGAGTATAAACGTAGGATAATGACCGAAAGTAGGCAGAAAATTTATATCAAGGTGTGGATCGAGAATAACGTGACAGGAAGAAAGGTAGGTTTTATTGGTTCTTTTGTTTTTTACCAATCACCGACCGGAATGTTTACAGTAATGTTTACATAAGATTTATAAATAGAAAGGATAGGATAAAACGACACCCCACCTCTTGCTTTTTAGCTTCTTCTGACGGATCGATCTGTAAAAAGAACCAGAGTGGCAACTGTAAATTGCAGTTAAAGAAACATAGAGCCCTAGCCTTTCTTAGGTTTTTATCTTTCTAGGCAATTGGTTTCCCTCAATTGAAAAAATTGAAACAAAAACAAAGACACATGTATGGGGAAAGGCAAAATAAATATCAGAAGAGCTCAAAGTCTAGAGCTTCATTTATGAAAAAATTTTATTGCTGTCTATTATGATAATAACAGGGGGTCTAGGGAATAAAAAGGGGTGTCAAGTTGGAAATCTAACAAAAAGAAGCTCCTAATAAGGCTATTTTGTCAACTAAGATGAAAGTAAAAATGTAAGAGTTAAGAGCCCTCTTGGTAACATACATAATACTGCAATGACAAATTGAATCCGACAATGTCAAAGAATATCATCAGTTTTTGGGTACAAACTACCACATATTTCCAAATAAATATTAATTATAATAAATTTACAAAAAAATGCTTTGCTTGAATAAGTGTAATACTCACATCGAAAAAATACATGTAGTAAGTTAGGATATCGTCAAAAATGGCATACTCTCGACTCAAGATCATCTCATTGGTTGATTTGCCCTGTCACATGATAAGAGACCACAAGTTAACAAGAAGGCCCTCTTAGTGAAACAAATAAATGGTAGAATAAAAGATCAATATTTTTTATAAACTCTGAAAATATTTTATTTCTGCATAAAGAAACCTTCTTCTTCTATTTTCTTCTATTTCAAACACAGTTCCCAATTCTCCCAGCTGCTGCAGGCAACTCTTGATTATCTCGAAATCCTGCGCTATACTCTGTATTATGATACCCTATGTTTGGTCCTACGGTGTTTGGTTCACGATAGGCTTTTGTAAGTTTTGCAGTTCTGTCCAATCTGAGGTGTTCGTCGAAATTATTATTATAACACTTGCCAAGCAGTGGCGGACACCTGGGGGGGGCGAGGGGGGCAACGACCCCCCAATACTTTAGAGGACAATGGTCTTTTGTTCGAAAACAATGGGAAATGTGACGTCATCTTATTACAACAATAGGCTTGCCCCCCCCAATATATGACCAAGTGTCCGCCCCTGGTGCCAAGTAGTAGTGATTGGATTGGTTCCAGGTTAACTAATCTAGGCCCAAGAGTATTGTCTTAAAAGCCTTTTGTCTTGCTATTTCTGCAAGGATCTCCTTGTGTATTCTCGTTTGAATTGAAACCTATGTATCAGCAAGGAGCTGAGTTCATTAATCATTGCGCGGCACGGTGGATGTGGTTATGATTCAAGTGAAAGTTAAGACTTACCTGGTTTAGAATAATGGGTGCAAAAACACGATTAACATTTTCTTTGCTCATTAGATTTTTCTCAGAATGTCTGATTATTCTGTAGAAGGAAAGAGATTGTATCTTATTTTTACATTATAGATTCATAATCAATCATTACATTTATTTCAGACAATCACAGAAAATAATGGTAGATGATTTAAATGCATTAACCAACCTACCCGTCGAGATGTACAATGAGGCATTTCAATGTGGCAGCATTCACTTCAGGTAATTCTTTGAGTAATTGATAAATGGTCGTCAGTCTTCCATCATGGTCAGTATTGACTGAAAATATATAAACTTATCAGTCTAAAATAATTATTCATACAATGTTCGTACAGAATAAAAAATTTCACCATAAGATCACAACGAATCGCGATATCAGGTTGAGATACACATTGGCTGCTAAAACTGCTTTGTTGAACGCGCAGCGCCTAGGATCTTGTTTTGAAATTTTTCGTACAATCCACCAAAATCTTTATTTTGAGCACGTACAAGGCACGTACTATACAAGGCACATTAAAATTTTTTCCAGTAATGGGTGGAATTCAAACTCTTCAAAAGGCTTAGGTGTTCCAAAGCACTTGGCAGTAATCTGGGCATAATTTCTGGGCATAAAACAATGCTGCTAGTTTTCGTTACTCCGATTTGAATGTTTTTCCAACTTAAAACTGACAATGCTGGAAAATGTCAGTTGCATCGCAATGGCAAACATTTTTCAACTGCTTGCTACTTTCAGGGTTTAGGATGCAAAGAAGAATTGCTTAGAACCAGATGTGAACAACAGTTCCAAAAAAGTATAATTGGTAGATTGCTGCCACACTTCTGTGATATAATTAGTAATAAAACGATATCTATTACATGGACTTGTGAAACAGAGGAAGTTTGGGATTGTGATAAGAATTTACTGTAACAGTTATGAGTTGTCTTGCTTTTTGAGTTTGATGTTCCACAGATAACAAATAGGAAGACATGAACGGGCAATGACTTTCAGCAAAACCTGACTAAATCAAAATCGACTTCCTAAATAACATTTGGTACTTGCCACTGCTTTGGTATTATTCCCAATATATTGGATTCAAAACAAAAGTGCGTCATTAATGGTATTGAAGTAGCAAACAAAGTGCAAAAGGCATACCTGAATTCTTTAAAAATTTTTCATATAGTCGATCTGTCATTAGCGGTTCCTGGAGACCTTCTCTGAAGTATAACTTAAGAACACCGCATACGTTGTGAACAAACGGATACTCATCAAGTGTAAGGCGTACAGCTGCAGCATCTGAAAACGTCCCAAAGAGAATAATATCGAGCGCTTGATGATTATTGGACCTGTGTAATCTTTATTTGGTGATTGGGCAATGGCCAATGGCATTGGCCAAACGAGTTGCAAATTTAAAAATTACGATGAAAATTTGTACATATGTTATCATTTCTTACACGGATTTAACAAATGAGTGATACGTGCGGGTTTGAAGACATCCATTACATAGAGGTCTAAATACAATGACTGGAGCAAAAGGTCAGCAAAATTAGTACAATTGCTCTGTAGGTACAAGTGAAGTATTCTACTGAAAAGCTTAAGCGGTCTGCAATAAAACTCAAGAAAGTGAAACTGTCATTTGTTTATCTCGTTTTAACAGGAAATAAAACGTATACTAGAAAACTTTTTATTTGTTGAGATAGCTGGTTGACCTATTAACGTCATTATGTCTTATATTAAAAACTCGTGAATCGGACACATTACGAGATCTGCCTGGAGGACCTAACCGGAAGAAAGCCTTGCGATCATAGTGGAACGCTATGCTGCAGATGTTCATCTTGCTATCAAAAGTTCAATATCACATGCAAGAATATTGTTTAGGTCAAAAATGGTTTGACCAGGATAATCATTTATCATTACTCACCTTGATTGAAGACTTGCTTGATCGCTCTTATAGTGCTCATAGATCCATTCTTCCGATAAATGCCTTCTTCATCTAATGCTACAAACAATGAAAATTACTTTTCTAGATCCATTCTTCCGATAAATGCCTTCTTCATCTAATGCTACAAACAATGAAAATTACTTTTCTAGATCCATTCTTCCGATAAATGCCTTCTTCATCTAATGCTACAAACAATGAAAATTACTTTTCTAGATCCATTCTTCCGATAAATGCCTTCTTCATCTAATGCTACAAACAATGAAAATTGCTTTTCTACCTTTCTGTCTTAGCAAGCTTAATACCATATAAGTAGATCTGTACACGTTCTGATGCATAAGTCAGGATGGTTCCCAAGTTTAATGGGACTATCAGGTAAATGTAAGCAATGCTACAAATAGATGAAATGGAAAATATTTTCGCGGCAAAGAAATTTGAAAAGTAACAGCAGCAAGAAAATAGCCACAGGCTTTCACAAAGCATTTATCCAACAGAGTTCTAAAGGTATCCAGAGGTTAAAAATCACCTGGAATAGATAAAAAAGTATCCGGACAGGTTAACAAAACGATGAAAACTTGGATACAATATCTAGTGCCTTTACCTTTGGTGAAATAACAAATTGATAAATAGTTACGGTTAATATATTAAGGGCTAATAGAACGATTTTCTTGTATGTTTGTGATCGTGCTCATGAAGAAAAAGAGCTTCATTCTAACTATGATAACTAGGCTGGATAGGGACTATCTACTAAAGTTATTATGTTAATGAAATTCTGTGCACTTTATTGTTGAAACCAAAGGTAAAGGGGTTTACCATAGTAATTTACGTAGTCGATGCACTTGGCTACCAGATGGGGGACCTTCTTTCCATTCAACTCTTGATTTTCTATTGCTACTCCGAAAACCTACAGCAAAGAAAAATGGTTTTGAATTTGACAGAAATACACAGAAGAATACAAAAAACATTGAAAGCATTGACAAGGATTAAAAAAACACAGAACAAGATTCGAAATAAAGAAAGACACAAAAAGGCACAAAACACAGCAGGCAGCAGGATGTTTCTTGTCGCAAGACAACTTTACTGATACAACAAAGAGCCATATCACAAGTACTTATCAAAAAGTAGCTGAAATGTAACTTGATACTCAATTTAAAACCTCCAGCGTTCAATACACAAGCAAATTGAAAAGTCTTATTGTAAATGAAAAGAGAGTTATCTTGAACCTAAAAGCAATGCTTCTACGAGTTATGATTGTAAGAAACCTGTACCAGCATGAACAATTCTATAATCAACTAATTCAATCTTAATATAATCAACTACCCGTCCTTCACTGTAATGAGAAAACTCCAATCCAACGCAATTTGATGAAAATAATGGAATAAAATCATGAATATAGACAAAACGCTAGTAAAAGTGAATACCTGCTTGTTTTTTATTGCCCAGTACCACGATTTAGCGTCACTTGGTGTCTCTCCTTTCAAATAGAACGTCCTGTTGAGGAAAACTGAATACAATATTTTGCTCACAGCTTATGGTTTTTACTCCTTTCAAAGTGGTATAATGTTCTGCTTAATCCCTTCCTTTCACACTATTCGTATTTCGTTGGTAGCAGTCTCAAGAGCATATCATATTTTTGAGGCCAGAATGATTACAAAAATTTTGCTGGTTTAAGATTCTTGCTTAGCATTTGACCAAAGCAAAACATTAACTTCTCATTTCTAGTCATGGATAAACAATACAAGTTCATTCGCGAATTAAAATCTCGCAGAATTGGAAGAAATAGAACAAATAGAAAGAAAAATTGAATTTGCTTCACACTTCGGAGGTAATTGATATGTTTATTGCCCTTAAATGTTGTCCAATTGTCCTTCGGTCAACGATAAACAAATAAATCACAAATTTCTCGGATGCAGCAAAACGGTCCTCATACCTGTTTGGTAGTACAATATTTATTGTTTTTGGGTCATCGTCATTCACTCCTAACTGAACATCTATCATTTCTCTTAGGTCAATCAGTTCTTTTTCTTTCTAAAATTTAAATAGAATCATGCAAAGTAACTAAATAGAGAACTATGACAGTTAAGTAGAATCTACATATGGCGATTTCATGTCTGTGAATCTACATATTGACATTTTCTAGACATTTCATAGACTTACTAAGTGTTACCAAGAGTAACATAGTGTTACCGGGATCAACAATATTCTTCCTGGGATAACTGTTTGTTAAGAGGCGGCAGTGAAGTATGGACGTATGAAGTATGACCATATGCTACTGGCTGACAAGATTAACCAAGCATACACATGTGAATAAAGAAAGATTTTTGCAAAATGTATCATGCATCATTTCTACAGACAAGATGACACTGGAGATATACCCGGACAAGTATTTACCCAATTCTGAAATTTGACACACTAAGTAATGTAAAGTAAAAGCGAGAAACGGAAACTGGATAAATAATTGAATCATTTTCACTTACATCTCGTTGATAAAATAGACTTCGTTTTTGAAGATAAAACATTCTCTGCCTCCATGGCTGAAAAATAAAAAGTATTGGTCAGAGATAGCACTAGTGGAAGAAGTAGCATCTTTAACTAAATAAGTCATGCAAGTAAACAAATTAATTAAGAACTTTCTTAATAGGCAAGCGGCACTGATTGGTCAACCTCAACAGTCATGTGCTCGTGTTTCTGATTGGCCTATTTCGATCCACAACTGGGTAAATATATTTCCTAGCGTAGAGTTTTTGATCTATGTTCTAACGTTTTAAACTATGAAGAGTGTCAGACAAAAAGCTTTAGTTTACTAAATGTTTCCTTTTTTCAAAGCCATTTTTAAGAACTTTCTATACTAATCAGCTAAATACTACTTGCTTAACAATGCTTAATATTTTTGTTTCTTTTAATACAACATCAGAGAAAGGTGCATGACAACGATTATATAACTGAAAATGTCAAAGCTGAGAAAATCGGCACCTCGCTATTTTTTGGTCCTCTCTTTAGAAGAATGCCCTCCTTTTCCCATGTGGTTGGGGGAGGTGCATTCCTCCGAGCAGCCTCTTCGCTTGCCTTTCGTATTCGTTCCTGTTTGAAAACAATCAGAAGCTAAGCAACGCCACTGGATGTCACACATTTCTACATGATACTGATTATGGTGATACTAAAACCATGTTTATACTTTAGAGGAAAAACTTTCTGTACGGGTCCAATGTAGCAGACAAATTCTTGTATACCAAGAGGAATGGCCCAAGTGTGCAAAAACAGCCTTTGCACAATTGAAAAATTATTCTTCTATTATAATATTTCGCAATTGCAACAGTGAATTCATTTTGTAAATCATTTTCTTACTCAACATTCTATCTAAATATTCTAGAGTTCAAAATGTCTCAATTTATAATTCTATACAATGTCTATGTTGAAAGCAAGCATGCATATTGCGTTTGAGCTGCTTCAGAGATGACCAGTGTTGGAGGGGCCACAAGTGTTTACACTGTATTGCTTGCGCTAATTTTGTGCAGATAGCCGTGCAAATGTAAAGCGGTCAAAAGAAGTACAGTTTACACGCAAAGGCTATCCGCAAGGGAGAGCCAAATTTTTCCGCCACAGTATAAAGAGAGTCTAAATTTAGATCAAAGTTAAATTTGTCTTGTATCACTTCCACTCAATAATTTTTTTACGTCATATAAAAAAATCAAGTCGCGTACAACAAAAAATGTCTCTTACCGCTTCTTCCCTTTCTTCTTTCTCTCGTTCCTCGGCGGCTGCGAGAAAAATTAGCAAATCAGCAATTAGAATCGGTAACATGTTTACATCTTGAAACAAACGCAAAATAATGCAAGTGCTTTTTCCGTCACCAGCTACAAAGTTTAACAATAAACAACCAAGAACAAGGGTTATCCAAAAAGATGTGAACACAAGCATCTATCACAGTAAGATTGAAAACTCCAGACAGTAAAAATTAAAAATGACAATGATAACACTAAAGGTATCAATAAGAACTTGTCAATGACATGGTAAAATTATCATTCATAATCTTGAATAAAAGATGTTCATTTTAGAACTTGATATCGATAACTTCAAAACAGGTATTAATTGCGCTCTAGAAAAAGGCAACTCATTTCACTAACTTCACCAAAGACCAGGACAACTTTTAAGGTTGTTTACAAAATACATAGAGAAAGGCACTGTCCTCTGTTCAAGAGTATGAAAACATTTACCAAGTACTTCAGATGTGGCTGACATTAAGTATCAAGAATAAAAAAAGGCGTATCTCTAAGCATTTGCATGCAAAGCTTAAAAGCGGTTCAAAGGAGTGTTGCTGTGCCATAATTTCGGAAAGCAACAAGAAAAATATCAGTGTCCACGAAAAACGTCGCTCCTAGTCATTGAAAGCCAATGTTGCACCTAAAAGCATCCATTGGCTTCAAATACAGATCATGTCAACTTGGCAAATGAAGGAGGTCGGCTGCTGTAGCAGGTCCGTTGTCCATATCCAATAACTTACAAGTCATTCAATACTGTTTGATATATATGATATATAATAATACTTTGTAATATGTAACACACAGTTTTCATTTTGTAAGCACTGCTTTGAACGACTTACTTAAATTTCCATTAAACTGGCGCAGAAGCTCCTAAGGAAGAAAACAAAATAAACCGATCAAATAACAGAAATCTTAGCCGAAGTTTTACTTAGTGCAATACACAAAATATACTGTGTGTATGCGCATAACAAAGTTCCTAAAAAATTCCTGCAGCTTATTACCCTCTCTATAACTTTTAAAGATAGCTCTTCCCATGTTCTCATACTTAACCAGCCTTTGTTACAAGCTTGCAGCAGAGGTATAATACTTAAACAAAATACAATATATGAAATTCATTCAAGGCACTCTTAAGAAAAGAAATTCATTTTCAGGCGAAAAAAATTAGGGCACGATTTAAAGTTTCTCAGCCAAGCTAATCTTTAGACAGAACAGTCTTATCAGGGGTATTTTCAATGCCCCGGTAAAGTTCTCCACAGATTTTAATAAAAAAGAAAAGCATTGGGCAACTGCATCATGTTAAACATTATATAACCTTATAAGCCCTCCCCTCGAAGTAAAAATGTAGGATACATAGGTGTTTGGTTAGAGAGCAAAAAGTGAAAAAACACTACAGATATAAAAAGACTTTCTTAGAACATCGTTAAAGATTTCTCACCATTTGCAGTTCTTGATTAACAGCTGTTGCAAGTTCGTAAGCTATAGAGATGTAAAAGCATATTAAAACCGAGCATCAGGGAAAGCTTTCAATAAGATATTTAACTTTTCAAAGAGGTTTTGTCAATTAACCATGGCATATAAACTGATTTGCAAAAATAATCAATTTTTGAACATAATATCGCATTTTGTGAGTAACCAGTTGTCTCAAAATCCTTACAATAAAATTTTCTTCGACTTTCTCATAGCCAAATTGTTAATAAAATGATGCAGACTTACGGGATCTGTCATCCTCATTCCCTGCCTTAGTGTAGTAAATCTAAAAAAAATCGCATTATAACGATATTATTGTAGCGGTAGTTGAAAAGTAAAGTCTAAATAAAGTAAGGCTTGATAGAACGAAGAATTTTTTAGCAAGCTATACTGATTCGCAAAGATAAGCATCACGTAACAACATTTCCTTATCAACACATTTTCACCTGGTTAACGGGTTTCTATACCCTGAGTAAAAAGAACCTCTTTTGGCATCATGTTTAAATTTCAAAATGCCCAGATATCCAATTTTTAAATTTGTCCTTATTTGCCAGAAGAACGCATTATTTAACCGATCAAAATATCATTCCTGAAAAATTCCTGGAAAGTGCGATAAGCAAAAATTTCCTTCTATGTTTTTTAGCTATACCTTGTTTTTTTAAGTTATCTTAATAGAAAAAAGAGCAATGAAACAGTCATGCTTGGAACACGTGCCTTAAAATACTTGTTTGGATTTTATAACAACCAAAATTTATAACAGAAGTTGTATTGCCACTTCCATCGTCTAATCAATTAGTCAGTCTTGTTTCTGTTAAACAGCTGGAATATGGCGATTACAAATTTTTGAGTTTTTTTCAAAAAGACCACTAAGATAAGAAATGACATCAAATGATAATTTATTTTGCTTTCTATGACCTTTCTTGGCACCCCTGAAAATCTATCTAATCCCTAAGTTTAAAATCATAAGTATTTTTTTAATTATCCTTTTAAAATTCTGAGGGGAAATCTAAAGCAGCAAAAAAGAAAACACATTTTGATAAATTAATCGTAACTTTAAATGCCTTACCGGAGCTCCGCAAATGATGAGCTGAAGGGTTTGCAGCACATCATCAGTGGTGACATTTTCTCTTAAAGCCTATGAAAATAGGAATTTTGTTCAAACCAGCAGGTTGACGACAAGGTTGTGGACAAATTTGTGCATGTTTAAACACTTTAAGCTTTGTAAACGTAATACAAATGGTGGTTTTGACAATTAACTTTCAGCTTTCACGATTGAACGGTTATAAAGAACAAAATTACAAAAATTCGCTGAAAATACTTGCTCTTTGCTGCCCATACCAATACCTTATTCACATTGTTAGCAGAATAAAATGGACAAATTACCAAATTCGCAAAAAGCCTAAGATGATGGTTTGATCTGAGGGAAAGACAGATCTATTGGTGAAATTAATTTGAAGTTCACTTTAAAAGTATATCAAAGAAATTGAGGAAATGTATAATTTATCAGAAATAAAAAACAGAAGCTTCCGTAGTGAACTTGCCATGCCAAGGTTGTCTTCCTGGCCGTAATATTGGGAAAAGTGAATGTATCTTTTCTCTTTGTACTTCGAGAAGATAAACTCGTAGCGTTTTTCACTAAAAGAATAAACACATGTTTTTTTTCATTATAAAATATCACAATTCTAATCAGAGCTATCTATTTTAAACGCCTCAAAATTCGTCTGTCATCGTGTGGTTCCACAAACTGGTTTTTTCTACGTTGTTGCGGTCACAAAAAACAGAATAAGAAACTTTCAGTAAGTCTCAGCAACAACAAACTCGCACCCAAAATACAAAAAGCATGCAAAAGATACCTCGACGAGTCAGGCTTAATTTTATCATCCTCCGGCAGCTTTTTTTCCCAGAAACTGTTTGCTTTTTTGTTTCCAACAGTTTTCATTAACTGCAAAAATAATTAATGACATTTGATATATTGTTACAAACTCATCATGCAATTATGAATTTAAATTAGCTTGGTTTTCTAATAACCACAAGGTAACGGTAGTTTTATATACAGAGAGGAAGGGGTTGCTAGGGAAGACACTTGTCGGTACTAGCGAAATTTCACGGCTTTCTCTTTGTGGTCTTTTTTGTATACTGTACTGCTGCCTGGTTCTCATTTGAGTCATAATCATAATCATAATCATCCTACTAATTGCAATTGTAGTTTGCTAATAATAAATACCAAACGCTTATAAAATTATCAAAGAATATATCGAGCAAATCTTGCAACGCTTTGAGCAAGGCTGCTTTCTTTAAAAATGTAGCAAATAAGAAACACCGCAATGCGACGAGAATGAACAACAACAAATACACGTAAATCAGTGAAGGCTAAATCTGCTTCCTTTAGCCGTTTTAGCAAGTTTAGAAATTGAAGTGAAACCTTCATAATTTCACACAGAAGAAAAACCTTCTAATCATTTGGCCAATGAACAGCAACAGTGATCGGACGTTTGTAAGATATTTTCAAATAACAATTCAGAACATCACCAAAGACAGTTACATCTGAGACACATCTGAGCTCGTTAATGCAAAACAGGGAAAAATGCGAAACATCGTCTATACACGCTTTGATGTATAGAATAGGATACTTCAAAGTTGCAACTCTGAGTTGACCACTAACTGCGATCTTCAGGCAACTCATGTTGTCTGATGAAACATATTATTATTGTTGCCAGCATATCACCTGCTTAAGGGACGACGTCCATACTTTCACATCCATTAGAATTGACCTGGCCTTTGAAATCTGAGCACCCAATTTTCGGTGAAACCCTGAAGGTCAATAGAGATACATTTAGAAAACTGTGTCACAGGCAATAGAGAGGAGAGTGCAAAAAGCCAGATACAAAATATTTACAAATGGACGTGTGAAGTGGTGGAAAAGTGAACATGGCTTTGAAAAAGTGAATATTGAAAAACTAAAACTTCACAAATAAATAGAAAAGGTTTGAAAAAAACAAAACATGTTTATCTTACCAATGCACTGATCGCATACAATTACGAGGAGGTTCACAGATGCCCACACTGGATCTTTGAAAAAAGAAAACTGTCATTTGAAAAATGTCATAGATTCAGAGCAATAGTCAATAGCTTTATGTGCTAAACCTTTTGACACAACTAAACTATGGTAGCAATCTTTGTGTAGTAATACTAGGGTTACATAATGAAATTGAGCCTGTTGGCAATTACGAGGAAGAGCTAGCTTATTATAACAGAAACATGCAAACTTTCAAACTAACTTACTTCTTTTGCCACAATCAGCACAGTGTTTATTACTGGGGTTTTCTTGGATCTCATGCAGAACCTACGATTTTGAGTAAACAAAGCAACGTTACAGCCTAAGAAGACTGAGCAGTTCGAAATCGCATCAGTAAAGACAGCTAGCTAGAGGACACAATTGAAAGGGTTTCTGCTAAACTTAAACTTGATTTCCAACGAAAGCATCTTGCAAAATAGCACGAGGACGTACCAATATATTTTGAATATAAATCCTGATTCATTATGGGGAGAGATGATAGCTCTGCATTGCGCATAACACTCTGTTAAATAAAGTCTCTCTCAAGGTGCTTGAGATTATTAACTAATATTTTAGGATAAACTCTCAGTAAATAGAGATTCTACTTTACTGAAAATTAGATCACATTTTAGCTTTTCAACATTTGCAAGCACGGTAACAATGCATCAAAATATCAAAACACCGCAATGCATTAGTAGCGTGCTAGCTCGGAACAAACAAGCACCAGTGACAAGACATTAAAACCCAAACCCTTCCAAGAACCTACTTAGTGTGTGTTTATAAAAAACTGAGGGATTGCAGTCTCCGTTATTACCGAAGTATCGCCCAGTGCAATTTGGATGCTGGTTTTAAAAGCTGCCTCCCATTCCTGGTAAGATTGTTCATCCTTCGCTTCAAATCTAAAAAAGAAACAAAATAAACAAACGTAATCAGGTGATTTGCAATGCCAAACCATGAACCCTACTACATTCTACATATCATTACAAAAATATCAAAGCTCAAGCATGCATTTTTGCTAGAACTAAAATGACTTCATCAGAAGAAAATTATAGATAATTTTCAATAAATAGAAGGTTAGACATAAAAGAAAATAAAGTTGAATAATTTTCTTAAACTCAAAGAAGCCTATTTACAAAGGTTGCCTTGTTGGGTCCTTTCTTGAGGCTATTCAAGAGTCTTCAACGGCATAAATAGAGCAAATATCTATGTATACTAGGTGTGTAGAGGGTGTGTAGAAGAGGACTGTTTTAAGTTGCAACTCCAAGTTTCATGCTTCCTCGAGTCGCAGCGAAAAACTCGGCTTTGGAACTTAGAACCGTTCTGTTCTGTACAGTTAAGCGTGTACACCTCTGTCTATACAGCAGCGAGAACTATACGACAGACCAGTAAAATAGTAAGTTTTGAATATATATGTAAACTTATTTAAATATCTATGCTTTCCTAAGCATGATTAAAATATATTTATACATAAAGCTGTATAGGTAAAGATGCCTATTGACAAAGCTGGAATGATTCAAAGTCATTCATTAATCAACAATCTAGAAGGAGAAGATTTCTGCATATATCAAACTGGACATTTTGATTGTTTATAAAAATTCAAAAACAAGAGACAACGTACACAAAATCCTTTTGTTGTGCAGTCAACATTGAAATCCTACATCGAGAAGCATCTGGCCTGATTGTTGACAGTGCCATGTTGAGACAGTTAATCGGTAATCCTTGTTTATAATTCTACAACGCAAACAAGGTTTGAATAATTAATAAAATTATCACTGAATAGAGACATGAAACTGGCTTTAAAAAAGCAAACATTTCACAACATACTACTAAAAGACACTCCTCGGAGTATAAAACATTAGAATAAGGATCCGAAAGACCACGGTGGAAAATATATGCTCAGTTGGGGATCAAAAGTTGTTTATGAATTGTTGATTGTGTTGTTTATGAATTTACGTGCCAGTGTGAACTACCCAACTTCCTCTAAAATAGTCTTTGCAAAGCTTTCCTCGTCAAATATACAATGTACTATTTCACCTTTGAGTATAATGTATATTTACTTGCAATGTAACTAAAATCATCAAGGTTTCACTAATATAATGATTGTTGAAATGTTGAACAGTACCTCATAATTGCGATAATATGCTATTTTCCCATCCTTTATTGCGATGTACCTTTATGAACAAAATACAATTTTAATTTGCATAAAAATTAATGACTAGCAATTATTTAAACTCAATTTCTAATGATCACTTGATTTCTGCCTAGAAGATCACATCGTCAAGCAGTTAAAAGAAAACTTTAAATAAGCAAGCAAAGGGGACAATTTAAAAATGGAGGCATAAAGAGTAGGTAAGTATACAAGAGAGGATTTTCTAACTGTTTGGAGCCATGAACCATGTTTGGAGGCACTGAAGACACTCTAAGAAAGGAAAGTGCCAGTGTCAAAGTCTGTATTTCAGAAAAATAAGTTCTTTCTGCATCTGCAGTCTCACTACGTACAAAGCTGCAGGGACGACAAAGAGGTATTGAATGAAAATGCGCATTTGATGTTACAACACAGCTATTCATAAATGTGTGGTTTAGTCGAAACTTGGGAAACAGCCCTTCGGAAACATTGCGGAACTAATGCATAACCATGTCTTATAGCAAAAATTGAGGCACAAGAGGGATCTTAAGCCATGATAAGCCACAGACAAGTTCATTTGGAGAAAATTCAAACTATGCGTTCATGAACTGACTAACATCCCAGAACATTCCAGCTAATCCTCACCTATCTTTCCAGTCTCTAGCTACGTTGTGGCCTTGCTTTTTTAACCAACCCTAAAACAACAAAAAACAAGTTTTAACATTGGACAATTTCAAAAGGTGTCAACTGTTATAGCAATGAAGAGATTGCTAGGGCATCAAAGATTTTGCAAAGCAAATAGCTGATCAAGGTAATTTGCCACCAGTTACAATAACAAATAAATGCGAAATTTTATTTGTTTTCTGTAATGTAAATAGTGAACTTTATCGTGCTTTGATCGACAACTAAGAAGAGCTTAAAACGTTATCAATCAACAGATATTTTTTTCATCAATCAAAACCTAAAGAGAAAAACAACTTACTTTATTTGCACCATGCAGTGGGGAAGGACATATAGTCATCTGGTCCCGACTGCAGATGGTGCTTACAATTCAACAGAATTACAATAGTCAATGATAAGTTTGTCTCACATTAGATGTCGGAAGACATCGGTCATAAAGATAAGTTCTGAACTGTCATTAGACAGTCCAGAATGCCCAAAACAGATATTTCAGTTACATAGTTATTACAAGGCCTCTCCCGGCAAAACAATCAAACCATTTTCTTACTTAAAAGATTATGTAGCTTCACATACGAAGGCAAGGTGAAACTAACGTTTCAGTGTTGCCCAGCAAAAATTTACTTTCATCGTAATTAAATTTAGTTGTCGAAATCCAAGCACTTGTAACTCTAAAAGTATACAAAATATCTGAAAAATGGCAAATTCATGATCGGCAGGTTGAGCTCAAAAAGATTAGCAAATGAAAAAAGATTGGGAGTTTTGACTTGAGAGGCCTTAAAAAGGAACTCTTAAGAAATTTAGTAGCCCTTTACTTCCGGAATTACTCTTAATTTCTAAACAAAATTTGAACTTAGCGACATATCACAACTGTAGCAGTAAAAACGAACCTCTTTATCAGGATCTGACATGTCACCACCAATTGACTCCTCACTACATGTCTCTGGTATCTTAAAGGAAATGTAATTATCAGAATTGACTGCCCTTCATGCAATAAAAAAAAGGTATCACGCCAAAAACGCTTCTTAGTAATAAAAATAGCAATAAAATATGTTGGCACTGAGGGGATCTAGAAGTGGTGCAAGACAAAGAGCAACTAGAGAAAGTCTTGCAGAGCAGTTCAATGCAATGATTGTGTTGCAGAGCAGTTCAATGTAATGTAATGAATACAGCAGCGGTTTTAGGAACTGCGGTGCCCGGGGCCAAAAACATCTGAGGGGCCCTTGTTTTTTTACAATTCCTATCTTTTTTAGGTGTGGGGCCCCTTTCGGCTACCATAAGCGAGGGTGCTTGGGGCCATGGCCCTCCGAAGCCCCCTTAAAAACATCATTGAATGAATATACTGGCAGTAGAATCACATATTGACAGTCGACAAAAAGCACCAGGGTCCGAAAAAAATACTAACCAACCAAGTTTTCAAACAAAATTTCTCGATATTGTGAACAAACAGCAACAATGTAAAATTAAATAGCTTAACAATACCAAAGTTTTATTCACAGTGACTTTAAAACACGCGTGACAAAGAACATCTTATCTTCAAGACACTGATCAGCATATGTCATATTTCTAAAGGTGCAAAGCCTTTCTTATTACCTCACTTCTAAGCATGATAGCTTGCATAAGAGTATTTGCCCAAAGTCCAATTTCATCTGCGAGAAAAGTTGGGTTAATTTAAAAACTAACAGGTGATTTGATATCAAAATTACAAGATTGGTTGAAGCTGTACTATCACTTGCTGTGGCTTAAAAGGGCGGGGGAATTAAGCCCCACTTAAAATTAATTGGAAGAATAACACCTGCATTTAGGCCAAAGTAGCTTTTTACATACATACATCGTAATCAAAACCTAAAACTTCTATTTGATCTTGATTTATCAACAGTGGACATTTATAGGGTACGCTGTTTGGTGTAGGTGATAGAACATTATACACGAGGGATATATAAATAACAATGAAATTTATCTTCAAAGGTACATCCATTTGGCATATAACGAATGGTTGGCAGGCTTACGGGGCTTTTTGTAGAACACGATAGATAACTGATTGAGAAAAATTTCCTTAGCAGAATTTGAAAGTGCGAGATTGCGGGATTATACATAATTCTTCTTTTATACTAGGGTAATGAGGTGCGTATCATGGAAAATGTCAGAGGGTCCCATGGAGGCAGGAATGTAAGACTTAAATTAATCGATTATGGGGTAATTTCTACAGACCTTGTGAAAAAATTAATGCTGTTAATATAAAGGCAATTAACTCCAACGTTTTGTCAAACATATCCTCTAGAAATATCGAGCCTGACATTTGCTATTGATAATATTTCAGATATACTTACTATGATCATCAGATGTAAAGATGAATGTCCTGTTTGGAGTCTCTAACAGCAGCTGTTGCTTCTTGTCTTTTCCATCCTAGGGACAAACAAAATAACAGTCGCGGTTGAAAAACAACGTCTGGAAGCCTGCATCATGTGCTATAATGATACTACTTTGCAAAGCATAGCAGCGCAAACTAATATGAATTTTGAAAGAACGGTTATCAACTAAAGCATTTGACCCCATGTTTTCTGAAAACGCTCTCACGAGAGAATGCTTTGTTATAACGCAAAATGCATACTAAAATTACTTGGAACACTCAATAGCTTGAGTCGTTTTTTATTTTCATTTCTTTCCGCTTACTTTCCCCAAAACAATGCTGAAAGTCTCAGCAAATATCATACAAGTTACACAAAATATACCACCTAATCACCTAAAGTCACTTTCTGGTAATACAAAATTGTTTTAAGAGGAAGGGGGTGTAGGTTGGCTGAATTACTTCCCTGCAAACTGAAGTTAGTGTTCCAAGATTTTTGGCAGCGATTGTAGAATCGTAACGAAATTCCTAGTAATGTCAAGTAATTCCTGAGGGCTAAAGATAATGGTTTTGATTTATTCGGTGGCCAGTTAGCATGTGAAAGCAGGTCTTAGCGCTGTTCCTATGTCTAGTTTTAATCAACACGCTACAGTTTCAAAATAAAGGTAATGTAATACAGTGTGGCCTTACCGCTGATGCAATCTTTACACCCTTCATGCGGCTGAGAGGAACTATTTGCAAACAATCTGTTTGAGTGTCCTAAAATTCAAACAGATTAGCTTGAAAATTGGTAAGGAGAAGCTTTTTTGAAAAAAACTAAAGTACTTTTAATAAAAACAATGGCATAACAAGCCAAGACTAAATTCCACAAGTCCTTAAAAATGGAAAATTCGATATTACAAAAAAATTATTATTTTGATTGACATAAATTCGGAATGAAGAAAAAAAGAAACTAAAGGTTTTCCGCAAAGAGTTGGAAAAGCAAAATTCCATTTCATTTGTTCATTTTATTTCTGAAATTGGATGCCTTTTTTGGAGCCACTCAACGTTTGACAGCTCAGGCTGCTTTGTTAAATTTCGAGCAAAATTCTCAGTAGCGTGCAGAATCCCTAAATGTATTCAGATAAGAAGAAGTTCAAAGTACTTCCAAGAAACCCAATCACGGAAGTACAAAAAGAATACAGAATAATCGAGGCCAAAAAACGGGCCCTTGCGTAATTGATACTTTCAAGTTGTAGAGGGCAGTTTGCTTCCTCGTTCTCTTATTATTTCCTTTTAGCAATAAACGAGAAAAATTGAATCACAATTAATTCATGTTGTTTCATGATTCGTGAAGTAATTTATGGCGAAGGTTAAAATCAAAAGTAATGGGGACACAAGTATTAACTATAACAGTACATAGAGTGGAACTAAAGCAGAGAAATAATAAAGGAATTGTGAATCCCGTACAAAAAACGTAGCTATATAACTAGTTCTACCTGTTTGCTAGTTCTACCAAAATTGACCCAACTTTCTATTCAATGGAAAAAGGGCTATTTGGCGATAGTTGTAACGATGGCAGATTTGTCGAGGCAGCAGATTTCAGGAGGGGAAGACAAAAAAAGTCGATCGAATCTATTACAAAATGATGCAGAAAAGACTGCATCTCACCATGGGCGCAGCGGATGCTAAACGTTTAGGGAGGGGGGATAGCTTGGATCTTGCTCGAATATAATTGTTGATTGCAATAGAGCTTTCCGAATGGAGCCTGAAATGCAATATGACTGATAAAGGGGGCCGAACCCCTCCCATGTCTCCCAGCCCCTATGTATCTCACTAAAGACCGAAACAAGTGAGGTAAGATAACACCAATGGGCAAAAGGAAGAACGAGAGTCAGTAGCTTTTTGGTATGAAGCAATTTTATGAATAGTAAGTAACAAGACATTGTTTCTGGGTTGCCGTGATGGGGCACCACACCACGGTGAAATTGCCCTGAAAGTAAAAAACTAACCTTGTCATAATATCGAAGATCGTTGCCGTCAAAGACAACCCATCGCCTTTTGAATCGCTTTTGGTTGTTTTGCCTAGAATACAGAGAATGAGCTTCAAGTCTGGTTTTGAGGTCAGGACTAGAAAACTTGGAAACTGGGTCAGCATTTCTGTATCGTAGATGTTTACATTAGATAAAGTAAGATCTAAACCCAATGTCCAAAACTTTAATACCAAATTCCAGTTTTAAAGAAAGAGGAGTTAAAAGTCCCAGTATAGTTATTACGAAAGTAATCGAAAACAGAGCCTTTAGTCTATTACTACTATTTCAATTAAAATGAGAGTACAGAGGGGCCCAAATTTGGGTTAAACAGAGATAGAGAGAGCCTGGTGGTGGTTGCTGATAAAATGGCTTGGTTACTGTACAGAGTTCTACTATCAGCTGAGTTTATACTGTTAAACAAAGAGGTTTTGCTCTCGGGTTTGCTTTGTTTTCTACCAATTTGTTGGCAGTAAAATATTTAGCCCAAATTTCTCCAAAGCAGCCCAAATTTTCTTATTTCCAATACTTATTTGATTAATTTATCCAACACTTACAGGTACTAATTGAAATTGTCTTAAAAAGAGATATATTTGTATTAAGAGAAAGAACAATAGTTACAGAAAATTCAAACTCACCCTCCACGCTTTTCCAGAAATCCAGACCTACGCAAAGTAACCTAAAAACAGCAATTCAAAGAGTATTTTACAGAGAATAGCTTTGTTCAAGTCAAAATTAGACACCCAAAATAGTGTGGCACACTTATGACATCATAACACCCTTTCTTAAAAATTCAGAATTTTGCACACAACCTGAAAGAGTACCACAAATGAATGGACAAAACAGGTAAGACTTGTTCAGATTGCCTCAGACAGAGCCACATTAGCATAGGATCTTGCTCCATCAGACAACTTGGTCAAGGTCCTAAACTTATGAATCAGGCCAAACTGGGATCTTTTACTAGTCATATCTCAGCCAAATTGCAACAGATTTGATACATATTGCACATTTAGATGTATTTCACTGTGATCTTTCTGCTCATATGACAAATTTCAAAAATTCTAAAAAAGGTTTTATGACATCATCAATTTGTCATAAAACTCTTTTAAAAATGTAGGCAGTAGACTAAAAAGTTCACTAAAGCACATACATTATAGGTATCCACAGCTACATTACCCCCATCGGTAATTTTTTATATAAAAAATGCTTTATTACATCAGCAGTGTAACTTTGCAATTTATGAAAGAAGGGAGGAAAGCTTGTTTTTTCAAAAAAGCAGAATGCAGACACATCTTTTAAAGGTGAAAGGGGTATTTCCTCTATTTCTTATTGACCCATTTGCTAATCTATTCAAAATATTTTATGCATGCATTAATAGTAAAACAGTGATCAGCTCAGAGCATGTCATATTGGTACAGCATTACTCTAGAATGACGTCCATTGCACATCTTTGTCTGGAACAATAACAAACCACTTTTAAGAGACTATAATGACATGTTGCTATGCACTTGAGCTTCAAAGGGTATTTAACCATTTATTGTCAACACTGTTAAATAAAAGCACTTCTTTAAAACATTTTGGTTATTTGAATCAAAAGAACAAATTAATATCAAACAAGACTGTTACCAATTTGCTAGCTCTCCTGTCTGCTGATGCTGTCTACAATACAAATACAAAAACTGATTTAAAAAAGTTTCCAATATAAGTAATTCTATTATAAAAGTCATGCATATGCATAACAGGTCAAGATAAAATATCACCAAACTCAATAAAGATAACAAGAGATAACAAATTCCAATCATATTTGTTAAAACTGGCATACCATTCCAATTTTCTCCAATTCATCTTCAAGAAATCTACAAAGAAGAGAACATAAAACTGTTTAAAGAAACAATAAATAAATGTTGGTGTTTACATAAACCTTATTCACAAGGATTTAGTGATCTTCAAAAGATTGCACCTAGTAAGATATTCCTGAGTGTAGCAAATATAATGCAAATTGACAGTATATTAACAACTATCTTTATTGGCAAAGGTAATAGGGAAAACACACCAAGAATCATGTGCTCCTAGTTTAGATTTGCCATGTTCTGTTACATGGTGCTAGCAGATCCATTAGATGCTAACAAAACATTACCCTCTATAATAAGAACTGAGAACAACTGTGAGTAAAAATTGAGAACAATGTATTTTTAATATGTTATATATTATGGTAATATAATCAATAATTCAATAATTTTTTAAAAAGATATACAATCACTGCAAAAAGTCTTGGAACAATAATGTAGGTTTCAAAGGCAAACTTAGCCATCCCCCTCTCCCCCTAGGAACAATGTTGATTTACTGTAGAAAAAAGAAAGGGGTTATGGAGTATGCTTTTTCTTTTGGCTTGTTTGATATTTTTCTATACTTTCAACATTGTTTGGGGGAAAGGGGGACGGAAGTAATAGTATTCGGAAAATCAAATGAAAAATAAAAAGCACAGTGCAAAGTTTTGGATGTTCCAAGTAATTTTGGCAGTGATTGTACTTCTAAAAATATGATGTTTTTAAAGCTCACCTAGGAGTCTCTGTGGCCAGTTCTTGAGTGCCCTGGTTGAAATAAGCATATATTAGCATAAATATATAAGCATAATAAAATGAAAATTGAAATGAAATGAAATGAAACAAGGATAATCAAATGAAATTGTGTTAAAATATAAAAATGCACAGTTATTTATTCCCACGGTACATTTAATTGACAACAAATGCCCTTTAATTTAACAATGACAACAACTCCTCCAACAATAGATATGAATGAAAGGCATCACGTGCATAAGGCAGATATCTAGAGTGAATGATTGATCATGATTTTCTTAATTTTGTCATCTAAATGAATTACTTTCAGGGGCCACCAGTATCATGGGGCATTGGGGGTGTGGCATCCCCTTTGGAAAAAAAGAATAGTAAAATGAGGAATTTCATGTCATATAGGGGAACTTCATGGGCCTATTTTTGATTGGATGGTTTGTCCTCCTTTGTTGGCCAATGAAATTTTTCAAAGTAACAAGCTAATGCACGCTAGGTTTCCGGCTTCCTTTTTTGTCCGTTTGATGTGCCCCTTACAGGTAAGGTCTTATTTACAACAGAGAAATTCAGCATGCCACAAGATAAGCACCTCAAAAAATGAGGTAAATTGTGCAAATAAACGTACAGGAGGTGATTCATCATCACTGTCTGATGAGCCATCTTCGTCTTTCAAACCAGTTGCTGTAGAAAACAAAAACTTTATATATTTTGATAGGCAAGTAATATCTCAACATGAGAGCAAACAAAAATGTCAGGCAACTTTTTGGAATGGTATGTATGATGCACAACTTACAGACTGGGGGATATAATAAAACAACATATTCAATTTCCTTTCCAATATTAGAAACCCATGCCCCCCAAGAGAACAGCCTCCTCAGTCTTGCAGATAAAAAAACAACTAAAAACAACAAGGAATCTTAAATTGTCCCAAAATTATCATGGTGAGTTAATCCTTGTTCTATCTGGCAGCTTTAGAATCTATCCACATATATGTAAATGAAAAGCACTATCCTTTAATTTGCACAATAAAAAATAATGTATTAATATTCACTTTAAAGCATAAAACCAGAAACATTCCTATTAAATGACAGTGTTTGTTATCAAAAGCCAAATAAAAATCCAGTACACATATTAAGAAGTTGCTATGTCCAAAAATCAAAATAAATTACCATCTTTCTCAACTGGTGACACTATTTTTGGAGGCAGTGGTGCTGGCCTTGCAGGTGATAAGATTAGGCTGTTCATTCTTCCAATGAATTCTTTGTTTTTAACTATTGAAAGTGCAGTAGGCCTCATTTCTGGCGAAAGGTCATTTTGTTGTTTTTCTGAGGGCTCTATTTTTCCTGCAGCATCAGAGCTGCTTCCAGTTTCAACCTTGCTCTTATCAATTACAAACTCACTTGCATTTTCTTTCGGGGGCTGGGGAGCTAACCTCTTCCTTGGCATTGGTATTGTAACTGCACGTTTAATTTCATTTATTGATGAAAAACTCTGAAATGCTTCATGTTCTTTCACACTGCCTGAGCTTCTTTTGTTGGGCTCATGTGCATTTGTGTCATCATGCTGTTGTTCATCGAGGTCCAATCTTGGGGGTATCTCAGGGACCCCAGGGTGATTTAAAGCTGATACATTTCTTGGCAGGGGGGCAGGTGGTGGCTCTCTTGCTGATTTCAACTTGGGAGGTATAGCGGGAGCAACCTCAACATGAGGTGCTTCATCTAATACTTCAGGTTTACCCAATTCAACTGAATCCTTATTAACATCCAGCTGAAAAGACTCTTTTGCAGCTACTGATTTCAATGTGTCTTGATCATTTGGTATTATTTCATTTTCTCCATTTTCATGCGATTTAATTTGACCTTTCTTTAGAATTTCTAACCGTAATCGCAAATTATTCAGCTCAATGACCATTCGTTTCCTGTATCCGTGCTTATCAACTCCAATGCGCTGAAGGGCTGCATCATCGAAATCGAATAGCTGCTCCACAGAAACGATACCGTTCGACGTAAACAAACTCTCTAGTTGCTTAAGCCTTAATGAATCGAGAAAACTATCAACTGATGGGATTTGTTGCTCCGAGCTCATTTTATACAAACTATCCATGTAAACTTGAGTACACGGAAGCAGTTTTGAATCTCAACACAACGTATAATCTTGAACGTAAAATTTGAAACCAGTGGAATGTATGAGATCTGTCATTAGTCTTTGAAAATTATCTTGCAACTAAAGACCTGTATTTTTATTAATCCGATATTTGTAAGAGAAACATCGGTAGAAAGCAAAAATCTCGCTGAATTCACTACCACTGTTGCACTATAACAGTTACGGCCTAAAACAGACACCTTTAATTAAAGGTTTTTAAACGGTCCATCATACGATACGAACTGTGCAATGACTTATAACAGACAAAAATATAATTCAAATCTTTCCCACGCCGGCTTTTCTGTATGTATTTCGTTGTTTTCCTGGTATTTCGGCAAGACGTAACATCTGCAACCCTCTTCGTAGAAATACTCCTTCCCGGCCTGTCATCTCACAGTGCGCATGACAGAACTCCAATCCAAACATGACAGAAGGTCAAAGGATTGCAGAATCTTACGCTTATGGGTCATATAGCTCTTACCGGGCCCTATGTAAATTCACAAAACATTTTTTCTTAAATGAAAAGCTTGTGCTATAAGAAAGGAGTACTGGAAATTCAGATACAATTTAGAAACTTTGATGCTTGCAGTTGCAGCCATCGTTTGAAAAATACTCATAAAAACATAAATTGAAATTATTTTTTTTAATTACCATTTGGAGGATCGCTCTCGGCCATCTCATGTCCAGTGTTGCCATCTAACGAAGAAAGGACGCCGCTGAGACTCTACTTATCAAGAGCAAACAGGCCCGTGGACACTGGGGGCAGGGGGCAATGCCCCTAACAATTTGCCAAAATTGTGTTTGAAGATCTTATAAGCGCAACTTGATCTGTTAGGCAGGCAGGTATTTCGTTAGGCAGGTATAGAAAAAGCTGTATTTCTATCGATGTCCCTAATCCAGTTTAGCTGTCTACGGGCCTAAGAGTAACACAAGTCCTTTAAACTATATAACTTGAAATTAAGATAAAAGTGTACGAATAAAATTAGAGCGAATTTTAACAACGACTTCTCGAACATAGCCTTTATCATGACTACATTAAAACCAGCCTGGACCGTCTGGAAAAGGAATACATTGTCTCCATCACCTTTTTTAGTTTTGTTATGGATACCACTTTAACTATCTTTATCTTCCTTTGGAAGTAAAGGATGTTATTTATAGGATTTTAGCGGCATAGAACCAATAGATCATTTGCCTAATGCCGTCAATTCGATTAATTTTCGATAGCAAGTTTTTTTTCAACTTTCCTAAATAAGACAATTTTAAGCAAATTTGGTTGCACGGGAAAACCCTAAACAGGAAATTTTCGTCTGGATACAATTACTCAATATGTCCAAGCAAGATTATCTTGGTCCAAGACAATGAAAACATGGCTTCTGCGTACAAGAGGTCTATTATCATAGGTTTCTATCATTGTATCAAGTAGCAAGAAGTGCGACTATTTGACAGCGATAACAGCAAATATAAAGACTACTGACCTTCCATATCAACAAACAGGCACTTGGCTCAAAGATCCTGACGGGCTTTGCCTCTTTTACGTTATTGCCTCTTGAAACCAGGACTGTTCAAGTGGAGTGCTTAGTCAATGAAACTCACAAACGGAATCAGTTTCTGCTCTTTGTCTTCTTTATTCAAATTTGGGGCATTCAACTGTTAAATCTGCTAAAATCAAGTGAATCACTCGAAAATATCATTCTAGTAGATAAAATTCATATGACAAGACGCGAGTGTCTCGTGAACCTTGTGCAGCATTATCTAATACCTGTGCATATAAAGCGATATTTCCGACAATGGAAAGGTTATTTTCATAGCGAAATTCGACAGATGTTAATTTCCTCTGCGTGAGTTTTCGGCAGAAAAGCTTGAGCAGGGCCCGCGCCACTTGGGGGGGGGGGGGATGACCATGGCCTTCCACTTTTTTGCGAAGCCAGTAGTTTCAAAACTGCAATAAAAGGGATAAGAAGCCTTGGCCCCCTACATTTTTAGCCTGGGCCCTCCCCCACTTTAAACTTCCTGGCGCGAGCCCTGTTGGGTAGATTATTTTGCTGAGCTAGAAACGAGCCCCCCTACTAATAGGGTTTTGAGCAGTGCAATTGAACAGGGTCATGATTCTAAATGAAGTTTAAATGACATAAAAGCAGCAAGAACATCATGAACAAAATAAGCATAAATTTTCATGTTAGGTTCCAGTTCTATTATACCCTGCGTTGAGATAATTCAGGACACGGAGACATAACTGTGCTGTGTTCTATAAACACCTACATAAATCCCCGCAAAGTCTTGTTTAAAGATTTTTTAAGAACCTATTTTCGCCTGACATTGACGAGGCATTATCTTTGAAGGGCAGGGCAATGCCCCCGTAACCATTTATAGCCACTAGGCAGCTCTATTGTCCGGTATTACCAACCAAATCTATCGTCAAAATACAAAGAACCAAATGTAAAAAACTCTGATTCTGGGACTGGTTATTCTTTGCACCTTTAAAAAGACTCTGACTATTGATTTACTGTACTTTTGCAACCTGCCCTTATGTTTTTCTTGTCTGAGTGCTTCAAATTACAATAATCACATTTTCAGTATAAAGATCTTTTCCTGGCCAAAAGACCCTTGAGTTGCTGATTGAGTTCAATCCTTTATTGAGGAATACACTAGAAAATTGTGGCTTTACCATAGAATATCTAAATCAACTTGATATTTGGCTTTTATTTTCTGTTTCTACTGTCATTACTCTCTACTATATGATTTTTTATTGTATTTGTATAAATTTTGGAGAAACACTTGCCCTTCTTCTACATAATATCGCCTCTCCCGATAAGCAAAGGTTTATGTGCTTTGCGCAAAGACTGATCTTTCCAGTGCAATCTTGAATAGCTGCATCGCCAGTTTAGAGATCTTTACCTTCGGCATTGAGAGTTTTTCAGCTACTCGATGTTCAAAGACAGTACCTTTAATTTCGTTTCTACTTAAAGACGTTCCTACACGACTCTCCCACCCGAGAAAAATCTCCTCTAAACATCTAAAATTTGCCTGTACACTATTTGCCTGTCAAAGTCACATGATCTCTAAGAAAGGAAATCTACGAAATTTTGCTTGAAACTTCAGCACGAATGAATGGGCACAACGTACTGCTGATGAAACCACTTTTTAGAGCTTTTTCTCAGCAAAAAAGAAAGAAATGATAGTGAAGAAACATGCCCAAGGAAAAATAGAAATCATAGCTTCAATTGCAACTTTGAGTTGAGAAATGGGATGCTCCTAAGTGAACTTTGATACACTATGAATAGATAGAAACAAAAGAAAACAGGCTACTTTCAATTTTTCTATGAAAATGAAAACAAAAATATACTATCGCAATACACTATTAGCTGGTGAATAATATTGAAGATGCAAATAATCAAGGACATTCGATTAACTCAAGATGCACCTTTCAGTTCGCAAGGAAGAAATTTAAAATATTAATTCTTTATCCCCAGCAACTTAGATTCATTACCCTTAGAGTTTTAATAAAAGAAAATGAAGGGTTTGGCAAATCAGAATGCTGCCTTATTTCTTTTTCATAACGATCATATGGCTGGAAAAGATACGCTATGGGCACTTACCCTACCCCCTTAAATCTACAGCATGAACTCCCCCGGGTATTCTAATAAACGGCAGCTTAAACATGACTGGCTTCTCTTTAATAAACATGGCGTCATATCGCTTAATGTTTCGCTGTTTCAAAAGAAGGTTAGTTGGATATTACATACTGGCTACCTTGTTATTTTCAATGTAAACGAGGACTAAAATCAACAATCACAGGAAATGAAAAGTCGGGTGCATTGATCTGTCAAGGTTAAAGAAAAGCTATACTGAAAGATAATTAGTCGACAATCTTATATAAATGAATAATTAGCAAATGTGTCGTCTAACCAAGGAGCGAAGACCTAACATCTACCAAAAGTATATATAAAGACTTATACAGAGACATATATCAAATAGAATTATATTGATGACGTAAAGCCTGATGAATAGGAGGCTGGAAGCATCTGATTCGCTCCTCCGAGTCGCTTGTAAATAAATAGCGGTTGAGAATGGCAAAAATTTGTCTGTTCAGGTTCTTGTATCGTCTTATTCTCACCACTAGCCGTTTAAGGTCCTAGAAGAGAAGAGCGGTAAATGAACAATGTTATCAGCAGCACTCGAGACAGAAGCCAGAAAAAATATCAATCCCCCTCCTATGTGATTGATGAAGCCTAGCTCTTGTTGACTGGCAGTGATAATGGCTATGATGGCAGCGTCCTCAACACGATTTCTCCGCTTTAAGATTTAATTTTCACGCTAAGTGATTGTGCAACGGCAGTGTTTTTCTAGCACTACCTATAAACCGATATCTCAACAAAATAATTAAAAAATCTAGGCCTAGGGAAAAGGCGATATTGGAAAGTTGATCCGCTGTGGGCAATAATGGTTGACAAAGATGTGGAATTCCTCAGTTTCTAACGAGAGTAGCTTTAGGCTATGCAATAATTCTCAATGTTTAATTAAATAGATAAAAATTATAGTTTTGAAATTGCTTATCAATTGAAAAGAAAAAAAATTAGCAAGAGAGCTTCACGTCATTGCTTAAACATATCTCTGTTTCCTGTTTGCTGACACTCTCTTCAATTGTTATCATGCAAAACAAAAAACATACCACGCCAGCAACAACTTCTTCTCTTGCATCAACTTCCTGCACCTTCAGAATGTGTGACGCGAAATCCAGAGCATTGAATCTTTTGTGCTGCTTCAGCAATGCAATTATCGTCAAACCAGCCCAATGAAGACCTTCACCGAATGTCTCCCTGAGAAATAAAAAGTTGAGAAATTTTTAAGAAGTGTGCATAACTTTTCGTTTTTTTTTAAATAAAGTTAGTATCAGAATTAGGTCATGCAACGATCATCATCAATCGGTCGTCAAAGTCTCTTTTACACTAGAGTGTTGCCGCAAAGATACAACTTACTCCTGGGAGGTACCCAAGAGGCATGGAACTCTGGACAGTAGACAAGCAATCTAACCACCCAACTACTTAATCTCGTCTCTTTAAAACAAGCATTTAGTTTTTCTTCGTCTATGGAGATGACATGTTATAAGCTGTTGATAAAAAACAGATTTTATCAAGAAAAGGTTAAAATACAGTCATGCATCTCAGTCTTCTCGACTACCTGTTTCTGGCCTTTTCTTTTTGTTGACCACGATTATCTTATTTCGTCCGGCAATTTCTTTCTAATTTATGTTTTGTGTGGGTGACTTTCAAAACTCTAACCCGTTCTAAAATTGCAATCAGGTATTGTATAACCTAAAGTTTCTGTACATTCGACGCATAACTAAATATTTCTTATTCTCGGGGTATGTGGCCTTTCATCTATATGGCCTAACTCTAAGCTACTTGTAGTATCTCAGTATCAACTGCCATTTTTGAATTTTTATATTGACTCAAATAAAAACCTTCTTACTCGACAGTTAGTTCATGTTGCCCTAGAGGTTTGCAGCACATGAAATGAATAGCACTCCAAAGTCGATGGAACTCTTTGCACTCTTCGATGCTCATCACGCCATTTGAAGCAGGTGGTTCTTTCCAGATTTCGTCGGTCAGAAATGAAGATATTTTCTTCAAAACCACTTCGAAAAGAGACAACCCACAACAAAGCCTCTCTTTAGTGAGAATCTCTGCCTCCTCTGCGTTTTGGCGTTGCTGTTGAAAATAACAAAATTAAGAATACTATGCATTCCTATACTATGAATTTCCGCATTCCTGCAGAACGCTTTAATAGTACTCTAAAATATCTGGTAGCCACTAAAATTTTTAACGCTGTTATCCCAACAAGACTAGTTGAGCTACAATCAAATGGATCAAAGTCATGATGTTTTGACATAGTTATATGAATTATTTACATAAAACGCTTCCATGGTAAAAAAGGACGCAAATAATCATGATATTAAACCTAGAGGTTTCATTGTTCCTTTCTTTAACATTTTCTTTGTTCAAATACTGCCTTAAAAGAAATGGTTTATCAGAGAAATTCTTCTATGAGAATTTTTCAAAACTGACTACCAGAACTTCTCAACTACCTCAAATTTTCTGTCTCTGTTGTCGGAAAGGAATAATTTATGTTTCTTGCTCAAAGGAAAAGTTTATATTTCTGGCCCAAAGAAATAGTTTATGTTTCTTGCTCAAATGAATAGTTTATATTTCTGGCCCAAAGGAATAATTTATGTTTCTTGCTCAAAGAAATAGTTTATGTTTCTTGCTCAAAGGAAAAGTTTATATTTCTGGTCTAAGACTGCTGAACTCCACACAGGAAGGGTAAGCAAGAGAAGACACAAGAAAGTATTTGAATCATTTGCATAGAATTTCAAAAGAAGATGCCATTTCGAAAGTCCCTAAAGGAATAGCTACGTCCCTGGCCTGCTATCCGTTACAATAATCAATCTGTATTCGTCATAAGGCCTCATATTACGCAACTGGAAAGGTTTAACGGCCAATAACATAAAATATTATTCCTAGTATTAAAAAAGCATGCTTACTCGATCATCACCATATCGTGAAACGATAGAAACAATTTGGAATGAAGCATACTGTGCTTCCAGCCTCTTCATTTTCGCTTCGACCGAATCACGCTCTGCATATAATATAATCAACAAATCAACTGCTTGCTGTGACTAAATTGCCTTGGAAAAAGTTCTAAACTAAATTAAAAGACATTTAAATAAAATGTTGCTTCAAAAGTATGGTTGGGAAATATTCTTACAACTGGAACGCGAATGGACATGTTGAGAAAAGTATGAATAGCTGAAAATATCGGTTGCAAGCAAATTTGTTGCTCAGCATATCTCAGAAAGTTTTGCCGTGTTCAACCCAGCTTGAATTGCTTGAAACAAAACATTTTAGAAAGAATATGATAAAAACTATTGTAAACAGTACACTTCATCTAGTTGAAATGTTTGGCTTCAAAATTCTACAGACACAAGTTCCCATACAAGCTCATGCCCATACATAGACTTGACTTAGAGCACTGCAAAAGTAGGCCAAATTACTATTTCTGAAACCTTAATTGATACCGTAGTCTCTTAGCAAATATACGTTGCCAACCAATCAAACATCTAGCTACGATTCGGAAAATCAAATTTCTAGTAGCCCAGCTCCAAAATTTGGTAATTTTCAAAAATTACGGTATACGACTCAAGCAATCGAAGACTCACCTTTTACAAACGGCCTTGGTATTAAACCTTGGAATGGCGCGGCATGGAGTAAATCATTGATTTCATCAAGAGTCTATAAAAAAGTGAAAGTTCAAAAAAATAATAGAAAGACAAAGAATTCTAAAATTCCAGTCGACACAAAATACAAAATCTAGTTGACTTCATATAACGAATAATTACAACAGGAAACAGTAATATTGCTTTTCACTCTTATTTCACTAAAGATATCCAAATGCATGACAAATTTGTAGGTATTTGAAGAAACTTACCATTTCTTGCTCTATAAGCAAACAGAAGACAATGACATTGCCAGCTTCTCTGAACGCTTGAAATACTTCAGTCTTCAGTTCGCCATAATGCATAATATTTTCAAGATTAGCATTATAGTACTCCAGAACACCTGGAAGTGAAAATTTATTTGTTTGGTCAAAGGAATATTCTCTTTATGATGAAAATATCAGCGAAACCAACAGCTATGCAAGATCAAAAGGAAAGATGTTCTGCTGAATACCGGTCATTTGAGAAATAGGAAGACTTTCCCAAAGGTCCTGCAAAAAGGGACTCTTCAGACACAATGGTTGTGTAAATTTCATTTAATATATTATCTGGTTCGAGATAGATAGTTTCTAAAATTCAATTATTTATGTGAAGTTTTTTACTATTAAACACAAATAAGTTCTATGCTATGATAATTTGGTATCTGGTTATTTTTCTCAAAAGGTCTAGATCCAGTCCTGGTCTAGTCCAATCCAATTTACACGCCACATACCAGCTGAATAATAGTACTTACGCATGTGACAAACTAAAGAAAAAGCTACAAATAGCATTGTTTTGATAGCAAATACGGTATAGTCAAGTGGTTGAAGCGATAAAGCGTACTGAAGAAGGTTTGAAATTTTCACGAATTTATGACTTAGACGCCAGCCAGCCACCGGTCTAGCAGCAAATAGGTATCCGAAGAAAATACTTAAAGACTACAGGGCGAGCATTGTGCCTCAGGGTAAACGCAATGTCATTACGCAATGTCATTACGCACGGGTCACGCATCTTACAAACGGCCTTGGTGCAAAGTAGAGTTATCTTTCATGAAAAGACTAACCTAGATAAAGGTTTGGGTTCACCCTCCCTTCAGATTTCCCTCTTTCCTTTAGATATGGATGGAACAGCAATAGCGTATACAATTGGTTAGTAATATTACAAGGGCAACACAAGACAAGCATTGTCTAATCCAGCGAAACTTCTATTTTAGTTTTAGCTCCTAAATAACGACACAAGATATTAACGAAAACCTAGAAGTCAATTAACATTCACTTACCAGCAGATCCATACTCATATCTTGGTAGGCCGCATTTCGCTGGCATCCCACCAATGAGTACCTTCACATATTGCTGTATAGTGCCTTGCAACTGCAAGAAAGAGGGTATTGCTAAGAGTGCTGTCAATTATCGACATGCAAGATTGTTTAAAAGTCGTTATCTTAGCAAACACTTTTCGCTTGACACTCCTTAGTGTTTGAAACGATAGAATGATGATCGAAAGAGATACTAGAAAGTTAATCAGTCATCCATACGGTATCATGTAGGGCAGTGAAATACCTCCAGACGATGTTTAAATGGTAATTGCTGGCCACTGAAAAAAAATTCCTAGAGGTGAACAAAGCATTTTAACCGGAGGTAAATCAAATTTGGTTTAAAAGGGGACAGCATAAGATAGCTACTTGAAAGTTCAAAATCTCTAATTTGTAAACATTCCCGGTTACTGCCGAGGGACTAACTGCTTTAACACATCCCTAGCGATCATGACATTTTCGATAGAAATATACTTATTACATATGCCTGGCAATAATTTATTACTTCCAGAGCTTGATGGCATCATTAATTCGATACCTAATTGGCAAACACATACCAGGTTTTTCACGATCTTTAGCAACTCTTCAATTGTGACGGCGATGCCATGGTAACCGAGCAAGCGAACGAGACAACCAAAGTGAGGCTTGCCAAAAAAGTTGGTGTACAACGAGTGAACGCTACTGAAAGCTTGGTTTAATGCCTGGCAGAAAGAAGAAAATGATATCAGTAGAATGTTTCTGGAAAAATTTCAGCAAAAGAACTTGCTATAATCAACGAAAAAGCATAAAAATTTAGGAAGAAGCAAGTTTAATAGGCAGGGCAAAGAAAAAAGCGAGAACGAAAATAAGAACGACAAAAAATTGGAGCAGGAAGTTTTTTTAATGGTCGGATTTCGTCCAATCAGCATAAAAATGTTGCATTCATTTCATTTTCATTTCATTTTTATTTCATTCATTTTAACTTTTATATCCATGGTAATTCACTCAATATTATAACATACTGCTTTACAGGGCGCCATGCAAAATAAAATCTACTAACAACTAAATAAATATATAAAATAATCTTATTTACAATTATTATTGATAAAATAACGAAAAGAAAAAAACGAGCTGAGTCTAAGTTGGTTAATATTTGGGTTCTATTTTTCCTTCGAAATGAGCAGAAGGATGATGATGGGGATTTGAAGGGCAGAAAGCTCTCGTTCTATGTTGGCTTCATTCTTCGCGTTTTGTTTCTGATAAAGGCTTAAACATCGTATCTTAAAAAATATTATGAATCTTTTTATGGTAACTTTGACTTTTAGTAAATGGAAGAAAAAATCTTTCCGCGCAAAGCAGGGAAAAATATTTCGCTACAAGAAAACACGAACAAATATTGAGGAAAAAAAACGGCATTACCTTACTACCAAAAAAGTACTGCGGTGCGGCTCTTGGAGCAGATTCACGCGTCACTTCCGGCGCAAAGGAAAACGTAGTCCGTACGAATCTGCAAAGCAATGCAAAAAATAGTCTCAAGGCTGCATGAAATAGCCTGTAAGAGATCACTAAAACACCTAGTATGCTGGGTTTCGTCTCTGGAAAGTGGAAAAGCTTTTGAAGTATTAAGCACAACAGCAAGTACATCTACCATTTTATGCTTGGAAAAAACATTCGAGGTAGCAGCAGAGACTCTGCAAAATTGTAATAATCTGGTGTTAGTCAACAATGCTGTACATATAAAAAACATTGCGGAATCCTCTCTAAAACATCTATCAAGCAAGAAAGTATTTAACACAAGCAAGAAAAAGAAATATGTAAATAACCCGTAAAAATTTTGTTAAATTGACATACAAATTAGACTTACAAAATGAAAGAAATACAAAAAGACATACAAAAAATGAAAGTACATTCTTTCTAAAGTTTTTTTTAAAATCTTTTTTGTTTATGCAGTTACTTTTAAATCCAAATAGTCTTAATTTTTATCTGGATACAGATAAAATTCAATATTTACCTTCACTAGCTTTAAAAAACTAACGATTCTCAGCTTTTTACACGTAGTAGACATTTCTTAAAAAGTTATGAAGATTACTGTAAACCGGTTTGTTTGTTAGTGATCGATGCCACAAAGATAGAGCTGTATTAGCTATGGTGTGTATAACAAAATTGTTCTAAGTTCACGAATTGGCGCTACCCTGAGTTTTTCACTTAGTGCAACAATCAGGCAACTATCGATCTGCTAAAATATCATTTGCTAAAAAGTGTATTCTTAAGGATTCACGTCATGAAAAATGACGCGAAGGACGAAATTAAATCTATCATAATAAAAATCTCGATTGAAAGCTTGATAGAAATACATAGGTCAACAATTCTTTGTTGTTGAGTGAAGAAACAAGTTTTTTCGCCAACAGAAGTGAAGAGAACATTAAGATATATATATATATACACCACAAGAACTGCCTAGATAATGATAAATAAAGAACTAGAAACAGGCCCGATGCAAAGTATATGTCATGGTTCTTAAGTTAAAATCACGACCACTACAGCTACTAACCTGTTTGTTGATGAATTATAGCAATAATTTGGAAGAAAATCGTAGTAGAGCTCCCAGAAAACATGGAGAGTTATTCGACCATATGGCACAGAGACAGAGTGGTTGGCACCGCGAATCATCGTTGCGAATTCTGGCAGATTGAGGTGCTTCGACAACAAACTGTGGGCCAGCCGATTAACTTCAATGGCTGATTCAAGCTCCTGAAAAAGTTAGCATGACAATTCAAGCTGCCTTTAGCAAAAGCTTTAGACGGGTTCGGTTAAAAACCGCTGGCTAATTTCTTAGGGAATGAAGAAAATATCCAACAAAATTTTTTATGTCAACATACAGAAATAACTTGTAAATGCGAACTATCTGATTTTTAGCTCAAGACGAGAAAGGTGCTTGGTTTTGGCTGTTAAATTCTATAAAAATGCAGTCAGGAATGCTTCAACGAAGTATAGACTTAACAAAAATTCAATTTAGGATTCTAGCAAACTATAGCCCTTTGCATCCAACTCTAAAGCAATTTTTACAAATTTTAGGAAATTGGTCTACAAATTTTAGCCTAAAGCTTTTTAAAAAATGTGTACCTAATAAGTTATTTTTGTTAAAACTGAATATAGGAAGGGAAGCTTGCTGAAGGCTTTAACATAAATCTATGTAAATCTATGTAAATCTATGTAACTCTTATGTAAAACAATGGAGCGTGGAAAATATACATATTTTATTAAGAGATTTTCCTTCTAAACAACACATAAAGACGATTTTCAGAGGCCTCCAGAGGTTTTTCAATACACAATGATTATTCATTGATTGTACTTTATCATTTTACCAAATTGAAGGATGCGCATTTGGTACAAAAACAATAAAGTCTAAACCTTATGCAACGTAATAATACTCACAACAACACCGATAAGACTGCCACTTTCAAATTTACTTATGCAAATATCCAACGATTTTTCCAGGGCCGTGGTGATTCGTTGAGTCAACATTTTGTTAAGATCAATGGACCGCCCAAGTAACTAAAAGAGAACGCAAGTGTTATGCATTTTAAGAATCATTGTCAATAAGTATGAGGGAGGCCTTTGAATACATACTTAATGACTGAGGCTTCAAAAGCAAAACAGCGTCTTTTAGAATTTACTTTCATGCTATCCTTTTTTGGACTTGTCTAGTTTTCTACACATTGTCAGAAATAAAGGTGTAGAACGGGATAAAAAGACCGCTTCTGTGTGCATTCCTTGACTTTTTCTAGATGGAAAAGTTTAGTGACAATGCATTAACTTAAGGTTATGCAGTACACCAGGCAGCTAAAAATTTCACCTGGATTGGCGTGCTCCAAATTTTTTGTGTTTGGACAAATACTTAGGCCCAAACATTAGTGAATTTAAAAAAATTGGTAAACTACATAGGATATCTATTTTTCATAGGTTGCCGTCTGTTTAAAATTATCAACAAAGGCTTATACTTTTCAATTTTCAATTGAAAATTATACCACAATAAGGACCTTCAACTGACGGGAAAGTGGACCATTTTGGTGACACGCAAAATATTTTAGGTAATATACCCGTGGTTGTAAGAAAATCACGATCATAAGAGACAAACAGTTTTTATGGCGGTACAGAACTTTAAAAAAACAAATATTTTTTAACATATTGGCTAAAAGCTTTTTCGTCTGACACTCCTCAGAGCATAAACGTCAGAATAAGGGTCCGAAAGAACATGATGAAAAATATATACCCAGTTGTGGATCGAAATAGGCCAAGATCATATGATACGTAAAGGGATCCCAAAAGGCATCGTAAATAGAAATACCTGAACATGTTTTTGCTTCATGAGCGAGACGTATCTGTTTGAAGAGGGGTAAGATATTCCACCATCAGGCATCGATCTTTTGTCTTCTGCATACCGTCTTTCGAGTTCGTCGCGGAAGTTCTTGTCCAATAAAATGCTGTAAAAATATAATACATTGTACTGGGCTCCAAATAAAAATCGGATAAAAAGCATGATACAAAATAGTCGGAATAAAAGCTGGAAGACGTGTCGATTTTAAATGTGCATTCATTAAAGAACTGCTTTCTAACTAATCTTCTCATTTCTAAGCTTTTGAGTAAAGTAAGGCGCTTTCAAACCACTTGCAGATTAGAAAAACGACAATAACAGAAACATTCTAACTCGAACATAGAGAGAGAAGCAGAGAAATTGAGATGAAAACGATTGGACAAAATATGGAAAGATTACCTTCCAGCTACTGCCTTGTAATGAGCAAATATCATCTCACTCAACTTGTATACGAACTGGTCAAAACAAAGATTTACCTAGAAAAAGATGATTAAAGACATTTCAAAGATATTATTTCATATATTCTAATTATATCTTCACATTGCAAAAACATTTTTTGCTGAAATCAGCTGATCTTGGCCGCTTTGCATTATTCAAACTGATTATTATTATTGTTGTCGAAAAAGTATCTAAAATTGGTACAATTTATAGTAATAACAGTCAAGCAACCTATTTTCAAACTAAGAAAATTAAAAAATTACAAACAAATCTATTTCAAGATCTTTAATCGTTTTCAACTACAGTTTCTCAATTTTTTCAAATCAATGCAAATTGGAGCAGCCTATCACTAGCCCCTTGGAAAAAGCGGGGAGGGGGGGGCTGGTGCAGCAACAGCAGCGATACAAAAGGGGTAGCAATATACAGGAGCTTCCGTACAAATTACCTACCTGAAGACCCTGCTAATATTTGTCAAGCTGTACAATGGGTAGCCCCCCTCCCCTAATATAAATTTTTTTCCGACGGCACTGATTAAATCATTTTCAAATATAGCACTTGGTAATATTTGGTTCGAAACAGCATTGGGTAATATTTGGTTAAAGGGACTTAAAAGATGTTGGCAAAAATATATGGGTGATAATATACTGGCAAAAATATATTGATCATTCCATCCAGAGTTTAAATCTACTGTGTAAGGCGGACATGGAACGACACTGTTTCATAAGCTGCGGTAGAAAACATGGGACAATTGACAACGGTTATAGCCAAGTTTATGGCCTTTTTCTTAAGCCTTATATCATGTTTTGGAGTTCTGTCGTGCAGTTACTGGGAATTAATCTATGAGCTAAAATTATGGTCAGAAGGAAAAAAAAGCAGGCTTATATGATTTAAAAAGATTTGTAAACTGCCAAAAATATCTTTTTTCATTTGAAAAATTGTTAAGCATACATACCTCAGCTTCAATCTCGTCGTAAAGAAATTGCTTCCTAAACTTCGATAAGGCATATTGAGCACTATCATTGTATAGATCCAGAGGGTATAAAACATATCTGTGATGATAAATAACAAACAGGCATTCAGCTGCTATTCAGATACACAGATTAAAGAATAGGCAATGTCACCATCGTGTGCAGAAAACATTGCAGGAAACATTAGGTGTTATTTGAGAGAAGCAAAGAGAAATTAAACTACTAATACACTTGACTAAGGGAATGAAGTTGAAATAGGCCAGTCAAAAAATATATTTCCTTCAGATCATCAACAGTTGCCGTACTAGAATTTTACTCAGGCAATTCTGTTGGATCCGAGACTTTCAATACAAAAGTTTTGGGCTTAAAGTGATACTATCTGCCATAGGTCTCAAGCGTCCATATAGTAGAGCTCGTCCTATATGACACTGAAAACACTTTCAACATCAAGACTTGAATAATGCGACAAGAGTCCGTGCTTGACAGTACTAAAACGAGACGTCCTGTTTGTACAGCTTCAGTCCATGAAGTTTTCCAGTACAAAACATACAGGTTAATGTTTATGGTATATGCTTGAAAAAAGCATTTGATTATATATGATATGAAGTTTAATCAACCCCTCAAGGCTTTATGCACACTTGTAGATGATTGGGGCTTAATGCACACGTGTAGCACTTGCAGACATCGTAATATGATCAAACAGTGCTAAGGATTCTCGTTTGGTCGTACATTATCGTAAATGATGAAAAATTAACACTTTGCAATCGTTACAAACAAATAGAAATTACAAGTAAAGAAAAGAAATGCTTCTTTCGATAACCTGAACAGTTGAAGATATATCTATCTACTTACTCCATTAAAGCTGCATCATTTGCATCTAGAATATGATCTGTCAGTATCCAAGGCATTGACATTTCAATGGGGAACTAAAATGATACACACAGTACTAATGAATGCTTGACATTCAACGCTTAGAATGCATTGCTAGATAAGAGCTGTTTGAACAGCAAAACAGAAGTATAGACATCTGATAAAAACACAGCTAGGCTATAATTGATAACATATATTCACAAGAAAGTAAAGACAGCCAGATTGCCTTAGTATTCGTTTTAAAGATTCACAAATAAATCAAAACGTCCAAAAAGTTAAAGCACGAGGTTGTTATATAAAACATGTTTTTTGGTGATGAGATAGGCAGGCAGGAACTGCTACATTACAAACAATTTTTCAGTAACGCAATTAAGCACATTTAGTTTTTTGTGTCAATGGATGGCTTAGGGGGACGGTGGCCCTTGAAAAAGCTTGGTTTCATTTATCAGGTCAAATACGTTCTTGATCAAAAGATATTAGACAAACAACTTTTCTGCTAGGATCTTAAACTTTTTAATTTCTCTTTGCATGGTTTCACTGTACAAGTTTATACAAACATAAATAAATATTATCACATTGACACATATATATTGATTTTATAATGGTTTGGAATCTTAATTACTCGACGATAAACATTGGCCGAAACTTTGTAATCAACTACGATTTTATTCAATGCTCGGTATTCAATTCATATAAAGGATCTAAAGCTAGCGATCATTTTGCAGATATGAGATCATTTTAAAAACCGTTGGAGCAACTTCATGGAAGAACAAGCTAACTGCGTTGGTGCATTGGTGGCCGATGAGATGGTTACTGGTCTCAATGAATCTTTTATCTAAGAAACAACTTAGCTATTGTTCCAGAAAAAAATTTCTAACAGAATGGGCCGCAACTGCATAACACTGCGATGATGTTTGGTCTAAAACCGATACAGTTCTAGCAATAGCAAATTCATTTAGACCAGGATAATAAGAGTCCGCGGGTAAAAAAGAGTAAGTTACACACCTGTATACTCTTTCCCATGGTTAATTCCAAGAAAAACTCGCGAAACCAAAGCTGTGACAGGTCACAGCATTCCCGTAGTACTTCAGTAAAGTTTAGGATGTACGGGAACAAACGAGAGTTCTTCAGAAAGCTATCAATAGCAAGAAGAGTTGCTCCATCAAGATCTTTTTTCATCGTTTTTCCCTTGCCAGCTTTCTCCGAAATCAATGATTCCAGCATGGTTCGTAACATGTAGAGCTGTCAAAAAGGCAATTCAAACTTGTTTTTCAAAACTAAATAACTGAAGTTCTTCAAATGGTGAATCTTACATGAAGCATCTAAAGTATTAATTTAAATGGCCTTCTCTCAAAGCTTTAATTGCACAAGCTTTTTTTCTTACCTGTCCTTCGAGAAAGGCCAAAAACCAACTATGGTAAAAGAAACCTAACTATACATGCTTTGATATTGAAAGAATTTCAATAGAAAAGAAAAAATGCATTTACATTAAGAGAACTCCGGTCCGCAAGTTGAAGTCAAAGACGATGTAGTATTTACCTGTGTAGTCGAAGGTCCAACAGATCTCTTTGGCAGGTCAACAAGAAAATTTGTTCGCTGGTCCCTATCTTTTCTAACATTCCCCGAATTCGCGTCTCTTTGCAAGTTTTTACTAACATCCATCGCAGTCTCTCTAACAGCTACCAGTACACTAGAAATCGATTTTTAAAATTACACCAACATGGCAAGACACGCTTGATGCTCAAATTAGAATTTTGGTGCGAAACAGCAAAGTTATGTGTGTGTAAAGATTAAAAGATTCGAACTAGGTTCTTCTTTTATCACGATATCCTATAGAAATCTGTTAAAAGTATCTGCGTTCAAGATTGGTTATTGTGATGATTTTAACTAATAAAAAAAATATTTGGTTTGTTTGCGTCCCTGGAAAGTTTACCATCAACAGGATCCGAACCTGGAAAATTTAGAACCAACAAGCTCCGGACCTGGAAAGTTTAGCATAAACAGGCTCCGGACCAGGAAAGTTTAGAATCAACAAGCTCCAGACCTGTACAGTTTAGCATAAAAAGGCTCCGGACCTGGAAAGTTTAGCACAAACAGGCTCCGGACCTGGAAAGTTTAGCATCAACAGGTTTAGGACCTGGAAAGTTTAGCATAAACAGGCTCCGGACCTGAAAAGTTTAGCATCAACAGGCTCCGGACCTGGAAAGTTTAGCGTCGAAAGTTTATCTTCGAAAAGTTCTCGTAAAGTTGCCAACCAACAAAAGAAATGATAAATATTAAGATAAATAATGTATTTTGGCTAATTTAACTGATGATTATTGTACATAATTCATAAGTAAAATGCATATAATATCCCACTGTTATCGTCGGTTTTGCTTCTAGTCTCGCATAGGAATGTAAACTGGCTGAGGTCAAATAATTTAATAGCAACTAACAGTCCTTTGTACATTTCTTGAGCTTATAATTATTGAAATAGAAATATCGAATCATAACCTTGCCTTACTTTCACAGTGTTAAAATTACAAATGGGACAGCAAACAACCTTTTGCAAGGAATATAATTTAATTCTATATCTTTAAGTTTTCACAGAAAGCTTAATAGCAAAAATTCAAGGTCATCATAACCTTTACTTTTCAGAATAACAGACCGTTTTCAGAATTTTTGATGGGGCCTTACGATTTTGTCAGGGCTTTTCCTGCCTTCTTTGCTGTTTTCTTCAATGGCTCTTGCAGGGTAACTTGAAGGAATTCCTGTATTTCCGAGTGTATTAATCGCCTGCCAGCCTCTGAGAATACACCTTCCAGCTTCAACATCACACCGTATAAGCCTTTTATCATACCAATAACCTACAAAGAATTCTATATACATGAAAACATCTCGAATAGCACGGCTAATTGCATATTAGTCTTATACATCATGCAGTTTAGTGACAGAATAAGCGTGGTTTAGTCTGTCTGGAACCAGGTGCGCGGTGGATGGGTTGTAGTCAATTGGTACTCATAACTCGTTGTCTTCAATTCGTGACTTATTCTAAAGCAGTCAGGTACCGTCACCACTACGGGGTACGGGGGGAGAAGTTGCTCTTATCATCACAATGTTTAATATGATAGAGTGACTGGGACTCCCAAAGCTCTTTACGTTTGGCATATGTTAGTTGCTTCGAGAGAATTAAAAATTTAAGAAAAAACCGTTAAAACAAGGATCTAGATGTACTTTTCTACTATAGCTTTCAAATGCTGGATTATGGCATTTACAGGAGATAATTCAAAGAGCATATTTTGTAATCAATAAAGTCAAGCGATTTCCATACTGAAAGCATTGCTATTTAAAAATCAGCTTTGTCTCATGCAGCAGCTGCTTCATGTAAACAAAAATGAACTTGGAGATTCATTATTACCTGGACCATTGCAAACTTTTCATCTGTATTGTAATTGTATCGGGTTGACTACATGAAATGAAAGCAATAAAAAATAAACAACTAACAACTTTTATGCAAAGCAAATAACTGGTAATTGTGCATTGTCATTCTAGCCAGGTTGACCAAAACACAAATTCAAAGCAGATACGGCTTAAGATGATAAATCATGATAACTGAACTGCAAGAGAAAATGCTCATGGTTATCTTCAAAAGATTGCTGTTGCAATGTACCTCATTCTGAAGTTATCACATACGAGACTCTTTCAAGAGGACAGAAGCTTATGAGCAGCCAAAGCTTGTCGACTTTTTCTCATCTTATTCTAGCATAAAACATTTCTAGACTGACAGGGGTATCTCTAATGACAAGCAGCGAATAGGATAATAAATGGAAGAGATTTTACCTACCCTTTCATAAGCAATAGCAGTATCAGGGCATTGCGGGTTTGCATATTTATCTGTTGGATGCAACAGTTTCCAGTGATACTGAAAATAAACAAAAGCAACATAAAGCTTTATGCATCAGTTCATCTTCTATTTAAGTATAGACTGCTAAGGTTTTAAAGCAGCGAGAAATTGTTGATTAACCGGACACAGATTGACACAGAAAAGATTAACCAGGGAAAACCGGCACTAAAGTGGCATCACTGGAGAGAAACAGCAAAAGTCGTGCGTGTGCACTATTATCAAAGACGCTTATGTTTATTCCTTTATCCTTAGATCTGATAAAATTATACAAGTGTCTGTTTTCACTAGTTACATAAATTCTCAAGGCTCACTTGAAGCATTTCACTACGCCACTAATGGAGGTAGTATTATTCTGGTTTTTGTCCCTTACAATATCAGCACTGGAAAGCTTAGGACAAGAAAGGCCAGTCTAACCTAAGGATCGACTATCTTTGTAATTTCCGCGAACAGAATAACTGACACAAACTCCCGATAGTTCTGTGTAAAGTCAACATATTGAGGTAAGGGGTTTCGCGGTTGTGACCATGAACAGTCCGATCATGCATGGCTCTAACATCGAAAGATGCTAACCATAACTTAATTTGGCTACAATACTAAATTGTATTTGAAAATATATTTTTAGAAAATGCACATATAAGCTATATCTTAGGTAGCTTTGAGGATACGCTTAGCATTTAGGTCTTCAGTATCAGCATGATGATTCCATTTTTACTAGAAGTTACATCAGCATTTACAGAAGAAGAATATTCTAAGTAAAAACTCTCAAGGCTGTTATATGTGTCAAGACACAATGTTGAGTATTGGGAGGTTGATTAAACTCACCAATTCCATGACGTGGGAATTCCATGATGCAACCAAGCGCAAACCACGTAAGGCAAGCTCAAAGAGATCCTTACACTGGTTGTACGTTATCGGGGAATTACTTGACGATGTTATGAACTAAAAAGAAGAAGAACCTTGATAGCATTATCAAAAAGATCAGGTATCGGAAGTAGCATGGTTAGTGGAAAAGGAAAGACATTAGAATTCTCTCTTAGAATTGAAATAAAAATTGTTTCCTTGTCAATTGAAAGTAGAAACAAATACTAAAAATAATCGAATATTTCATAAAGCTAAAACTTCATCAGTTTTCTTTTGGGTACACGGATTTCTATTTTTTAAGATAAATCACGACCAATTCATTTGTTGTTCCTTTGTATCCTATTTTGCGTTAATTATTTCTACTCAGCTTCGGCATTACATATATTATACATTTACTCATATATTCATTCAATTCATTCATCTTTTATATCCCCATTATAAATCAAACTTTCCCATTTGCATTCCATCTAAACGCAGAACCCAATAAAATCAACATAGTAGCTTATGAATCAGGAAAGTGTAACTGACTGCTTAAGATAAGATGAATAAGACTATGAAGACTGAATTACGATGAAAGTGATGATGCTGATTTATAATTATTAATGATGAATTACAGAAACAATGGAAATAATGGTGGGGAAAATTACAAAGATTGTTAATGAAGACAATGATTGATCATGATGGTGATAAAAATGATGATGATGTATGATTAAAGGCAGTGTGCCACACTGTTTACTGTTCCCTGGCTACTGTTAATTGATTTTCGATAGTCCTTACAATTAGAGAAGCGTAAAAATTAGTATTGGCGACCTCCTTTAAGAAACCTCCATTGCTACGAAATGAAAACTCGCTAAAATGGTAATTTTATCTTTTGTTTTGTTCAATCGATGAACGGTGTGACGCATTGATCATAATGCTAATGATCACTGGCGGAATCTCAGATACTGAGATTAAACTTACATCATTACTACAGCGTGCAAGCTCACTAATGATTTTTAAATGTTCTTCGTGGATTTGACCCATACGATTCAACAGGTTGTACTGGGAAAGTCCAGCTCTATCCTCCGCATTACCAGCAGCACAGCTCCACTTAGAGGGCTCGAAATGGGGACACTTCTTGACATAGGCAATGAGTGAAATCTGCATGTCACCAAACAATGGTACCACAGGAAGTTGCTGACAGACAAAAATTTGAGGTACATTTAAATCATTGCTTGTTTGATTAAGTTGTAGGGTAACGATTGGATGACAGCAAGTCTCTTTTTCTCTACAGGGAGCTTATATTTTCTTTCAATAGTTATAAATTGAACCATATTATAACTAATTGACAAAAGAGTATATGACAGCAAGTCTCCTTTTCTCTACAGGGAGCCTATATTGTCTTTCAATAGTTACAAGTTAAACCATATTTTAACTAATTCTCTTTTTGGTCTTGCCTTCTTCAATTTGATCTAAGAAAACCTTGATAGAATATATTTTCATTACCATTTCATATCCCAAAGATTACAGGTTCATACTTGCTAAAATAGGTTCCACATTAAACCTACATAACAAGCATTATGTTATGAAAATCTTAAAAGTAATATTTGATCTAAAGGGGGATGTGGTTAGTACTTCATCTAATGCCTTCTGTCCATTACTTAACAGATCTTTCACTTTTATTGCAGCCCTCACCCAAAAGATATAAATTACAATTAAGATTATTAGAAAAATGGGTAAGAAATTTAGGGAAATTACCTTGAAAAATTTGTCAATTTTTGAAATGCTTATCTTTTTCTTCTGATCAAGTTTATTGATATTGGTCTCTTTTCCATCCACAAGAAAAATGGCAAAACCAATAACCTGGAGAACAAAATTGTATTGTATGCAATGGGAAATGTGGCCTAGAAATACTGCTTACTCTCTTGATCCATAGTATTCCAAACACAACCACAAATAGGTTAATAGCGCTAAAAGATTTTACTCTGGTATTTTTAAGTCATTGCTAACTTCAAGCTTTTGCCTTGCTAACTATAATAATAAACGGTACAAGTTATCACAATGGCAACAGCAACCAATAATTTATCAATTATGTTTGTAGATAGCAACAAAAGCCTAAAGCTTCAATGCAGAAGGATGTGCAGCAGGATTTGGAGAAATGGATCACACTTTTTTAATAATGGAACAGAATTAAATTGACACAAGCTTTCAGTTAGGAAATGCTAAACTTTTAGATACTGGCCAAACTGGCCAAAAGTGAAAAGGATTGTAAATAATTTTGCAGCAATGCATGCTGGCTTATAGTAAGTCTTTAATGCAAAGCCAGCATTCAAGTTCCCTCGAAATACTTTCACAATAATATGTAGATAAAAAACTGTTCAGCGATAACATGAATTTATTGACTTTTGTATTTCATTTAGTTATTAAAAATTTTTTCATTCTATTGTACCTAATGATTTGATTATAATAGCATGGCTTAATGGAAAATGAACAAGTGGTAAAGAATTGTATAAATACACTGTTCTAAGCTATTACCTTAAGTAACATATGTTTTTCAGACGGCAGCACATATGCCTTTTGATCATAGAGGCTGCAGCATAAATCAATTATTTCACACAGAAGATCTTCATAGCCTGGAACAACTTCAAGCTTTGACTTTAGTTTACTTGTGATCTGGCCTTGAGTTGCTAAAAACATAGTGAGGTTTTGGGATTCTTGTAGAGCAGCAGCATCAGTGTTTTGCTTTAAAAAGGTTTCAGCCCTTCAATGAAAGGAAATTATTAATATAAAAATTTATTTTTTAAACGTAGAATGTCATAAAAGAGAATGTAGCAAATAAGAAACACCGCAATGTGACAAGAATGAACAACAACAAACACACGCAAATCAGTGAAATTAGGTCACATGAATTTCTATCGATTTTTCACCGCAAGAATTCCTTAGAAGTCCATCGAGCAGCCTGCTATCATGACTTTTTCTTTAATCACACACAAAAGAGAATGTTCTCTCTTTTTCTAACTTTTGTAGCATATCTAAAGATTGCTCGGCATCAAACTATTCCCTTATTTAGTATGTCAAAATTATTTTTTCCACGAAAAAAATAGTTAGAAATAAAACCAAACAATCTTCTATGGCATTCACAGCTTTTACAGCAAGAGGGGCTAAAACCAGGGACAAAATTTCCTCTTTCCATGTCTTTGCTTCTAGATTAACCTTTGATCCTGTCAAAATTCAATAAAATTTTGGTACAGTAAAAATGGTTCTCTTTCTCATTATTAGAGACAGCAAAAGCAATGAAAGAAATTGATGCATTACCTTTTATAGAAAGCATAATCATTGCTTAAACATGCTTTCATGTTTTTAAGTGCATCTAAAACAGCAAACATGTTGATAAACTTTCCCAGAGTTAGAAGATGAGTTTGGGAGATAAAATCTCGTTTCTTCTCAACATGGCAAAGCTTCTTTACTTCAGAATAGAATGTATCAATAGATCTGTCATGGAAGTGCATGAAATCCCTTAATTTTTGAATTTCTCCGCCCATTACATCTATTGTTTTTTCATAAAGTTCTTTTCTGTTTGGTTGCTCATCATTTCTTGCCTAAAATTGAAACAAAACAGTTATCCAAGTACTATAAAACTATCAAGATGCATTTCTTCAATGCTAAATTTCTTTGAGATTTGCTTCCTAGCAAAATTAGTGCTTAAGCTAATTCTCTGTAACAGGGTATTGCATGATACAGAAGTTTATAACAATATTGACACTTAGAATTTTCCAGTTAAAAACAATGATTGAATAACTACGTTAAAAATATATGTGGCTGAAAAGTATGTGCCTGACTATGTTATATGAAGAAAGATAGGAACAAACAATGTGCTTTGGAAGACAAGTTATCTTATTTATTCACCCTAGAGTCTTTTGCAGGGTAAAATTTTATGCAAATTATATTTCAGCAAATTAAACTACTATATTTGTTTACACCAGTCCTGGTAATATGAAATTTGGCGGCGTGCTGGTAATCGCAAGCCTTGAAAAGTTTAGGCATGCGATGATGTGCGATCTATAAAATGGAGACCAAATGAATGACATATTTGTTTTAGAAGGTGTGTATCGCTGTTTGAAAAATCATACAACGTTTTATGGAATTATAGAAGAAGTTTCCTGAAAACAAAATGATTTAACAAAAAGGATGTAAGCTTTTAGGCCCTGTTGCCATTGCTCTGTGTTGGTTTGAGAACAGATTCAAGGGAATCTGTTTGAGATTTTGAGTTTCATTTATACGCTCAAAAACGATTTTCATTCGACACTGTTCAAAGTGGAATCATGTGAAGACAGAATCATTTGAACATGCATCATTTTATTGGGAACAGCAAAGACAGAGTCACTCAATGTCAGTTTCAAAAAGAGCTCAAGCAAAAGATATGTGAACGGACAAATATGGAGTAATGAAAACCGGGCCTAATTGAAACAAAGTAAAGAGTTAAAATGCCTCTAGGAATGCCATAAATATAACCCACACAAATGAAATAAAAAATGCTTCAGGAGTTTTAGTCATGGGTGGAGGTGTGGCTGTGCCATCATACGCCTAAGATTACCAGGACTAGTTTACAATGTGAATAAAATCAACCTACAGTTGGAATGGCTCTTGACAAACATCTCCAAGTGTAAAGCATATTTGAGTAAAATTCTCCTTCTTCCAGTAGCTTGTTCTAAAAGAAGAATAACATTGCATTTTCAGTTACATTGTTTTATAGACAGTCATTTGCAAATATCAAAAGCAAATATCTGGTCTATGAATAGTAAATATAATTGTTCTACAAAGTAAATTTTTTACCAGTGTGTTCGCTTAGTCACATACCAATATCTCAGTAGAAACTGGAAATCTTCAAGGCCAAACTGCAGAGTATGGCAGTTTCCAACCAGACCTTTGGTGTGCAAGAGCAACATTTCAAGTACACAAGTGTGCACTTTGGTTAAGTGCGCACTTCAATTTCGCACCAAAGTACACACAACTACCTTAGATCCCGTGAATATCAATAACCATGTAATTACCCCCACATTTCTGAAAATATGGTCTACATATTTCTTCTAAAAATGGATTAAAAAACGCTGGGTAGGGGAAGATCAGATTTCCTAAGGAAAGTTGACTAGTTCCAAATCACTAAATCGAGGCAAAAGGGGCATGGTCCCATTGGCCGCGCCCATTACCCTTCCACTCTATAATAGCTGGCGCCGTCACTGGATTGAAAGTAAATTTGTTATCAGAAGAAACTTAAATTCTTCATTTGCTCTAGGCAGTAGGAAATATCAATGCCACGCGCAGACTTCAAATTGCCACATCCTTTGCCAGGTGTGCAGGGACATTTTGGAAGAAATATCTTGGGTATGCACTTGCCATTCTTTGCAGTCTTGCTTCAAGGAAACAAAGTTTCAATAACATTAGTTCACAAAGCATGCCAGTATTTTAAGAGAGAGTATTATCTATAGAGAAACACAATCTGCTCGCAATATGCACATAGCAAAAGTGGTACATGCTGTCTCTAATTTAGTTACAGACAGCAACGTTTTCAATTTGTGACAATCAGATGGTTCTGATGCTGACCAACACAAGTTAAAGTTGTTTTATGAATACTAAAGTCCCAATTCATCAACATTTCAAATTTTTACAAAAAATGTTGTTTAGACCAAGATAGGAAAGCAATGTTTCAAAAAGGATGGTCCCTAAAATTTTTCCAGTACCCAAAAAAATGTGTGCGCAGCCCTTATTTTGTGTGCATTGGACAAGCCTTTGAAAAAATCTTGTGTGTGCACATGCCACATTCTGCAGACTGGTGCACTTGTCATACTTTGCAGCCTGGCTTCAAAGCAACGAAGTTCAAAAACATTAATTCAGAAAGCATGCTAGAGAAATTTTTGGATCGCTCGGGTATAATTTTGAAATCCAGTTTGGTCTGTATCTAAAACCAACAGCGATGTTAACAACGAAGGAAACATTTCCTTTGAAATGTTAATGTAAATAGAGACAGGACAATACAATTAGGAAGTAAAGGGCCAAATCAAAAGGTATATATTTAATGAATAAATCTCAACATTATGGTACAGATTTTCACGCATAATGACATTGGAGGACAGATTTAAAGACTTCTGTATCAATTATTAGTTAATATGCAACAAAGTTAGGATAAAATCTCCAAATTTTGACAGAGAATGTACAACAGGAAGGGCAAACTCACGAGCGCTTGGTGAATTGTGGCCTCTTCCATGTAACGACTTATCCCTGTAATAAAGGCCTCTTTATCTTCGAAGTCGGTATCAAAATTTGCTCTGTATGTAATGACAGTCGGAGGAGGCTCAACATTTGGCTGCTCATCAGGAAGAGCCAAGTTTTCCAGTCGCTGGACATTTTCAATAGCTTCCTCAAGGGTCGCCATTTTGGTGCCCACCCAAATCTGGTAAAAGAACACAGGGAACAAAAATACCGCATGAAATTTGAGGAACTGCTCCTGTGCAGTAACAATAACATAGTTTATAAAGAAAAGGTGACACCAGACTCTACGTCGTGCTTTGGACCTCCAAATGAATTCTCTTGCATGGATAAAAGAGAAGAACACGGAATTGCATTTGCAAATCCTACTTTGATTTGGTATAAAATGTCAAGATACTCGTTGGACCATGGAGAGAGATACTCGTTGGACCATGGAGAGAGATACTCGTGGGACCATGGAACAGTCTTTCTTGAAATTCTCCTTGCATCCTATTATTTCGCAGTATACATTGTCCAAATCCGAGCAGTTACTTCCTTGCTTACCCTTATACTGGTGCTACTACTGTAAAATTTGTTTGGGGGCGAAAAATTTTCTCAAAGCAACTACACTTAATTATGTCGAGCAACAAAAGCTAAAATATCCAAGAAAGGTTGAAAATATTTGCTCCGGCCTTCAATTGGATACTCGTTGGAGGGGAGGGTGGGGTGTGGTTGCGGCTTAGGCTTACGATTTTCAATCCAGAAGACAGAATAAATCGTGAAACCTAATTTAGGAATTTAGGAACTGGGCAACTCAAATTTTTTCATAAAAACATGAAAGGGGAGCATGAGTCTACAAGGCTAAAAAGTTTCCGCCTCTGCTAGTTAGACAAAAAGTCTCTAAAATACATAAAGTTTTGGAAGGATGAGAAAAAAATAATGACAAATGACACTTTATCCATAGATTATCGGTGATGGCAAATAATACTGAGTATCTCAAGATATTCATAAAAAATAGAACCTAGCTCGCGTCTTTGGAAATATCAATTAAAACATACCACGTTACTGACCTATTAATCATAATCAACACGAAGAACACATAGTGGAACTACGTCATTTCATGATTTAGTCGTACTGGGATTATCTAGGTATTCGTTTCTTCTTACCTTCGGTAGTTCCTGTCCAGCAGCCATGTTTCAATCTAGGTCCAACAGTGGCACATAGGTGTGCAATGAGGAAGTTATTTTCTCCTCTGAAATCTACTACCGGTTCTCATTGATACAAACGACGGGCTGAGGCAAGTTTTTCACAGTAGAGGGCCTTTAACATTTTGATAATAGTCTGGGATTTAGAGTAAAGGAGGCTCAGAATGGCTAAGTATTCCTTGTTTTTGCCAAGAGGTAGGGATGACTGGTGGTCTGGGGGGTCATAACTCAGGAATAAATTTGTCAGGACCACCCCCTTTTCCATACAACAACATCTTTTTATGGAAAAGGGACGTTTTCTACAGAAAGGAGTTTATGTTAGAGTGAAATTTATGTTACTTGTAAATTGTAAATTTTGGTACTTGCAAGAAACTTGTAACATATCTTTGAACATAAACTAAAAGGTCGTTTCTTCCTCGGTTCCTACGTGAAAATTTTTTTCTTTACATTCCAATAAAAATTTACAATACAAATTTATTAGTTACACTACCTACAAAATACTTAACGACACTACAAGGACAACGCCACTGGGTGCAAAAGACAATTACATATGAATTACAAAGGAATAAAAACAAAGAACACTACACTCTCTCTCAAATTAGATATGAGGCGAAAAATGTTAGCGAATAACAGCATACAAGATGTTTACTGCAGTTTAAGTAATTTTGCGTTATCGGATACCTCTTGCAAATATTTAAGTAGTACGAGAAATATATACCTCTTGCAAATATTTTGGGATACGTCCTCCCTGTAGTGCTGCCTTTGTCAATGTTAAAAGAGGTGTCCACAACTGGGTATATATATTTTCTATTGTGTTCTTTCGGACCCTTTTTCTGACATTTTATACTTCGAGGAGTGTCAGACGAAAGCTGTTAGTAATATGTTGTGAAATGTTTGCTTTTTTAAAGCCATTTTCTAATTCCTTTTTCAGAAGATATCTCGCATGTGCTTATTAACTATATCTAGTATGACCACTAATTACATTTACATTTAACAACCCTTTTGGGTTATACAAATGTCTGCCCAGTCAACTACAACGCTAAAATTTACTGAGGTGATTTCGACATAGGTTGTAAAAGGTTTCCGAATTTGCCTGCATCACAATAGTGTCTGGCGGGCTATTCCATACAGAAACGATTGAATAAAAAAATGAGAACCTAACAGCATCAACCCTTCCGAATTTAGGCACGATCTTCAATGAGTTAGAGTTCCTTGTCATCGAAAAAGTTGCAGGGGAAAAGAAAACGTTAGGGTCCAAAGCAACCTGATTTGTAAACATATCACTCTTACATGCATCTAAATATATGCATCAAGAAAGAAGGCACAGTGCTGGTTCCTACAACTTTGATAGCTTTTTAAGTAATTTACATTATCTCAGTAAAGCATTTTGCTTTTACAGAGAGAATAAAATCAAACTTGACCTTCTAAGCTTTAATCTAAACTTAAGCCATTTAACCTTCAGATTGATAGATTGATAAGAAAATAATTATGTAGCTGTCCAAAAATTCCAAACAAAAATAATGTGAAAAGCTTTTGCTTGAATAATATGGGTGTTTTGAGGTTTTTCTCAGATTAAAAATGGAAGATTAAAGCAAAATACAGGGATGCTACGCCTTTGAATGCTTGGAGTTAATTGTAGCTACGGGTTGGGGGTTGGCTGGTGGAAGAGTGAAAGGTTTTAATCCTAATGACTATCGAGACTTTGCAGGCAGCTTTTGTTAATCCAAATAGAACTTTTCCTGATATTCCTAATTAGTATTTCATGTTAATGATATCTTAAAAATCTATAACTGTTTGCCAAGGGATCTAGGGTTTTTAGCAATTTTCCCGATATTTAAAGATTCTTCAGAGCAAAATAAGACATTTGATTCGATATATTTTATGCACCATTTCTAAAAAAAAAGAAAATGATGCTTATTTTTGTTAATGATTGCATTAAAAAAGTTTCGTGGATCGGATCTTCAAAGGTTGGTATATCAGAGAAAGTTTCTTTGGAACAAGACATTGGAACGAAATGCTCCTTTACACTGCTACTGTGGCATCTAATTGCCAGATCAAACCCTTAATGCACGATTGGATTGACATCGAAAAATTGGATTGACAGCTGATTTTGAAAATAGAAAAAACTTCTCCAATCCTTCAAAGGGTAACTAGGGTAGGTTAAGTTACTCACTTACAAGGGCAGCATGCATATTAAGTAAGAGGCAACAGCAAGGAAGCATGTTACAACATAGTTCTCCTATCACCATTCTGAAAGGAAGAACCATTTGTCAGTTTGGGTCTCCTTTTAAGCACTGCGTAGCATATCATTGAGTAGATAGCTCAGAGCCACAACTACATTTGTTGGGGCCCTGGCCCAAAGTTGATTGGGGCTCCTTAAATTATACCGAAAAAATTTTGTCACGTGCATAATACTTTGCTAAACATAATCATAACCAACCAGGTCAATATTTACTATATAGTTTGATAAATAAAAAATATAAGACACGAATAAACTTATACTCATTTCACATTTCAGTACATCCCAATAAAACTATTCTTGCCCTATTCTTACTTAACAAGGCCCCCTAGCTCAATTCAAACACAAGATTGAAATCAAGAGCACTTTAGATGCGTTTCAAATTTTTATCGGGACCTCCTAAACCTAAGAATTTTAGGGGGCCCCTGGGCCCGGGCCCAGTGGACCCATGGGTAAAGCGTCACTGAGATAGCTACCATAATCGTGGACATCAGTGCTATATATCCTGCATCAACTAAAACGAAGTTCTTATGCATGCCTGAGCCTAGAAAATTCACTGCCAGAGTATGCAGTTGATGCGCATTACCTTCTTCTTTGTCACACAGGCTCTGTGCTTTAATGGCAACCACGCAGCGTAAAGTCTATCAACACCCATGCCATTTAATGTCACCGAGAAAGAAAATACAGAGAAATAAACCAAGGTTTGGGTGACCATTTTTAGATATTTGCTATTGTAACTGTCTATGGTCATCGTGCTTTCAAAATATATAACAAACATTGCCACTGCTGCTTCGTCAGCTATTGCTATGTTCAACAGCCATAACTCAAATATGCTTATTATCTTTCTTTTCTTTTCTTTTTTTTTCTTATCTCTCTTATCTTTATTTAAAAAAGCAGAGCAATTCAATGGTGTTGAGGAGAGATGCCACCAAACATATGGCAACAGTTGCATTCGAAATCATATCAGGTTCCGACTAAGGGATATTCGCTTCTATTTTAGTATTAAATGCATTGTTTAGTGGTTAGCAAACACACTAAGCGAGACGATTAATAATTGATGCAGAACACTGTATGTATCTCAAAATTGACAGTGGTAATTGAACGACTATTTGTACATCTCCAGTCTACAACACCATATAAAGATTGTGTATGTTGATGTTAAAAATGATGACCTTTCTTTTTCAGTCAAATCCTGAAAACTCGATACGCCTGAAAACCCACAAAACAAAACAAATTATGCACAGCTAATGCACAGCGCTGATTAACTTTTTTAGAAAAAGCCATTGCCCTTTCACAATCTGCAATGCAATGGATCTCATTAATGAAGCAAATCAGTTACCGAATAGAGAATCTTTTTTTGGAATTTCTTAAATTTGGCCACATAATCTGAAAGAACGGCATAAAATATCTCTCAATGTGCAAAATTAGTTAGACATGTTCCAAATTGGGCGGGATATGGCCAATGAAAGATTTCAAGTTGGCTAACGGATTACTGCTATTCTTGCCTGGTTCATTAAGTTATGAACCAAGAACAAATTACAGAGGTTTGATGGGGCATAAGCCTGTGCTAATGTGGCCATATCTCAGCCAATTCGTTATGCCTTTAACTGGTTGTGGATATTCAGAAGTATTTCCTGATGCTCTTTTAGGTTCTGGGATCAAAATTCAGAATTTCTAAAAATAAATTTTTATGCCGTCATCACTTCGGTACTATATTGTTTTGCAGTATTATTTCTATCTGTTCATATGTGCATGTATTTGCATATTTAATTTGGTTGGAACAAGCGTAATGATTGCCCCAATCAGTGTACTGCACTCCTCAACAATAATTTTACTCTACCTTCTACCTTGAAATTCCTGTGTAAGCTGTTGTTTATATTGTCATGATGTTATTATAGGGCTGCGGCTACTGGGGAAATGGTGCGTCGGATTTGTGATAACATGAAAAAATCCGTTTTAAAAATGCCGTCAAGAGATGATTTCCTTGCAAAGTTCTTAAGTTGCTGACACAAAAAATTGCTCGTTCACTTTGTTGGCATATGGGACCTGGACATCCCCTTGAGCAAAATATCAAGGGTTGCCCCTGCACTGAAATTATGATTCCTTGCTTCAATCTCGCTCGTACATGGCTTCGCCCATTCTATTCAACTCAATCGAAGCCTATTCAACGCCGCTCTTGATTTTTCTCCAACATCAAAATCCAGCCACCAGCCCTTACACCTATTTGTTCTGATATTGAAATTTTTGTTAAATTTAAACCAGTACAATTTATCTTATTTGAAAAGAACCCTGAATTCATTTATTAAACAAAAATTAAAACATGCACTCAAAACAAAAACTTTTGACTTAACAGCAAGGAATTCAAACGCTTTTAAAGTTTCGTAAACAAACTTTCTTAATCCCTCAAGAAGCCTTCTGAAAGATTTTTACACAAAACCTCGTGGATTTCATCTTCTTCAACAACTCTCTGCTTTATTGAAAGAGTTTCTAAAGATTTTCATTGTCTTACAAAAACAAGTCATTTGATTCGGCTGGTATGATTCACAAAAAACCACATCTGTAACAAAGGCAACCAAACCAAATTTAGACGAGCCAGAAACAAATCGAGCTTTGAAATATTGAATAAAAATGAGAGAGGTATGTATCACAATAAAATTTCTATGACGCCCTGAGATTCTTACATCATAGCTTTAACATAACATAACGTAACATAACATAATACTATTTTATTATGAAGAGAACTTGATTGCTTTAGGATTGATAGAATTTGGTACAGTGCGGACAGAATTCTGAGCAAAAAAGCAATGAGGTTGTGCAATGAGGTTGAAGTGATGAGGCTAAAAAACTTAAGTTTATTTTACATGTTTTTCCCTTTGGAAAACTGTTCTGAAACTGGAGAGCCCTGGACGTCATTAAACTGAGGACATGAAATACTATAGATAACTTCATAACATTCTATTGCTCGATGCCAAAAATACTGAGGGAAGCTTTTTCATTCATCTAAAGCAGAGAGCAACAGATGAAGAAATCCAGATTGTCTTTGTTCAGGCCTGTGTTGAAGATTGTAGTTTCAAGAAAGAGTACCCTCAGCGATATTCTTATTTCAACTTCTTAAGCAGACAGGAAACTGTCAACATAACTCACAAATAGGTTCGCTGGGCAAATCCCATAGAGAATTAGACTGGTTAAATAATTTTGAAGGCTTTCGTCAGAGATACGTGACTGATGAAGAACTTCGAAGCCAACCTCGTTACCAAAGATAATCCATTTTCTAAAGTCGAATACCATGAAACAAAGTCAACAATGCCTTACAAAATAATTTGAGCATCCTCATAATCTTATTTACTCAGTTTCTCCTCTTAACAGCACCTTACAAAATTTTAGAATCCGACTAAAAAATGACGACAATTATTGAAAAGATTACTCTAAGTTATGATTAATTAGGCCATTAAAGAATGCGACTGGTCGGCCACTGCTAGAAAGATGAAGCAAGAAGCTTCAATCCCGGACAAAGAAGCTTCAATCCTTCTCAAGAAAACTAAATGTTTTCTTTTTTTTTGAAAAATAGCCTCCCCTCTTCCCCAATTCAATGTTGAATGCATGATTTTGAAACAAAAATTGCTTCGGTGGGAAAGGGGAGGGCTTGAATTTTCAAGGGCAAGGTAAAGTAGAAAATTACAAAATTACAAATTGCTTCGGTGGGAAAGGGGAGGGCTCGAATTTTCAAAGGTAAAGTAGAAAATTACAAAAAATGCATTTTGTCTCAACATTTTTGTCTGGGATTGTTGATGCTGATCTCCTTGATGCTGTTCACGGGAGAAGGGAAATATAAATATCAAAGAGAATCTTTATATATCAACGGGGACCGAGAAAGTAGACATAAATCGAGTCCTAAAATGTGACGTCGTTGCATATCTTTCAAGAACACCGTAAAATAGCTTTGAAAATGGGTGTCATGACGCCAGCAAAAGAAGTTTTACTGTTGCTTTGGTTTGGTTCAAAGTTATGAACAGGGATCAAATGATAATGAATTGATGTGAAAGGGCCTGTACTTACGTGGCCATATGTCAGACAACTACGAGCACATTTAGCTGATTTCACATATCTAGAAAATTCAAAATTCAGAAAATCTAAAAATAGATTTTGCGAAGTCAACACTTAAGAACTTTGCTAGATTAGAAAAATGGAAGACTCTTGGCCTGCAATGTCATTTTCGAGCCAAAAATCACTAACAATGTACGCAGAATGCTTTACCATCATCGCTGAAAATTGGCCATTGTTTCTACTAAAATGCTTGTCCTTGAAAAAACGCATAGTCTATGTTTAAAAGTGTGTTGTAAGCAAATTACCTAAATTTGAAATGAAGGATGAGCAAAAGACATAGATATAAGTGTTTTCTGTAATGATCATGACTTTTATTCGATTTAATTTTATTTTAAGTAAATTATTATCAGAAAAATATCAGTAAAAGTAAATACAGAACTCGGCACACAAACAACCTATTTACCTCTTTCACTTCTGTGTATGCAACTTTAAAGCGGGGTTATTGAAGCGGAATGGCTGAGAGGCGTCAGCACGCCAGCTCATCCATAATTCTTAAAACGTATTTCTGGTCATTCACTGAATCGTTTTACTCTTGGTTCTAAGCAAGCTTGATTTTATTTCAATTATTTCAATTGAATAAGCATGGTAGCCCATTCAGCAGTGCTCGTTTGAAGGTGTCATGGTTACAACGCTTAACAAATTTTAGGCCAGTAGAACCTTATATTGCCAGTCGACTTGATATGTCTAAAGCAGCCATGCCATGTAGTTATCTTCAGAGGTCCAGCACAATTTTCATCATCGAGCTAAAGCAATGCTTGTATTTAATTTGAAAGGTTCCTTCTCACAGATGTTAACGATAGATTACATAAAGTTATAAGATTTCTTCATGAAACGTCGATGATTTTGGGCAAAATGTTAGCCATCTATGTCTGGAAACGAGGAGCAAACTAAACATTAATCATTCCCATTAAGACAATTGCTGCTTTGCTGTCTGAAGTAAAATTAACGAGACTACACATGTCAGTATGTTTTCAAGATGACTAATTGCTGCAACAGACAGTCAATACAATTGCAAAACCATAACAGTATTTCAAAGAAAAAGAAGTTTGTCAAAAATCGATGTAAGATAATTAGTTGATGTCGTTAATCCCAACTAAATCATTCCTGCTATGAAATAGTTTTTCACTTTCTACAGCTGTATTAAGTTGATAATTAATTTTCCTCTCTAATATTTTAGCTCTTTTCTGAGCAGTACTTTCTTATTCATGATCAAAGGGATCTTCATACCTTAATGCTATAGACTTGAAAAATCAAGCACAAATTAGAGAAACATACCTGTTTGTTAATGATATGCCAGATTGCAGGTGTATGTAATCAGACATAAAAATTGCATTGCCAACCTCTGATTAATTAGACCGTCAAGGGATGTATTTTTTGTCTCGGTGTTCTGGGAGCTGATCAACAAGAGTACTGTTTCAAAGTTTGCACCTTCATGTGGGTAGATCGAGGCAATCTTCAGGGAATTTCCAAAGCGTCAAAAAGGTATGAGAAATTGCAGACAATACCTTTGAGCTCTTATGGACAATGACCGATAAATTTTTGCAATTCTTCTTGGATTCTGCCATAAAATATTTTAACAACTTGCATGCTTTCGCAACGTGAAAATTTAAGATATCAAGATTAATAATAAGAAACCACTTCAGAATACTGCTTGAATGATGGTTCTGTTTAATAAATATTGGTTCTTGTATTTGTTACAACTGTCACAAGCAAATGGTAGTTCTGTCACACTTTGTCTCTATCGATGAAACGTATAGCTATATATCTTTTTTAAAATGTTCACATAACAAACCAGATAATTATTTTCGTCAATAGAGGCACGAAATGCAAATGAAAAGCTATTTGACATTTCAATACTTTGTCTATCACCTTTCCAAGCTAGTATGCTAACTGGGCGTTGAACATTCTTGACGAAACATCGAGTAAAAGTAAGTAGAGTTGTCAAGTGATGACGTCACAAAAATATATTTTTGAAATTTTTGAAATTTGTTCCGATAACCTGAAAGAGGATAATGAAAAACCTCTAAATCTGCAAAATCCGTTGAAGGCATTACGAATTGGTTGAAATATGACCAGATGAGCACAAGCTCTGGCCCCATCAAACCTCTGTAATTTGGTCTCAGTTCATAACTTTATGAACTGACCCAAAATAACAGCAACCTGTTAGCAAATTTCAAATCTTCTATTGGCCATAGCTCACTCGAATTATGGTGTCCTTTTAAGTTATGTGGTCAAAATTCGAAAATTCTAAAAATAGCTTTTTGTGACGTCAAACTTGAGAACTGTATTATAGCAGCGACACGATAACTGCGTTCTAGCCTCAATAGCTTCACGAAGAGAAAATTTTTTCTAAACAAAATTCCGATGTTCAACCATTCTGCACACGAACACGGCACATGGTCGATGTAGGGTGGATAATGAATAATGAAAGTAAGCCATCAACAAGATTAGTGCCCATCTGGAAACCAATGGTTGTAGCTTAAAAACATGCTATTAAGATCTATTGTTTAAGGTATTTGCTATTTGTTCTTGAATTTTAATGACAGCCAGTGATAAGTCACAATTTAAACATGACAAGTCATATATGAAAACGGTTTTTGTAGAGGCGTCTTATTGATATCAGACAATCGAATACTACAACCTGTTGTGCAACTGCAAGATATTTTTGAATGCTGATGCTGAAGTAGACGAGACGTGATAAATTTTGTTCTATGATGAAATTCTGACTAGAGATTGACTAGCAAAAGTCAGTATCGGCTCTCTAAGCTATAGATCCAATAGAGTGACTAACAGCGGCCGCATCAAAGTAAGCTGAGGCAAGCTGTTGCTGAGAAAAAGGTACTGGCGAATTCTGATAAGCGTAAAATATATTAAGCGAATTTTTCTTTTAAAATGTTCAACAGTAAATTGAAATTGTTAGGCAAAATCCCTAATAAGGCCTTTACAATTAACTTACACACATACAATATCTAAGTCATTCAAAGACTCGTCAATTTTTATAAGAACTGTGTAATCCAAGAAGGATCCTTGCTAATAAATCATTCTAATGCAAGAATGCTTATGAGTTATCACTGGTGCCCTCTTTCTTTTGAATCCTCCCATTTATCGTTAGGCTTGGATGTCGTACAGGGTTGCATAAAACTCAAACTGGGCAAATCGTTTACTTTCCAAAACTACGATCACGTTCGCTCTCAGTTACATCGTCTTCCAATGCTACCATTTTGAAATCATTCATTCTCGAAGACAACAACTGCAGAATTCGCTTCTTTTGACTCTGTTTATCACCTGCCCAGCATGCAGCCTAATGTATAACTATTTGAAATAAAGAGCGTAAAAGAAATTGAAGACTGTATAAATAATTTTTATTAATTGCAAAGTTTTGTCATTTGCCGTATTCAAAAGTGGCTCTTTTGCTCTTCTTTGATGGAAACAAAGATTCTTTCAAAACAAGTGTCTATTGCAAATGGGAAATAAAGCATTTATTGTAATTGCTAGAGAATGGGCGTACCTGTTTTCTTGCACAAATTATAACTCAAGGCTTTTCTATTCTGTACATTTTCTTGCTACGCGTGGAAACTGTGCCCAGGCACATTGCAGCTCTGGCTGCATAGTAAGCTCAATGGCCTGCTTGTTCCTTCTTGCCATGTAATAAATATCATGTGAAGAAATCTAATGGAGGTATCGGGCGTTTTCTTTCGCTATGTTATTGCAATCCCAGACAACTTCCTTTATTCGGTATATCTCCACAGCAACAGCAGAAGTTAGCACCAAAAAGAAGAGCCAAGAAGTGATCCAGCTTGGAAACGAGGCTCTAAGGATTGCATGGTCAAGTGACGCAGTATCATTACGGTAAGGACTGGGCTTGAATTTTGTGTCTCGTTCCTCTGTTTACTCACAAATATTCTTAAAACGTCTAGTATTTTCACTTAACTTGTAAAGTCTTGTTCTCTTTTAACATATACCTGTTTGAAAACTTGACTTTGAGAAATCAAAGATGAGAGTTGATAAAGGGGATCATATCCTTCATTTATTTGAGATTCATGAGATTATTTAGGCCCTAAAGCACTAAAGCTATTTGTACGAAAAAACGCTCGATATGGTGTAGGTTTTACTTGCACTAAGGTGAAACAAAACATAACTCATCTAGATGCCTGTTGAAATTGTGTCAGTGCTTGTTTTCATAGCTTGTTTTGTACTTGGCAATAAACTTCAGCTGCTTAACATTTGACTGAATAGGCTAATGTTATCTGTTCTTTGCTGATGATATGCATGAGAAATTAGCCACTTGCATGAAAAAAGACTTTTTGATTCAAAATCTTGAGAGTTTTATTTTATTAGATAGAAATGCTTGCTGTGTATTGATGATTGAGTCTATATGTAATTGCATCTTTGTTTTTCGGTACGACCAGCTAAATCATAACATAGAACTGTTGTTAATGTTCACCCAATTTAAAATTTCTTTTAATCGTAGGTGCGACTCTGTTATTAATCGCGGGCAAAGTGACCTCAGTCATCCCCAGTGCTGAATTTCTTAAATGAGCATATTGTCAACAGTGTAATGTCATGTAAAGGGAAGGTTTATTCGTGACTTCTTTACATCAACAAGAATGCTATAATGTATGGGCCTCTACGAAGAATATCATTGATGCTGGCAACTTTCTATCTATTAAGGTAGGCAACAGCAATAAATTAAAGTAATTGTTACTTTTTTATTCATTTGTAAATGTAAAACAGTACGTTCAGGGGGTTTTGTAGCAATCAAACTAACAGGGAAATCCAAGTTTGTTTCTGCAATTTTCTCATAAGATGGCCTACGCATAACAAACAAATTGATCTGAATTGTCTGAGTCTACACCTCGTTTGATTTGCTATGTCTATATTCAAATTTTTATGCCACTTATTTGCAGCCTCACCTATTATGGTAAATAGTCCATATGCGCACCTATGATCTTTTTGCCCTACAGTTCATCACAGCTAGGAAAGTGCTCTATTGCATTAAAAGATCCCTGGGGCTTTTTGTTAAAAGATAAAAAAGGTACAAATTTATTAGGGTTTACTCGTCCTCGTTATCAACGACCCACGATAAAAATGATTATTGGTAACAACAGCACTTTGGATGGGATGAGAGCACCCGCATCAATTGACAAGAAAAAGATTTAATGGGAATTCCACAATTTGTAAGGAAATAAGGTCGAGAAAAGTACCTCAATTTTTCAATTTTTTGTTGATTTTTGTTTAGGTGCCTCTTTTTAGAAAAGAAAACGTAACATGAGACACTGTAAAAATGAACATCTAAATAGCCACAAGAAGGATTTCTTTATATCATCTACAATGAAATTGAAATGGGAATTGGGTCCTAATCATCGATAAAATCATTTCCATCAAAAATGTAAAATGATCATTTTATTTTATCAGGGTGACCTTAACTTTTTGTCATCTTAGAGATCGGTTTTTCATGAACGGTTTTTTATTAAGGGATGCGTGTACTCGCTTATTGGAGATATAAAGGCACAGACAGGTTGAAAGCATGCCTGAATTAATTATCTGCAGAAAGCAAAATTATATTTTCCCATTATGTACCCGCGTAAAGAACCGCGATATTCGCGTGATGAATAATGAATCTAGCATGAGAGGCGCTGGGCGGCTCATTACCTTTGTAATGCACATTATGTGTGTCCCTAATCACAGACTTCCACTAACTAATCTCCATTTGCTACCTACATCAAAACTAGAGCTTACAACATTTCCAGTGAGTTCCGATCCTGTTTTATGTATGTATAAGATCAGCGAATAGGAAGAGCCTGAACTCAGAGTCAGTTTGTTTGATTTCGGATGCAGATATCCACATACAACATTTACATTGATTATTAATCATAAACGACGCAGATGGGTTCGTCAAAGATAAGCCTTTCCTCTTCAATTCAAAGTAAACTGAATGCTTCCTAGCTAAAGATTTAGGACACTGAAAAGCTAATCTGATCGAAAAGCTCTTGTCCCTCCACTTTAGGTGACCACACCTCGTTATTCCTAAGCTTGCATTTACAAACAGTTGACGAGTCTCTTCACAATAAGCAAAAGTTTGGTCATGGCAAGGACTCGAGCCCCGACTTCAGATCTAAATTCAGTGGTCTTTATCACTATTCTTCCAAAATTCGAAATACCATATTTCAATGCGCATTCTACTTTGGGGATTTCATTTAATATTAGGCCACACTTTGAAACAAATCAAAATATTTAAAAAGAAGATTTAGTGGATCAAGCAAAAGATAACATTTTGCAAACCATCTGGTCCTTATTCACCACTTTCTCTATTAATAATATTTTCTTCATTCCTGGGAAATTGTCATATATTCCTTACGCCTAAATTTGATTATGCTACTTTGATCTTTACGAATACCCTCAGCTTATATTGCCGTCACCAAAAAAACCATTTGGCTAGAATATGAACCACTAAGCTATTAAAGCTAGCAAGGCATGATAAATAAATAAATATTTCTTAGAGGCGTAGGTTCTGTGAGCAGAAAGATTACTTATAAAGGATAAAAAATCTGAAAAGGGGGCAACGTTAAGTCAAGAGATAAAGGTAGGACACTTTCTAAATTTTTTAGGCTCCGTGGTCTATGGGAGCATCAGCTCGATCGTAGTGTCAATGATATAGTTAATTTGATTTATCCTTAGGTTGGAGTATACAGTCGCAGATTCGCGGTACGGAATATGCAATCAAAGCAAAAACTTGGAAGAGGATCCCAACTGTATTTTGCAAAAGTTACTTCAAGGCTATGATAAGCGCCTGAGACCAAATTTTCCAGGTATCCTCTAGCCTTTATCTACATATATGCTTCTAGCAGTACGTTAACCTTCATCTCGAACAAATTTTGAACTTTTTTAAAAATCCTTTGGTGTGCTTCCTATAGAAGATCACGAGGAAGTGGACAGAAAAGTTTCAGATGACATCCCGGCGGCAGAAGGATTCTTGCTTGGATCTAGTCGAGATGCTCGAGGATTAGGAACGGTCAAAGAAGGAGTCAGGGAGTCAGAGAATTGGAGAATCGGGGAGTCGGGGAGTCGGGGAGTCGGGGAGTCGGGAGGTCGGGGAGTCAAGGAATCACGGAGTCAAGGAGTCAGAAAGTCCGGGAATTTGGAAATCGGGGAGTCAGGAAAATTGGAGAGTCAGGGAATTGGGAAGCTGGAGAGTCAGGGAGTCAGGGAATTAGGCAGCCGAGAGGCAGGGAATTGGAGAGTCGGAGAATTAATGAGCCGGGGAATTAGGGGGTCAGGGATTGGGGAGTCGGAGAATTGATGAGCCGGGGAGTTAGGGATGTTTGAAACAAAATGTCAAAAAAGATCAGTTTCAACTTCGTAACTAAATGTATGATACATACCAGAAGTCATTGTTTTGCACAATTACAGATGCGTTTTTCATCGGAAAACTTGTGGCTCACTAAACCTTAGACTACTTGTATACCCCCTTCACTTCTCTTCATCTTTAACCATCCATGGTAGAAGCATTTAGAAAAATATTATATCGTTATTATATCATATCATATCATATCATTGCATGCCAGGTATTATATCATAAATATCCTTTTTTCCTCTAGGCCCACCTGTAGTTCTTCGTGTGGAATTTCTTCTTTCCAATATATTTGATATTTCAGAGGTTAAGAACGTAAGCAGATTTTTGATAATTGTATTTTTGAAACTTTTGAGCTTCTTAACGTGAATGACGTTATCCCCCAGCATTATAAGTCTAACACTGTGGTCTCAGTAAAGAGAGCGTAAAAGATCTTCTAAATACCATCATTTTAATCAAATGTCGGAAAAATAAGCTGAATACTGACTTAAGTCCTATGCAGACATCGTACTTCAACATTAATAGCTTCAATTGACAAAAGAATAACAGAGAAAAATCAGTTTTTAGCTGATATAAGATGCAAATCTCGCAGTCAACAGCTTTGATAATTTTTCAGCATGGTTTACAATACTGTGAACTACATGGAACGATCTTGCATAATGGTTAATTAAAGAAATTTGATCTTTCCTCAAACCTTTGTAGTTTGCACTTCATAAGCTACACTGATAATTAAATGCGTCATATAAAATACTAAATAATTAACATTCTATATTTCTTAGGAATTTGGAGTTGAGATGTACTTTCGACAGTTCTGGAATGACCCACGGCTGCAGCTCTCTAGATTCAATTTCTCAAAGCCATTGTTTCTTAACTCTGAAACAATAAATGAACTCTGGATTCCCAGTACATATTTTGTCAAGTCAAAGAGAGCTTATCGTCATCACATCACTAAAGACAATGTATTACTCCGGATAAGGCCGAACGGTGATATTTTCTACAGCCAAAGGTTCGAGTCCAAGCTTTTTTATGATCTAATGAAGTGTTGTAACTGAGAAAATCGAAATCCCATAAGGATTCCAATAAGGTTTCAACAACAAAGGATTTTTGGTCAAACATTGAGAAATCTATAAATGGGGACTTCTCTACAATTGTCTACAAAGAGGAACTTCCCTACAACTATCTCCCTTCTTCGTAGAACTCCCTCAATAGTCAGCAGCACCTTCCTAAAACCTTACTTTACTACAACTTTTCTTCCTCGGGTGTCATTAACAGCATTGGTGGAAATTCAAGATTTTGATTAAGGAAAAGGGTGGAGGTGGAACTAAGGCCATTTATTTTTCTTCAAGAAGTCAGGTTTAAACCCCCAAACCTTGTTAATTTCCACAAATGTGCATAACGGCCAATGAAATGCTTGAAAAGATAAGCTAAATAAGGTTTCATCTGTTACCTATAATGCTATAAACGATAACAATATTGCACGATTGACAGAAAATTTCTCATGGTCGACAAAAAAAACCAATAGATGTTCTGAAATGATTCAATTGAGTTTTCCCATATGACTTCAGCTGTTCACGAAAATTGTATAAGGCCTTACCTGTAAAACATTGTTTAATTAGTTTACAATTCTGTTCCTTTCAAAAATTCCTTTCAAAGCTTCGCATATGCTCAAAGACAAGAAATTTATCGTCTGACTTGAATCAATCAGCTCTTTGCATATCACTTACAAAGAAATATTTAGACAGTTTACGTCAAAGTGCTTTTGAAATCGAAAGTTGAAATGGGGCTATAGCCGTATTATTTAAAAGAGAGGACTTATATCTTCACGGATAACTTCGAAGCTTTTATGGTTTTCAGGCCTAATTTCGGTGTACATTTATTTATTGCATCAGGGTGGTATAAGTACAACACCAAATTTTATGATGTTATTTGATGTCATTTTATCTTACTTCAACTCATGCTCTTTTGCTTGTAAAAGCTTTTGTTTTGTTCATTTCTTCTGTTACCCTGTGTTTTTGTGAAAGTAGCTCTTGAAGATTTTGTACTAAAGAGACCTTTAAAATGATGTTTTCACTCAGAACAACAAAAGAACCTAAAAAATAGGTACTTATTCCGAGTTAAGTTTCTTATAAAAATGTGTATTACTTTTAAAATTATAATTTTTAGGATTCTTTTATGGAAAAGTCATAAAGGTCCCGAGTTAACAATTTATCAGTTTATCCTGCAGGCTCTCAGTGAGTACATCATGCATAATGAACCTTCGCTACTTTCCACACGACACACAAGTCTGCAGACTACTGGTTGAAAGTTGTAAGTACCTTTCTAATAATCATCTTCAGAATATCACACACATGTGTAGAGTACCGAAGTGATGACGTCATAAAAATCTATTTTTAGAATTTCTGAATTTTGATCCCAGACCTAAAATAGCATCATAAAGTACCTCTAAAAATGCAAAATCAGTTAAAGGCATTACGAATTGGCTAAGATATGGCCGCTTGAGCACAGGCTCTTGCTCCATCAAACCTCTGTAATTTGGTCTTGGTTCATAACTTTATGAACCAGGTCAGAATAACAGTAATCCGTTAGCAAACTTGAAATCTTTCATTGGCCATATCTCGTCCAATTTGGAACATATCTAACTAATTTTGCACATTGGGAGGTATTTTATGCCGTTCTTTCAGATTATGCGGCCAAATTTAAGAAATTCTAAAAATAGATTTTTGATGACGTCACACTTCGATACTCTATACTGAATAAAAAATGTCGTGTATTCGACCTAGCTTGCCAAGATCATATTGAAAACCATTCGAAAAATCATTTATAGTACCTTTGCTATTAGAGCTTTCAAAGGTGTTAGCTTCAAGCTTTCCTGATAAGCCAAATAATAACAAATGGAGACTTCCTTAAAAAGAGAGCATGTATTTTGTAAAATGCATGTAAAATTTTTCTGACGGCTCTGTATACACACTTTAGACCATTCCTTCTCCGGACTATACACACTTTAGACCATATTACCCTAATTCAAGCACTAATCTATTTGTCCCTATTTCTCAAAATTGTATTCACAGTGTTTCTGGGAGGCGGTTGTCATTGAAAGATACTGATATTTCAATGCGAATGCTCTTAAAAAAACATCATTGCATTGTATAGCTACAACTAAATATTTTGCTTTTCACTACAATTGGTTGATATTTGGAATTTTAGATGCATATCAATCGATAGACATTGTCTATAATTGGGGAGAAATAATGAAAGGCTCCTTCAACAATATCCAAAATGCTGTATTTGACATTCCTTCGTTTGTGGTCAAAAGTGTACGTCTATCTAAAGGCACAAATAGATACTCAATTGGTAAGTTGAAAAGTCTTTGCTCAATATTTCAAAATTGAGTATCTTCATTCTGTTAAATGATTGAAACGGTCTTCTCTCTCATGTCTACCTAGAGGCTAGTAGGTGTTTGATGGCAGGCAAGCTAAAGACGAAAAGAAAATAAACTGTCTGTCCTCGGCATAGTAAAGAGAACTAGTATGATAAAAACCCTACTTCTATGGTCCTACCTCACAATGGCGCTGGTCCAAAACAAGCGCCTACTGTAACAGGCACTTCCGTTATGTACGGAACACATAGGGCGAGAGGCAATTCACTCGCACATATCATAAGATATTTTCACAAAAAAACAAAGGGAATTTCAGGGATTTTTAGATTTGACGGCTGTATTTTCACCAATGGTGTACGAGATTTTCATAGTGTGGTTAGCCCCTCGGTATAGGCGACTGTTGAGGATTCTGGCTAGCAGTAGTCTGCGTGCGGCCACCATTGTTTCAATGAGGTCATCAACGTAATTCGCTGAAAGTCAAACGTTCAAATCAGCAATTCAGTCATACACTATTAAGAGACACCAATAGCAAACGTACCCACTTGGCATGCAGTAACTTATTTGACTGTAATCCCTACCGTCAAAGATCTGGCCATCCGAGCCCATCTGTAAATTTGGACACCTTCTTTTTAAATCTCTTGCAAAATTTCCAATATTCTAATTTGCACAAAAAGTATATTTATTTTCTAAAGTTTGTATATATCAAAATCTAAAACCAAGTTCTAATAATCAAGGGCGTGCATCCTTCGTATGTTGTGCCCCTGCATTGGGTAAACATAACTACATGGGGCAGTCATGCAGTTGTAGTTTTCTGAAAAATTTTGATAGTTTGCAGTAAAAGTTGCTGGTTGTGAAATAGTATTACTAGCAAACGGGAAATGGGATTTTCTCGAATTGACTTCATGAAATAGTTTCTAGGGATTAACTGTTTATGGATAATCGAACACCACATCAAAACGCAAATGTTTAAGTTGGAGAACTGGGAAAATATTTTTAACCTCGATCTGACCAAAAGCTCTTATGAAAAGATGCTAAAATTATCTATATATTTGGTTTTTTCATAGACATATTCACTGACTTAATGAAATTTCAATTGATACACTTATGTTTTATTATACTAAAGTTGGATGCATATGTTGAAAGTTTATAGTAATTTTTAAAGAAATTTTTGGTTGTGACATAGAGCTTCTGCCAAACAGCTTCAAATTGATCTTACATGATCTAAAATCAGTTTACTTGAATGACTGTGTAATGTAATAAAATTGTGCTGTTGAGACTTAAACTTATTTTTCTCTCACACTAACAGTCATAATTGTGTTTAATATTATCACTTTTAGGAAATCATTCTTACCTTTCGGCCACTTTCACATTTCAAAGACGGGTTGGATACTTTCTAATCGAGACTTACATACCATCAGGCATTACTGTCGTCATTTCATGGGTCTCGTTTTGGATCCCAGCTGAGTCGGCACCAGCAAGAGTCTCACTTGGTATAACAACAGTTCTCACAATGACAACCATAAGCAGTGCAACAAGGCAGTCACTGCCCAAGGTATGTGAAGCGCCATGCCTTTGATATCTGTTATTTTATCCAGGTGAGCCAGCCACCAGATACAAAAGTCTGGAATAAGGTATAGATTTCAGTAAGTTGTGAGATTTCAGAGAACAGCATAACAAAATCATCCTGATTACTTCGGCTGAACTCATCCTGATTACAATTTTGTTCGAATTTCAATAATTTTTAGTTGCTTGTAAATGTTTTAATCGATACATAGTCTCGAAAATGTCTCAAAAATAAACATTGTGGCGGAAGGTCAATCATTTTGGTTAGACAAAAAGGTTTATGAATGGTTTTCAGATCTTGAAAGACGTTTTGGTAGAGCATTTGGATGTATGAAACATTAGTGTCTCTCACAGTACTTTCGTCATACAGGTGTCCTACGTCAAAGTGGTTGATTGGTTTCTGTTGGTTTGCCTCGTGTTCGTCTTTGCTGCGTTGTTGGAGTATGCTTTTGTTGTCTATTATCACTCAAGGCTTCGAGACAAAGATGAGATTCTATATCAACTAAGAAAACTGAAAACGGATAAAGGTAACTGTCACCACACAACTGGCATGAAGCTGCACGTTGAAGATGACAGTACTGACGATGTAAGGGTCATTTTGTGCTTCTTTTTAGGTTAATAGACATTTCTTATCTCCTTCTACTTCTATCTTAGACTAATACACGTTTAATGAACGACGCCACGCGGGGAACTATTGTTCAACGTTTTCGATCATATCATAGAAGGAAGGAGCAGTCTTTAATACGATTGAGAACAGTGACTTATTTCTCTTATTTAGATTGAGAACAGTGACATTTTCTCTTATTTCTCGTATTGCTTTACGCTTCAGAGTGTGAAGATAATACGCTGGACTCGCGTGCATCAGGTTTAGCGAAGGCTGGTTTCTACTTAAGTCACTGTTTTTATGCGAACTCAAAGAGAACGAACCAGCAAATATGGGGGCACTTTCCGTGTCGGGGTACTCTCTACAGAGTTCAAATACTCAGTGCATTTACAGCAAAAGCGCAATCTAGACTCTGCACCTGACCTGCTAACAAGTTGCGTAAGTTTGCTCGGTCGCACAAACAGCGAGAGTGAAGTCGAAACCGGCACTATTCAAGTCAAAATAGAATGGCACCAAATTTGTCATTGGCCTAGCTTAGCATAGAAATTTCATAATCAAACCAAAGAATCGACTTTTTCTGCACTGCTCACGCTCATGAAATTTGTAATGCCTCTTAATATGTAGCAAAGGATACGCATTGTAGATATCCCATCGTGTATGATTAGGAAAGAATATCAGCAAGTGATATGTGCAAAGTCACAGGATAGCCTTTTATTGGAAACAATGCATTCACATGATAAGAAGGTGCATAGGTCATTGGTCAATGTCCTTATGCCTTATTAGGTATTAGCGGAAACACATATGGGCGTATACTATCTGTAAGGAAGCTTCAGAAGAAATGTCATAATGTAAAGATAGTCACTTCCTGGGGTAGCTTTCCATATCTTATTGTTAGCAAATTTGCTTTTAATCGATTATTTTATGTTGCATTCGCTGAAAATAGCCATAGTTAGTCCTTGCGAAAAATATAGTTGTCCTTTGTCAATAAACAGTTTAGGATTCCTTTTGCGATAAACTCCGAGACTTTTCCGGTCGATCATGGAATCCTTTACAATGGGAAGCATGAAGCAAGTGACAAAAATGATAATTAAGATGCATATTCAGAATATGCTGAAGATGTCACTAGATTACGTCATTGCAAGTTAAAGTCATTGCAAGATAACCTCATCTCTAGATAACGTCGTCTCAAAATAACGTCATCGCTAGAAAACTACATCGCTAGATAACGTCATCAGTAGATAACGTCATAGCAAGATAACGTCATCGCAAGGTAACCTCATCACTAGATAACGTCGTTACAGATAACGTCATCGCTAGATAACTTCGTCGCTAGATAACTTCCTCGCTTAATAACTTCATCGCTAGATAACTTCCTCGCTTAATAACTTCATCGTTAGATAGCATCATCACAAGATAACGTTATTGCAAGATAACGTCATCGCTAGATAACGTCATCGCAAGATAACATACACGGACTCTATGTTAAATTTTCCCTTTTGCGTGATATTATTCCTAGGCCACGAGTGAAAATTTTCACTGTAACGTTATCTTTTAGAGCTCGAAAGATAAATATTCTGAGCGTACCAGAAATGGCACCCATGCTGGATGGCAATTCGGAAATAGCAATCACATGAAGAAAAAATCAGCAAAGGAGATTCCAGTGAAATTGCTTAGCGACGTCATGGTCCTGCCAACAAAAATCGACCAAATCGCAAGAAAAGGATTTCCAATAGCTTTCTCTTTGTTTCTTTGTCTATATTGTGTAAACCTGACAATGGCATCAAAATAGACAATTCATTTTAAAGAAAATCGATATACGGAAATCTATTCAATAACTCCTAAATCATAAAAAAGCTTTTATGAATAAACCTAGTTAAATTCTCAGTTGCGAAGAGTATTAAAAACAAAGACCTTAGGGTCATCAATATAAAAGAAAAGCTGATAAAAAAATATTCAACCATTAGTTTGAGCATCAGATTCGAAATGAAAGAATAATAGCAATTCTATCTATTTCAAAAGCCCACAAATTCATTTCAAGCAGGCTTTCAATCATTTTGAGAAATTTAAACCTCTGTAGGTAATCCTATTTTAAAAATTGTAATACACAAATCCTTCGATGATTTGCTTCACGCTACCTAGAAGACCTTTTGATTCTCATTTCTCAGTGCCTTACAGAATTCTAAGAAATCCAAAAAGTGATCTCAAGTTGCCATTAAAAAAAACAACCAAGGGACAAAAAGATATTTTCCGAAGAGCCAAAATATGGAAGGCCTTTTTCTCTTTTAAGAAGTATCGAAGGGATTTGCTTGAATTTCAACTTTTATAGCAAATGTTTTTGTTTGAAAGTTAAGTTTTTGTTGTAAATGGTCAGTCTCTTGCTAATCAGCATCGTTGAATGGGTCACCGCCCTAAACAATGTGAAATTATTACTGTTATCAAATATTGTTATTATAATCATTCTAAAAGACCAACTGAAAAAATGTCTTTACAACTGAAAAAGTATTGCTCCTAAAATTTTTTCTATATGTCTGAAAGACTTTAATGAACTTGGCTATAGGTCTCCTTATGGCCTATGCATATTTACCTCTAAAGGCTAGTCTAGAATCGTATGATAGTGTTCAGTTGTTTAAATTCCCGGAAGACGCGGGCGTACTTGAAGAGCAGTCATAAAGCATCTATATGGCACATAACATCTTAGTTTTGCACGCCATGACTCCACAACGTATTCGTTAACATTATGTTTCTATAAAATTACAAGATTAGCAAAATGCACTGCATTTTGAGAAAAATCATATTATTATAAGTAGAATTTGAGGTTACTTATAAAGTGATAATACAATAGAAAACACATTTAAATGATATTGTAAACATCTGCGCGGAGAAGTTTAAATGCCAGTGACTTAATGTAAATAATAAAAAATTTCATTTCCCGAGTTCATCACTTATAGGTTTCAAGTTTCTATTGCATTTTTTTTACACTAATTCGTGTTATATATTGTTTTTAATAAAGAGTTTTGAAAAAAGCAAACGTGTTACGACGCTATGATGTCTTTTTCTAACATTCTTTAGAGTATAAAGCTAGAGAACATGTACCCGATTGTGGATAGAAGTAGGCCAATAAAAAACGCAGACACGTGACAATAGAGATTACCCAATCGCTGGCCTATTGAAAATACTACCGTTGGTTTCCAAGGATGAAAAAGAAACCATTCTATCTTCACAAATGTGGTTTTTGCCTTGTGTACATGGATTCTAAAACCAGCCTGTAAATATCATCCAAAATTTTAATTTCGATCCTTTATTCTGACATTTTTCACTCAAAGGATTGTATTAAAATGTTTGCTTTTTCAAAGCCAACTTAAAATTTTGTACTGCAAAAAGATATTCGTATCATGCCTTTTATTATAATTAATTTCATGATAAACACGTCCAATAACTAAAGGTATCAAATATCGTAATTTTTGAATCATAAGAACAAATCTATGTCATAGCATATCTAAGCTTGATTGGACAATTTAGAAGAGTTTTAGCCTTGAAAACTAGAATACATTATTTCAGCAGTTAGAAATTCGGCTTTTTGCATTCTGTTACTATTAATTCAGGCTCGAATTCATTTGGTAAAACTTGTATGCATATTAAAGGGTGCAAATTGGATTTAAGTTGCATTACTTTTTAAAATCGCAGATTTTGTAGGGATTCATTTTATTATGTGCAAACAAAATTTAACGAATAGCATGCGATGTTATGTGCATCAAAACAAACGATCCCGACTTGAGCCCGACAAAACATTTCCTACTTGTTTTTGGCCCGGCCACCAAAAGACTTACTCTTTCTCAACCTTTGCCAGAAGCCCTACCCTCAGTTTTGGAATCATTTAGTATCGGGTCATTATCATACAAGACAGGCTACATGAACAACGTTCGAATCTGATACACTCTGTGTCGTATTTTGGAGCAAAATTAATCTGCTTTGAATCCGTCGGAATACCTTTGAGCTGCTGTGAATGCTTGAATGGGATCAGCTGTTGCTTTGGAACATTTCTTTGAGTGCCAGATTTTGCGAGGCAGGCAGTGCGGAGCTTAGCGTTGCCGTGTAGATGCAATAAAATAATGCTAAAACTGAATCCTGTATAGTCTGAACAGTCGCAATATTTGCATTGGATTGGGTCAGTTGATCCGTTAAGCAGTGCATCTGGCAAAGTGTTAGCAGTGTCTAAATATGACAGTGGTTCGAGTTTGACTTTTTTCCAAGTAGCGAAGAGAAAATCTCGAAATCAGTAACACACATGATTTATATAAGAACAGAGTTTATAAGAACGCAAACTTTGAAAATAGTAAAAATTAAGATCATCTTAAACGAGAACTGACACGCAAAAATAAGTTTGGCTAAAACGGTAGTTTGTGACAAGCAAATGCCGGGATCGAAATTTTTTTTTGAATCACAGTTACCGTTTTTGAAATACAGGCGTTTTAAGTTGAGAAACGACAATTGTTCCGACTACTTGAGACTCGAGGCGAAAATCGTCACGAGTGGGCGATCATCTTCAACGTCACAAGTAACATGTTCTCAGGACATATTGTGTTTTTCTATAGAGAAACACAAGAAAATTCTGCGGTCAAATGTTTATTTTGTGCGTGTGAAAGGAGCTAATTTTGCATTTTTGACATATAATTGACTTTTTCATTGGTGTAGGACTCTGATTTGGAGTTTTATTACACTGATTTCGAAACAGATGGAAAATCACGAGTGGGCCGTCTTCAACGTTTGCACAAGTAACATGTTCCAGCGACGTATTGTGTTTTTCTATAGAGAAACACGAGAAAATTCTGCGGTCAAATGTTTATTTTGTGCGTGTGAAAGGAGCTAATTTTGCATTTTTGACATATAATTGACTTTTTCATTGGTGTAGGACTCTGATTTGGAGTTTTATTACACTGATTTCGAAACAGATGGAAAATGTCAGCCGTCTGAGTCTTTGCTACCAACCAGCGCTGCCGCTTGGGCAGACAGTCTTCTCATGGCTCAACAGTGATGATATTATGAACAAAGAACAGATTGGAAGTACAAACTGATATGGAATTTCTATTAAAAACATTGCTATTTTTACAATTCAAATGAGATCAGGTGTCGTAAAACTAGAATTTCATTTCAGATTGAGACTTCTTTGTCCAGGCTGCTTTGTCTGTCTGGCCTAATTCGCTGAAATGCCTATGATGTCCTAAACGGAATTGAAAGTTATTCATTTTCAATGTAACGTTCTATTTCTCAATGTGTCAAACGCGTTAACTGTATCGTGATATTAAATAGTAAAGGCGGGTTGAAAGTCGCACTTGTGCGGATTATATGCCATTTTCACCGGACGTGCAGGGTTTCCGGAATTGATAAGTTAGATGGCAGTCGAAAAATCTGGACTTATGAAATAGGCTCTTAGCTCTTAGTCAAAGAATTTGATTTCCTAGTCAAAGATTTTGAGCTGCCTTTTCTGAATTTTCTTATAAAGGAATAGGCTTATTTCCAAAATACCCATGTCGTTAATTTTTGCTACTGCAACGACGTACGACAAGCTGGACTTGTTTTTCTCCTTCTTTGTAACTCAAACACCTTTTGCTTTGAAGCTGCACAAATTTATTGCAGTTTGCTACATGATTCTATTTTGCCTCCATGGCAGCCATAATTTATTTAGATTTGCCATATAAATATTTGTGCGTTTAAAGCAGGTACAAATAGCAAGCAAACAACAATTTTTGCAAACTACTTTTTCAACAGATGTTCCAAAGAATTCCGAGCATTTTTCACAAAATCTGAACAATAATGTCTACCTAAGAAAAAAAAACCAAAGAAAGATTCCACCCAGGGAACTATGAATATATAGGTGTTGCTATAAAAAATACAAGAGTGGTCTCTTGAAAAATTTCCCAAAAAAAGACAGCAGAAAGAAAAAACAGGGTTCATCTTTGGCATTTACAAGGTAGATCGGAAAGTGGTACGACAAGCGCGCCGTTCTTGAAAGTCAAAAGATCTTCGGCGCATGCTTGCAGCGTATTCCTTTTCCGTCCATACCGTGAAGAAAAAATCCGGCTACTGGGCGTCGTCCCACAGTCTTGTGCCGTTTGAGATTTGGATCCAGTTGGTTGTTGAAGTAGTGTACCCAGAAAAGAACATGTATCAGTACAGGCATAAAATAAATAGCTTCATATAAAGTGTTTCATATTTATAATTGGAATTCTTTGTTGCTTCGCAGGCTGTTATCAGCATTTGCTTGCATCGTTTTTCTACAATTTTTTCTAGAAGTGATGGATTTAATGTTTTGCAGAATATCATTCCTTCTAAAAAGGAAAGATGGACTGCTTAAAGTAAGGAAAAAAGAAGATATTAAAACAGCAACAGTTATAATGAATCCATGTTAATAGCCGTTTTGAATTAGCATGATTTAATAATGAAGGAGTCGGCGCCCATCTGACAATATCTCAGACAATTGGTGACAGTTTTGTGGACAAGTGATCGCTGCATATACCAAGGAGAAAGTCTTTTGGCTGGTCAGAAAAAGTGTTCAGTTTATCCAAAACTGTTTCGGAACATTTGCCAAAGCGCTGTCGCTGTTTCATCTACCAGTGTTAATCTGTCTACATAAAAATAAAAAATGCTACTCCTTAGACACAAATAATGTCTACCTTTCCAGATTGATTGCGTTTTTAATAAGCCTATATCAATCCAAAAACGAAAACATATATTTACTAACTTAGATTCTTTGATCTATGCTCTGATGTTTTATACTCTGAAGAGCGTCAGACAAAAATCTTTAGTATACTCTTAAATTTGCCGGGGCGAAATATCAGTATACTCTTAAATTTAATTTATTTTGAAAATTTATGTCGTGACATTGGATTCTCGTCGTCGTATTGCTTTGTTCCTGTATACCTTTCATTCAAAAATCTTTAGCATGTTTTAAAATGTATTTGCTTTTTTCAAAGCCATTCTCAATTTTCTTAAACAAAAGCTTGTATGCCTTGGTTTGTTCAATTTCATTCATTTCTTCAGTTTCCTTCCCTTTGTCATAACATTATCATAGCCAGTTTTTTCCCCTATCATTATTGTAGCAAATTACCATATTGATTAGGTTACAAAATTTAGCCCAGCTTGCTTAAAAAGCATTTTAAACATAATTTATTGTTGTTTTTTCTTATGTATAATATATTTAAATAATCTGCCACAACCCTTTATTTTTGACTGACATCTACAATAATTTTCCTCATTAATTTTTGGACAATTAAGCATCCTTGGGATCATAAGCTAAGGTCGTTTATTAGAATTAAGTCGTTATAACAGTTCAGAGATATGCCGATCCTGTAAAAAAATTATGTTTTAATTATCGGCTGTGACATTTGCTTGCTGTTCTTAACGGCTAATAAGCTTAGCAAAGCAGTCGTTTCAATAACTGAAATCGTGGAAATTACAAAAACAGAAATTTTATAGACTTTTGTCAACAGCACAAACTTTGAGCTAAGTCTAATAGATTGTCTTTAATAATTCAGTTCCCTAGCTTTTTTCTATAGCTCTCCATCTTCTTAGCTTAAAGTTTTATAAATCAATTTTAGCTATCTCAAGCTCAGAATATTAACACAAGCCATAGCTACAGGAATTTATAGTTTCTTGAGACTTTTTGGTGAGATCTTTAACCTTTCTTTGAGCATCTCTCAAAGTTGATTAAATGCAAAGCAATTTTGGAACAAAAAATAACTTGAAGAAGGTCTAACTACAATCACAAATGCGCTCATGCCATAAAGTTTATGTAAAGGCTAAATTTAAATATTTTCTCTCTTCCTTGTAGCATAATAACTTCTATGCTTAGTGTTGCCAAAATAGTGTATAGCCTTTACAAATTTTATTTTTCTTCTCATTTCAACTTCAAAATTTCGAAGAAGGTCGGTTTTTCAAGTCAAAGTGAAGATTAAGCTGAAACTGTCTAATTAAACTTTTGCACATTTTTGACCTGTTTTGAAAAACCTTTCTCCGCAGCACTTTAAAACTGCGAATCATCAGTTTAGTCAAAATTGAAATATATTTCGTCTTTTACCATTTAGAAAAAATCTTATTCCATTTAGAGCTTCAATGTTTTCTGTTAAATGATTGAGATTATGAGCTGAGAAAAATATTTGAATCTACTGATAGCATTTTGCAGCAGAAAATCAATCAGCAGCAGAAAAAACAGCGAGAATCAGCGAGAATCAGCGAGAATCAGCGAGAATCAGCGAGAATCAGCGAAAATTAGCGAACTTTCTGTATCCGCCGGATTCTATGAATCTAGGAACGATGACACGACGACGACGAGAATCCAATGTAGTCAATAGAATTTAAAATAGTACATGGATGTAAATAACACCAATGATGTTGCTTCGTTTTGTTTCAAAGCAACAAAGTATGAGAGCCATTTTGTATCAATCATTTTCTAAAGTTATCTCGGTAAAATGAAGAAAAAGGCAATTAAAAATAAAATAATTTTCATCTGAAAAGAAGAGCTAAGTATGTGGTTTGTTTTTGAGCTACACTGCGGGTAACTGCGAGCAATCCGAGGAGCAATCGATGAATAATATTATATATCAGACTTGCTTCTCCGGAAACCGTTAACTTTTGTGAGCAAATTCAAGCAGTCTTAGACCTCGCTCACACGCGATCGGATCCAAAGTTTCCCCGTTTACACAGGACCCCGATGGGTTCCGACTTTAAAAGTGATCCCAGCAGTTCCTGATAGCGGATCCAAAAGTGTTTGGGTCCGTGAGCTCCTGTGAAAACGCAACGCGCATCCGAACAGTTATTGACACTTAAAGACTCTTGGTTAACATTGATCCTTTGCGCGCCCGCGAGCGCAGCCAGCAAAGCAAAACAAAGTTTGATTCTAACCGAGCGGGGCTGTGGTAGCAAGTGAAACAACTCAGCCTTCCTCATATTCCATAAAAGAAAGATAAAATAAAGAACTTAGATAGTCCAACTAAAACCCCTCGATTTACCTCCCTTTTTTGCATCCCAATTTTCGGTGGAACGGGCTCTGTTGTCCGAAACAAGACCACTTTTGATAAGAGCAAGCCTTGCCGAGGCGAATGAGCCGTTGCTCTTGCATTTCCATCATGTTTTAGTAAGGTTTCCAGCCACTTTTCCTTCGCCAACTTCCAAAGTAAAGTGACGAGTTGATCTATTCATATGGTCTATTTTTGGCCGTGAGTTTAATTGTTCTCAGCTATGCGTGTCGATAGAACCCCATTGTTTGAACGCTTGAACAAAAGTTCGAAAATATATCAAAACATCATTGTGCCTTAGCTATGGGCATACTAAACCGTACAAAACACGAAAGTTGGAGAAAGAAAAGTGGTCGATCCATGGGCGAAAAATATTTTACGATCTTCCTACCGTTTTGGCCGTCCGACTTTGCCTTTCGTAGCCATTCTTACTTTCGCGCATGGAAAGCATAGACCTGGCCTAGCCGTTAATCGATTTCTGTATTATAGAAATCCTTGCGGGGCCGCAAAGGATCAGTGTTAACCAAGAGTCTTTAAGTACGTATCAGTTTGGACCCCGTTCAGTGTAAACAGGTTTTTATTCAATCTTATGGTCAATGACCAATGAAACTGAAACCTAGCGGAAAAACTACTGTTTTGTGTCAATGGTGCTTAATGACCAAAAATATGTATTGAAATACTGCATCGTGAGCAGATTGCTTGCAATCCAAGTATAAAGCTACCTGCTATTCGCGTGCATAAAAATATCGATAAATAAATAATTTTATATTATGTATTTATATTAATCGAGTTTCTGGCTTAGTTTCTGCAATTGAGAGGAAAGGGACCTGTGTCGCAAAAAATGAATTCCCTAACATCTTTATTGAGTCAAATAAGAACGGGTGTTCATATAGAGAGGCCTATTTAAAAATTTAATTGGTATTTAGGCCCTTCTTGACAGCAGCAAGTGATCTCGTTGATTATTCAAAACAATCTGCAATCACCTTCGATGTAATTAAATTCTTCTTCTATTATGAGAAGAGCAGAAAATTTTTTTGCATAGTTTTTAGTTGTTTACAAATCGCAAGTAGTTTTTATTGCAATATCATTATTTGTTATGCTTTTGCAATTGTTAAAGGATGACGTGAAAGAGCGCTGAATTGAAAGGGTTGTTTTATCACGAGTTTGATATGAACAGATAGTAGATCATCAACATAAAAGCGAACTATTCCAGATCATTTTGGCTCAATTCACATGTCAGATGTAATGATGCAGAAAGCTGTCTTGCTTTTGAGTTCATTGCTCCTTGCAGCCAATGTTGTCGCAGCAGAAAACAGCACGTAAGAGCGTTGAACGATTTTCAATTCCTTCTAGGCCTAGCAAATCAGTTGCTCTATATTTTTTGGGAATGTATAATCTAGTGGATGTGAAATATCGCAAGCATGTTTGAGAATTCTCCACTAAAAGCTATCTTCTTTAGACTTTCTCAAGAAGTAAAAGAAATTGTCTGATTTGATTTATGCTAGTAGAATATGAAAGTTTGGGATGGTTTAGCAATTTACAAAACCTGTAAAGAAATTCTGACACACTAAAAAGATAACAGTGGATTTGTCTCAAGGAGTCTACTAAATAAGACCGGGAGGCGTGGCTCAGAAATTTTCACAGACACCAATATAAATGAATATCGCCGGGAAAAAAAATCAAACAGAGGTTATTGGAAACAAATATTCTGTACCCGGACCAATATGGTATGAAAAAATCTGACCGTAAAAAGGTTTACCGTGTACCGGATCAAAACGTTGTTGCAAATACTTTATTAGTTACCAAAAAAATTAACTAAAGCGAAAGAAGTAAGTTCCAGGCTAAAGAAATAAGTTAAAAATCTTCTATCAAAAATGAGTTTTCTCGAAAATAAGTACAACCCGTTGGGAAATTAAATGCTTATATTTCCATATTGTTGCATATTTTAATGCAAGAAAAAGCGTAGTCTTTATTTCTTCAACCTCAGATCTTTCATAGCCTGATGAATATAAGATGAAATGGAGTTTTGAGACGCGCACAATCCTGTGGCTTCAGCGAGCTGCTCTGGAATTTATTTTTTTATGTCAAACTTAATGAAATAAAGACATGGACTTTTCTCACACCGAAGGCGTTGAGAAGTGCGATTTAATTGCTTGTAACACACAACTAGGGACTTATCAGCAGGATACACCTTTTGAACAGGAATTTAAAAGCCTTTCTTACCATCAGTCAAACTATAGGTGCTCTATGTTACCACAGCACGAGAAAAGTCAATTATTTTTTAATTATCTTTGCAGAAGATATACAGCTACTTTAGGATTAAACAGTATAATCATCTTCGAAAACATTAAAATAATAAGACTACACTGCATCCAAAATACTTTTCCTGCCTTTCTTCTGTCTGTAATCTGATTTCAAATATAAGACGAAAGATCTTTGTAACTCTTAAACTGTAACTTTTAAAGTTTTAAGGCTAACTGCAGCTGCAGGGACTTACAGGTTTGCATTGAACTAAGTATGTGTTGAAACTAATTCTTTGGTTTGTTTTTTCAGCTGTCTAAAGAATTTAATAAAATATACTCTTGATAATCTGCTCCAGCATGTCACAAGCAAATGATTTTGGACAGAAAATGTAAAAGAAGTGCCTAGATCAATATCCAGGCGGCTGTGGAGCAGTAAGCGTAATTATGAGGAGGGCAATATCTCATCTTCTTTCCCGCTGAAATTTATCAAATACTCTTTTGTATTCAGTTTTTTCAAAGTAAGGTAATTTTCTGAATTTTAGAACTCCATATAAAGCTGAAGAGTATCTTGAAGCGATGTTAAGAAACTACGATAGCAGAGTATTGCCTGCAAAAAATGGTAAAATTTTATTCTGTTTATTACTTCTGGAACATGATAAATACATGTTAAATTATTAAAACGGCATTAAAGTTCCTGCATTTGCTAGATGCAGCAAAAAGTAGATGATTCTAAAGTGAAATAATATTGTCAGAACACTAATATTATCAAAGTCATACGAAGCTGTTTCAGTAAATTCAAATTTTAGTCAAGCTTCTTCTAAAAGCGGTAATACCATGTTTAATTACTCACCTAGTCATAAATAAAAGGTTGATTATAAAAGGATGCATGCTGAATTGCAAAGCAGTATTTGTAGATACAGTGGAATTCCGAAATAACGAACTCCGAAGGGGACCAGAAAATAACAGTTATATCGGGAGTTCGTTAAACCGGGAGAAAACGTTTTTTATGTCTTTTAGCAGTTCACGTCTAAAAAATCCTGCGATGGGCTCTAACTTTTGTGCACATTTAACTCCAAGAGACTAAGCAGAATTCAGATTTTACTAAAGGTTAGACATCGAAAATGATAATCTTTATTTTCCTCTTATAATTTTGGACCAGGAATTGACAAAGCTAGTATTACTTCACGTCTAGTTGGCGGCTGAATGATGTCTTCGATTACTTCACATTCTTGCTTGTCTTCTTCTGCTTCTCCATCTGGGCCTCTCAATAAAAGTTTGTCGTCGCTTATTTTCAATGTCTCATATGTAAAGAGGTATTCGTTATTGTCAATGTACCCATTCGCAGTAATTTCTGACGCAATCGAAGTTTCACCTTGTGCACTGAGCCAATCAGCCAGTGCTTGGAATGTATCGTCGGCACGTTTTGCCGATTATATAAAATGATTTCCCACTAGATAAATGAATACCGAAAACAGTAATAACAGATGAAAAATTTATGAAAAGTTCGTTATATCGAGGGTAATTATGATGAAGGGACCTAAAAATTGGTTCGTAATAACAAGAGTTCGTTATATCAGGGGTTCGTTATACCGAGAGAATTTGTAAAGAGTTTGTTAGGCAGAATCCAAGGGACCAAACATTACGTTCGTTACACCGGGAAGTTAGTTATAACCGGGGTTCGTTATATCGGGATTCCACTGTAATTTGTTTTCAGCAATTAGGCCATGTTTTTATCAGCCGCAGACATTGATTTACACGAAGTTACATAACTTTTTTCTCCGTTTAATACAGCAATAAGTACTTCTGTCACAAAATTCTAAAATTATCTTTAGATTCTTGTGAAAAGTGCATTGCTATCTACCTGGTTTTTTAAAGTATTTACCCTAGAAGTACTATTTATTCTAGGATCAACAGTCAAAATTGAAGTTCGAGCAAACATTGTTGACTTTTCCGAACAAAAATCAATACACAGTGTAAGTCTATTGATTATGCCATTGGAAAAGGTTTTAAAAACTGTCTTCTGACAAACAATGCTAGCAAATATTTGCCTAATGTATATTGTATCCTTACCAATGTTCCCCTTTGTAATTTAGGGTTGGCAGAGACAGAACAAGAAATGACTTCCACACACTGTAGGTCATGCTAACTAATTCCTATACTAACTATATTAGGTTATACTAACTGTAACTAATTCAATTTTCATGCAGTATGGATACCATGATTTGCTTGATACCAAGTTACAATGACAATCAATCAACATTGACAGTGACAACAATCATTTATTACACTTTGAAGGAAGAGCATACTGTATACAAAGAGTGCCTTCAACTGAAAGTTAATCTTAATATTAAAACGCAAATATGTCCTACGCCCTCAACTGAGAAAGACCAGCCGCTAATACTGCTGTCGTACCGTCAAAGTAAACCTCTGAGTCAACCATGCGACATTTGATCTAATACTCCAGGTTTCAACGCTCTAACCCAAAACAACATAAGCGCAAAAATATCTACAGCACAAACGCCTATCAGAGCAAAAAAACATTTTCAAAATTCGCAGACAACAACTAATGTTTTGAAAGAAATTATAAATGAGTGTGAAGTTGAACTGAGAATAAAAGCATTTTTTCAGCGTATGGTTTTACTATTGATATTTTTGGCTAAATTTTGCCTGCCTTTAAAGAAAAAGTTTTAGATTTAGAAATTTGATTGAAACGCCATCATGATAGCAAAATTTCAGTTGCTTTCTGAAAATGAAAATTAAGTTTATAGTTTTCTTATCCTTAAAATAAATCTGAATATATCATTTTACTTATTAAGGTAACTAATTTAATCAGTTCTTAATTTCTTAATTTCCTAATAGAGTAGACTCCGGTTAAAGTCACATCAAATGTTGCATGAAAACTTGTGACTGTAAACTGAGTGTGACAGTAAGTGGAGCTGATTTTAATAGTTTTGTGTCTTTGGGTCGAAAGTTTATGTGACAGTAACGAATATTGTGACTTTAAGCGGAGTCGACTAAATCTGATAAAAATAATTAGAATGGGATAATTTTACCGAGAACACTGCTTGTTCAACTTCTGTTGTTGTGCAGGAGCTTCCTCTCTATGGAGCTCAACGATCTCACCAACAAAATCAAACTGACTTTCCGTCTTTAGAAATTGAAAATATTTGGATGATGTTTCTATCAAAATTTTTATTTACACTTGCGTTGCGTTCATTCTTGGTCAGGTTTTGGATAGCAAAAGGTTGCAGCTGGTAAACTATAATATCATTCTTAGAAATCAACTCAATATTAGGATTGGCAGCACAAAATATTAGGATCGGCTTCTTTAGGAGTATGATATTTGCTTGCAACCGCATATGAATCATAGCTATTCAACTATTCAACTATTCAACTATCAATCGAATGATTACAAGATGCAAGAACAAAATCAAGAATTAATCAAGAAAATCTAGAAAAATTGAAAAAAATGAAAAATAATCCAAAATAATTGTCAGTTTGCAATTGTTATTCAAAACTTTTGTAAATCAAAGACACCAATTAAAAATTAGATATGAGAAGAAACGGCGTTTATTTTTAGCATTATGGGGTTGAAGTTGTACTACACTCATATTGGAATGACCACAGGTTGACTTTCAATGGAACAGACATTGATGACATCAGACTGGCAGGGAGCAAAGTCGATCTTATCTGGACACCAGATTTCACATTTGAAGAAAAGATTGGAGTTGCTAGCAAGATCACAACGGATAACAAATTTGTGGCAGTTCACGATAATGGAGACGTCCTATTTAGCCAAAGGTTTGAATAATTAGTTTTTCAAAACACAGTTTATTAACTAAGCACTTCAAATTCTTTATTGTTTATCTCATAAAAGTCTTTCTTGCAAAATTTCTCGCAGGAAAATCTTTAATAAACAGGTGAAAAAGATATTACTGTTTAATGCGTTGGTAGTTATTATTGTCTTAAATGGCTACATCTTTGCAATCTTACCCTTTTGCGTAAACATAGTTTTTGTCTGTTGAAAATTACTTTTCAGCACAAGATTTTTCAACTAAAAAGAAGCAGAATGGGAGGATTTCAAATTTTGTATTTTGAAATTTTTTTAATTCAAGTCATATTTTCATCGAAATACCTAATAAATATTTCTGATGGGTTACTGGAGGGGTAGTGTTATCACAGAATACGAGCCACTTGCACTTTTCTCAAGCAAGTATACTTATTTGGTATATCCTTACTCTACACAATTAAACAAAAAGAAGAGGCTTTCCTGAATTGTGATCATTTTTACTTCTAAGGTTTTAGGTTTTCAGGCCCTGCAGTTTTACACTGAAACTCTGTTGGTTGCACACTGCAATTCTCTGTCACTTTTCCCCCCTCATCCACGTGGATGCGCTTTTCCCCATGGGCATAGAATTCTTTCAACACACGGTTTTCAAGGAACTTAAAAGACTAAACGACGTCGAGTACTCAAGAAGTAAGATATAATGCAAATACTCGATATCAGACGTTGCGAACAACTCGAGTGGCTGATTTATCAAACCTCGATCAAACATAGTCACGGAGAATGAATGAGAAATCAAATAGCAAGAATCCATAAATTTCATGGCAGCCATTCTAGAAAATTGAATAGACCAAGTCCTTGATGTATCTTTGATTTGCTTAACCATGCTGTTAAATTATCTAGAGAGATGACATGCACTTCTATTGGCAAACCCTGTCGAAGGACATAGCTTGACCTCAACATACTTCGTAAACAAAGATAATAGCTTCGAAAAAGCCTCTTCAAATGGTCGAGCCGTCTCGGAAAATATAATTATCTTTCTAATAGATGTTCATACCGTTGTAGGCGGACTATCTCTTGTCCAGTATCATTATTAAAATTAGCATATTACTTGAAAAGCGCGTTTGACGATAATGGACGCGAATGACCTACGACTAAAAAAGATTTAGGTTTATTTTGTCTATGTACAGTACTGCCCCCTTTTAAGTTAACGGTTTATGACAAAGCAAAAAGTTCTCTTTATCGAAGCAAAATCAATTATTTAGATTTCAATTTGGTAGCGGGCATGCCACATCTCAAGAAACGACTCTGCCATTACATTATCAAGACAACAGGGTGTTGAGTAACCCGAATGATAGAACTATCTCTCAATCATAAGAAGTGCGAATTCTCTTTCAAACACTGCTGTTTAGCTTAATGGATTCGTAACAGACAGTCTCCACAATACGATTTTCAGAAGGGATAATTTGATCGAACATAACTGGTTGCAATTTTGTTCATGGCTTGATCTCAGCAACAGCATTAGCAAGCTGCATATATTTCGCTTCATTCAATTTCGAAAACACCTGCACGAAGTGCGAGCATGTGGTTGAAACATCAGGAAAAGTGCAAAACATTAGCAAAATGAAAAGCTTAAAGCTACCTTTGTTTATGGCTTTTCGTGCCCTCTCGAAATATCGACAATTTTCGGAAAATATGTACTTGACACTCTCTGGAATCTGGCTGGATCACCTCCAATAATTGCCAAACTGTAGTATATTTTCTCTTCAACAGTGTACTGAATGGGATGCTTTACAATGTGCCGCCCCCAGCTTCCCCTGCCAATATGATTTCGTTCCGACGGCAATGATGTTTTTAAGTAGCTCTTTTGCAATGTAAGAAAGAACCCTTGGAGATTTGAACTATCGGGACTTTACTATATTTGTAAAATTCGAGCATAGGTAAACTAAAGCTCTCTGCTTTCAAGATTTTCGCAAAATTGTACTCAAAAAATGCCAAAACCGGAACCGTAACTGAACTACACACCTGCTTTGTGAGAAACTTTGAATTGGCACGCACCGTGGCTGTACATTGCAAAGATCAACCAAAAAGCTATCTGGTACTCTCTTATTCTTTACAAGAACATACTTTAGAAGAACACCAAAGATTGGCCAAAAAGCAAGAACTACGTGAGAACATAGCCAGCTTCAGCTGAAAAATGAGAAGAAAAAAGGCAATGTGTTTTTTTGGAATATTCATGTTTCAAAACAGAATAAACTTTTTTTATCAGCTTGAAACAACTACAACTGTAATATTTACATTCAACTGTGCACCTCCTGGCGGGAAAAGACCCAAGGTCATCGTGTTCCCACTATGAGGGACCACTATGAGAATAAACTTTATCAGCTAGTCAGAAGTGCTGCTAAAGCTATTACGAAAAACTGGTCTTTAGTGATTTTAAATACAAATTATAGTACGTAGTTGTATAAAATGAAGTTTAAAATATAAATAACATTAAGAATACTAATTAGTCAAGTTATCCAAAAAATGAACATCGATCCTCGGCCAAAATTATCTGGTTCTGATACAAGAAGAGTGTACGGAAAGTTTAAAAACATGTCAAATAGTGTGCAAAACCATGTTTTCGATAATGACAGTATGTTTATAAATGAAAGTGTATATAGGAAGAAATTGACTGTATTAAGCTATTGGCATATCTATAAGCCTATTGACGTTTAATGAATTGTTGAGAGTGCTAAATTGCGCGTTACAATAAAATCTTATTCTGATGTTATTCCGATTTAGTAGAAAGTTGCCAAGTTCAGTTATCATGCATTGAAACGACTTCAGAAAAGCTTTGTTATGTACTATAAAGTTGTTTTTTCAGTAACTGACTCAAACTGTGATGTATTACGATTGATAAGTATATTTTTCAACATTTATCTGATTTGACAGTTGATTCAATGGGCATCTTTGTTGGCCTGACTTTTTCATTATTTAGCAAGAAGCAAAGCAAATGCAAAATATTTGCAAGCATTTCGACCAGCATGAGCTTTGTGTCTTCTAGATTTTAAGTCGTGTAATCTTTAACAAAAACCGTTTGCTTTCAGCTTTAATGCGCATACCATAACAGTAAATTCAAAATATTGCGTTTCAAAATGTATTTTATAGAAGTTTCCATTTTTGATTTCAGGGTTATCCTTACTATGTTTTGTCCAATGGATTTCAGGAAATTCCCGTTTGACGACCAAGAATGCGACCTTCCAATTTTTTCATGTAAGATTTTTAATTCTATGAACATGCAGTTTCACGTAAAATCAAATTTTAAACAATCTTTCACAAGATCACGTACCTAGTAATCGTGCACAAACCTGCATTAAATTGAAATGCTAGTTACTTTCAGCATCCGTTCTTTAGCCCAGGTCATTCATTAGAAAGGTGCCTAGTTACGTAACGAAGCCAAATGTTTTTAATTGATTTCTACTTTGCAATGCACATAATAGTGAACACCGAAAGTTGTATTTAACCGCTCCGCGCAACTCCTGAACTAATGTACTTTTCAGTTGCTTATAACGACGAGCAGATGGAACTAAGCTGGATGTCTACAAGTGGTGGGAAGACCTTGCCAGGCGTCGTGCTGCGAAGTGAACCGGAAAAGCTCGGAGGCCCGTATCTGTTGGAAAAGCACAGTTACGGCAAAGTCAAAAGACAATTTGGAACATCAGGTAGTTTTTCTTAACTCCAGCATGGTACTGGAAAATGTTTTCATTGCGATACAAAGGAAGAAATATTCAGTTTAATTGGGTGGTTTTCCAATCTTTTCTTATTCAATCATGAAAAACCATTATGTTAAAATTAGGAGTGATAAAAATAGTTGTTATGTTAACAATAGTCCCTTGTCTCTGCTGTAAAACGCTATCATACGAGGAATAAAACCTGCAAACTGCAAAAAAGAGCGAAAAGGCCGTACAGCGAGTCAGAATAAGTAAAAATGGAGGTCACTGTAGTTTATTTTGTCTTCAGGAAAATAATCAAAGGTTTTCCATTATTTACCTACTCTTTAAATACGTTGCCGCTGAACCTTAATTGTTCATAATCCCTTTCTTTTAATATCTTGTCTATTTAATTGCTGATAGCAGAATACAAAATAAGAGCGGGCAAATGATAGAAACACAAAGTGCGAAATGACAAACAGGGGGTTCAACAGCAAAAATCCAAAACGTTATATAAAATACATTATATAAAAAACTGAAAGCCGTGGGAATTGCAAATCTATAATTGCCAAATCTGTAAGCCGAAAACAAGGACGTCCGAGGCCCCGTTTCTCTAAAATAGCGACAGAGCCCCACTTTGAGTATGGGACCCTTTGAGCATTCTCGATACTATAAAACCCCTCTCGAATTTGCAATGAACACCTTTTAGTTGACAACTAGCTCTTAATAGAAGGAAAAAAATCGTAATTCATTCTCCCTTAGTAATCACTAATTCAAATAACTTTATTTGACATACTAGGCATTGCTTTTACATTTCAATCTACAGAGTACTTATTTCACAGTCTTAATGATACCAGAAACACTATCTTAATAAAATTGTTAAGTTGTGTAGATAAGAGTTTCGGAAACTAGCAAGATTATTTTATCTATAGAAATATTGTGCCCGATAAACGATTCTTTAAATCTGGTATTAGAAACCAACATTAATCGTCTGAACATTTGCAGAGGTGCTTGCTGACTAAAAGGATTAAATCTTGAGAAAAAGGGATTTTTGTCATGCTCGCATGTTTATTCAGTTTTGATCAAAAGACATCCCACAACAAATCTGACCCAAGAAAAAGCTGCAAAATACACATAAAATTGTCTATTTTCAAATCATTTAAGGGGTACCTGATGTCAAAGTGATTAAGGCAAAGTCCTTTTTTGTCTTTCTTTGATTGAAAATTGCAGTACTTTCTACATAAAAATGATATCTAGATTTTCAACAGAATATCAGCACATTTCTTTCGACTTCTAATCGGCTTGTGCTTATACAAAAATAACCAACTAACATTTCGAAAAGCAGATTCAGTCCTTAATATTAACTTTGTACAGATAAGAATTTGAACTTGGAAGCATAGTGACCTCTACATTTTTCATTTCCAATAGGGTGAATGTATGAAACAAGCTGATTGAATTGTCAAATTATCGAGCAACATATGTTTTTTGAAATTCGGTTTTTTGCACCATAATAGCAAATCGGTTCTTTCGACCTTATAGAAATGAGAAAATTGTCTATTGTTCAAAAACAAATTTTGCAATCAGAGCCATGTTCTTGTCGATAAAACGTTTTTGTTTCATTTTTTCTATCGCAGCATAACTATACAGCCCCAATGTCATCTTAGCCATTGCTCCTCAAGAATCCATATAAGGGTCATTTCTTTTGTGTTAAACAACACAACCGTTTGTCTTATTCAAAAAGCTCTCTCGTCATCTTTATTCTCATATACATCGGAGGATTCTTCTCAAACCTTTAGGATTTTAGTCATGAATAACACTTTCAATGACATAAAAGTAATGGGATAAAAAACATCATTAAAAATAAAAAGTAAGCATCCTTGAGAGTAATAAAGGTAATGTCAATCCTACAGAATTCATGCCGGATTAGTCTGGTATGGGGAGCAAATATAATTCGTAGTACGTCAACCTCTTCTTTGTCAAGCGAGACAGCGAACTGGTTTTGGATCCTTGCATAGAGAGCCCAGGGCCAGCTTTCTCTTGGCATGTATATGATGCTGTATATCTTATACAGCTGCTTCTTCTTTGTGAGAATCGCATTGCAGAATCAGCCATCCACCCTATAATTATATATTTTGTAATAAAACCATTAGCCATTCACGGAGTTATCTTTTTGATTTTAGAGTCATACGACGAACTGGTGATTCGCCTGTCATTCCATCGACGCCTGTCGCATTACTTTGTTCGGATCTATCTACCGTTGATTCTGATTGTCATACTGAGTTTTGGCTCATTTTGGATCGACTATCGATCTACTCCAGCCCGCACCATCATGTCAACAACTATCGTCCTCACAGTGGTGACCTTTATTGTCAGCATCCAGAGTTCTTTACCACCAACAACCAGCATTCGTTCAGTCGATATATACTCCCTCTCCTGCTTCATTTTAGTTTTTGCTACCCTTATCGAATTTGCATTTGTGCAGACGGTCGATATTCGAGTGAGAATTATTGAAAGGAAATCAAAAGAAAAGGTACTCAAGCTTTCAAGCAAAGCTTTTTTCGAAGTAAAGTAAAGTCTTTTTTGTTATCAGAATTTATATTATTCATGATAAATGTCAAGTGAATGAATTCAGAATCTAGAAACTTTTAAAGTCAGTTCAATTAGTCCATTGCTGATGATAAATGCAAAGGAAAAGAGTAGCAGAAACGAATTACAGGTTTAAGGAAGAAGAAAGAAAAAGCTTTAAAAAGAACGCATCAGTTTCTGGTAAATGAAAATAATATTTTTACCGGTCAGTCATACAGTGCTCGATTCCGCCAATGCAAAGCTGTATACGCTTTGGTGCACGAAACCGGATTTTTCTAAATTTCATTTTCTTGTTTATTGGCAAATGCTATCGTCAAGCAATTTTCTATGATTATGCCTGTTAGGCATCGATATCCAATCATAACTTAAATTATGTATCTTTTATTTCAAGAGAGAGAAAAGCGCCCGCCAAGAGGCACAAGGAGATGCAACACCTGGAATCTTGAAGAATTCTTCATCTCGTATATGTATTTCTCCAAAGACACAGGCTGTTCCTGAGATTATTGTCAAAGGATTCCTCGGAAGATTTACGACTTACCTCTACAAAGCTCACTTTCAACACAAAGAAGAATACCATGTTTTAGACCATTTCTCAAAGCGGGTTTTTCCTCTTACGTTTGCAGTTCTTAACGCAATTTACTTCATTGTATATTCTACACACAAGTAAGGCAACAAATCAAGCAGAAAATATGAGTTTTCTTTCTTATTTTGAACTGTCGATGAGTGCCTCAAACTCTAGAATGGTTTGAATCAAACTTCTAGAATGATAAAGTTAAGTATATTTGAACAAAAGTAGCAGAATGATCTCAATGAACCTTAAGTGGCTCGTTCATGCTTGTCAGTTTTCAAGACGAGATTTTCGGTTGAAAGGTTGCTTTTCTTGGCCGCATTAGTAAAGAGACACATGGCTGGGTATTGGTTTTCGCAAAGTAGCAAGGGCTGATTGAAGACAACCTGTCGTATAACATATGATGAAGCCTCATCACGCAGGAGCTTCCATGGAGAGAGTGACGGATAAGACAGGGAATTTTTAACAACAATCGAGCGAAGTGCCTAGCCTTAATTTTTGCTCTTGATTTGGGTACTCTAGCCTTGCCGAATATTTTTAGCCCTGGATACCTTTTTGTAACACAAAAGAAATCACATGATCGATGACGTCATTTTCCTCGGTCATCAAAATTTTTAATTCTCTTTTTTGAAAAATCGCTCCAACCATCTTCTTTTGCATTGTAATAGGAGCAAAAAGTTCTAAAGAATAAACGTTATCAAACCTGAAAATAATGAGTTATTGCTATTTAAAGTTTGCATGACGTCATCAAAATGGCGGTTCTGCAATTTTCAAGCACGTGGAATTCAAAAGCGTGTAATTTAGGTTGCTTATCTCGATTTTGAAGTTTTTTGACCTTCGTGTTATTCAGCAACTCAAGAATATCATTTTAGCTGATATATTTGCCCGTCTGGGAAACTAAGTATTGACGATGCTAGTGTTGGGGAATATACAAGTACATACTTAGCTCATGTACTTGTACTGGGCTGCCAGAGGTGGTCGGCAGTGGACAGTAAAACTTGTTTTCTTTGCAAGGATAAAGACCACAAACCCCATCTAGAAATCAAGCTCTGTTCAATTGTTTAGGAAGAAATCTATGCGCGATTTAGTGATAGTCAATACTACTTTTTATGTGCTTTGGCGTAATGAAAGCATCTGTGGCTCTAAGCTAAAACTGCTACGGGACTTCTATTCACGGCAAACAAGAAGATCACATTTGAGTGGTGTAGAGCATGTCAAACACAATGGAAAAAGATGAAAATAAGAATTATTTTTCTTGTTAGCAAGGCTGAAAGTACCCAAATCAAGAGCAAAAACTAAAGTTAGGCACTTTGCTCGATTGTTGTTATAAATTCTCTGTCTAGATTATCTCCTTTGCTGACAAAGTGGGCGAGCCTAACAAGTATACCGACATGTCTGAAAACATCTCGATAAAGCTCCCTTACGTGGCAGAAAACTTCACGTTTCCACAATGGATACTTCGTCGAGGAGGGTGTCACACCCCTCCCTTACATCCCATCCTAGTGTCATTATGCAAAGACTTGTCTCCATTTCAATCCTATCATTCACTGTCTGCGATCCAAGTTGCTTTAGAATTATCACTGGCAGAGCAGAGGCATTGATATACAGAACAGCAAATGTGTCAATGTCTGGTTGGATCAGAATTTCGAGATTGTTGCATAATGTGTAGGTAATGCGCAATCCCAGCAAAACCAAAGACAAACTAAAGAAACTGCAAAATCGTGTAACCAGAATTATAACCATTAGCACATACACCACTTCTGTTCTTCCAACTCAATAACCAATAAGACACTTATTTGGGAGGATGTTTGTTAACATACACTAAACCAAATTTTTTAAAGCTTACATTATAAATCTAGAAAATCGTCTCTTTTTTGATACTTTTTCTTCTGGTCAGCACATTGCATTAGCTAGCTGGAAAGCATATATTTTTAGGGTTAATCCAATCGTTTTTCTTTGTTTTCATTGACGAAAAGCAAATATCAAAATTACATTTCAATAGAACAGAAGCTGCTTTTAGATAGTGATGAGTTCATCCCCATTTCCTTAACTTCAAACCAAATCAAGATTTTTACCTTTCTTGCTAATACAGTAATGTTTGGTGAAGTTCTGAAGTCCTTGTGGACCACTATGATTTCTAAAACATGCAACCTTGATAAGTCTAGGTAGAGAGCAGCATTTAACATGTATGCGAACAGTTGCCATTTTTTTAGAAAATGATTTACAGAATTTAAACCTGTTTTGGTATCACGTGTTCCTTCAAGCACATCAGAGCTATGGAATAGAAACTATTGAACTGAATTTCAAGCTTATGCGTTACCTTCCATTCTACAAAGAAGATTAATCTTTATTGAGTTATTCTGAGCACATCAATTCTATGCAAATTTCAGTTACAAACTACGAATTCAATTGTTCATAAAGGAAACGGTAATACTCTAGCTTTTTTCAATTAGACTTAACAGGTTCAACTCAATACAATGGGAAACCTAAAAAGTTTCCCAACTCTTGTGATAATGCTGGTATAAAGCACGTTCACATTTTTACATTTGTGAGGTAAGTGGATACTGTAAGTTCACTCTTTTGGTAGATATAGTGAACTCTGAACAAGTAACAGCTTGATGTTTTCAAGTTTCATGCAGAGTTAACTTTTGAAGATTATCCAATGCTATGAAAAACGACGAGCCGACCAGCTTGAACGCGAATAATAACGAAGAAAATGCACTAGATTCTGTATTCACCGTTATTTATCTAAATACAGAGTTATTAACAGGAATATTTACATATTGCATCACTGCATACTATTAACAAAAGCTGCTAACAGATTAAAAGTTCAGAAGCATGACCAGATTTCTTCTGAATTCAGAAGCTAGCTCTAGTTGACAAAGAGAGGGAGCTTCCTCCAAAGCAACAGCGGATTGTATCATAATTGATTTTGAGAAATGCGACCACTTAATCTTGTCAACAGTCTTGTAAAGCAATCTTGTAAAGCAAACAGCAAAGTAAAGCAATCTTTTGAGTTTCAAGAAACGTGCAAATCAAGTAAAATCAATAACAGTTAAACTACATCTGATCCATTGGGTTTTCGAAACTTTATTCCTAGTCTTTTGTCAGAATGATTAATAAGATCGAATTTTCAAGTCACATACACGTGAACCTCTTGTACACGCGAACGTCATGTACACGTGATGTATCTGCTGTAAAAGGTTTAAAGATTCCCCTAACCAAAACAATTGATATTGAATTCCCTTTTCACTGGGAATGCCCTTTCATGGGGTTGAGAAAATAATATTTCATATGTGTGCTGTATTGTTAATCAAAAGAGCAAAAATGATCTCAAAGGTTTTATTTTATGTGAATCCGATATTTATCTTTACGAAAAGCTTGTTAGATTACTTGAACAAGGTAAAGATATCCTTAGAGACGTATATACACAATATTTATACACGAACTATTGTAAATGTCTACTGCTAAGTCTTAAATTAGATTTAAAAGAGGCTCTGGTCTACGTACTTCTAGCTACTAACATTACAGCAATCTATCAGCATCGCACCATATATAGACTTAGGCCATAGGAAATTCTGAAACTGCGCCGGGATTATGTTTAAATATCTTTAGTGAAAGATTTTGAGCCGTAGATAATCCTTGTTATGAAATTAGAGACTGGATAAGAGGCATCTTTATATCCATGCATTATTAAGAGCTTTAGAATATGGCAGTATCATGTGGCTACGATTTTCCTATACGTTTGTGAATGGCTAATTGCGCTTTAAAATTTTGATGTGGAATTAATCTTCACGTAAACCAGGCTATTAATATTGTAACAAAACAATGCTGAAAACTACCACATCAAAAGAAAACGTTTGATCGTTTTAATGAGTTATGTTGAATTAATTAGATTCTTTAAAAATAAATCAATATTTTGCGAGCAGAGATTATTCTATGGACGAATGAAACCGAAATACTTATCTTGTCATTAAAACAATACCTCAATTCATGGAAAATTAGTTATTCTTAAACTTTGCTTAAGTCCTATAACACCGTTTCAAAGGATCACATGGATTCTCATGGATTGTTAACAAACGCATTTGAGCTACTAGCTTGCCTTATATTCTGAAAATTTTCCTTAGCACCGTTGCTAACTTTTGAATAACAACATTTGATAAATACAGACAAAGCCTCTAACTTGCAGTTTGGAAACAGCAAATTATGAAAATGCGATCTTGTGTTCATTATACTATTCAAGATATGATTATTCTGCAGTCATACTGGATGGCTTCAATTTAGGCAAACAAGGCATTTGAAGTTTTCGGTTTCGTTGGTTTAAAAACCTGCCAGCATTCAAGTTAGATATGCAAGCTGATTTCCTTCAGGAACACCGACCAACGTTATCTATCGTTTGGGAACTCTCTCTCATGCCCAACTGCCAGAAAATAGTACGCATTAAATATTAACGCTTACGGCATTTAAGCTGCATCAAATTTGCAAACAACTTCGAACCGTCCCATTTTTTCAAATCTTTTTGTTTTCAAATTGTTCCCTTTTCCATCGTTCTGGCGTGAATGCAAAGCTGACGTGCGTTGCAAAAGTATGTCTCTAATGCTACAACACATCACTTTAGAAAGGGCTTGTCTATGATGCCTTGAACTCATCGACATCGAATCAGCGTCTTCCAAACTGCTCATACGGCTCAAGTGACGAGCGTGCATAGCTCTACGTCTTGGCCTCCATGGTTAGCATTCGAATCTCTACCATTTTGCACGCTTTTCTCTCTCTGATACATCGTTGCATAGCGTCTTCTTTGCATATAGTCACGAGTCTTGCCACAATTCAGGAGCTCATTCCAGAGATCTTTGAACGATTCACGAAATTTAGAATTGAAGGCGTTATAGATTATTGGATTCATGCATGAGTTGGCAAATAAGAGCAAGTAAGACAGTGTAGAGACTTCAGCTTGGTGGGGAAATGCTTTACTTTTGGAAAACTCTAGATATAAACCAACAACATGATAAGGCAAGACACAGCACGCAAACGTTACCGTTACTACAACGACCATTGTCAATACTTTTGTGTTCTCCTTCTGTTTCTGTTTCTGCGTTAGCGTTGCATCACCTTTGGGGTTGCCGCTCAGCTCAACGGCAATCAGGATGTAAGCAAACAGAATAAGCATTAACGGAAATATGTACTGGCTGACGAAGATAGCAATAGTGTAGTTCCGTTTGCCTTGAGGCGTGCTAACTTCGATGCAAGCTTGTTGGCTAGGGTCATAGTTCAGGCGTATGATATAGGGGACTACAAAACTGAAGCTAATCAGCCATAAGAAACATATGAGGATCTTTGCTTGTTTAGTTGACATTTGGCGGCGGAAAGGATGACGTATAGCCCAGTACCTTGTGAGGCTCATTGCGACGAGTGTATAAACTGAGGCATAGATCGTCATTGTTTGCAAAGGGTACAACATATGACAAAATACCCTCCCATACAGCCAAACACCTTTTAAAATCAGAGGAATCTCAACAGGTATACAGATGAGAGTCACTGCTAGATCAGCAATTGCAAGGTTTACAATAAGCCAGTTAGTTACTGTCTGCATGCGTCTTTTCCGGGAAACAACAAGTATAACAACGATATTGCCAATGGAGCTGAGAAAGAATACGATGCAGTAGACTGTTATTTCTGCAATGATAAGGTTTTTCGATTTCCCCTCAACTGCAAAGTTATGGCTGCTGTTTGATACATTGTTTGCTTGTGACGTAGGAGACAACGTTGTGTTTTCCATTGCGATTAGAATCTAGAATCAAAAGAAATAAAGGTTATGTTGATTTGACCTTCACGGTGGAAATGATTTTTCACGCATTTTACTTGAAGACCCAAAATTTAAAGAAAAAAACTACCAATGTACGGCCGCATAGTAAAATAATCATAAAACTTTAATGCAAAACATAACCTTAAAGAAAATGGTTACACTTTCAATACTGGGTTGAGCCTGTTCAATTAAGGAAAGAGCGATACCAGAAAAGAATATGAAGGTCAAACGTTGTGAACGAGCACCTGTGTCTCGGAAAAATGACTGTGGAAATTCTCACCAATAACCGATTGCACAAGACAACGGTTTCTTATCTGTCAAGCTCTTACACATTTAATTTATCATTGAGTCCAAATGTTGAACTTTTTACGGATAATGGTAAGCAATAATTTCATTTATCAATCACATTGTGCGTTATACTATCTTACCTTCCTTACTTCAATAGCATTTTCTTTAAGTACGGTTGTATTTACGCATTCCTCAAGTTGGGAGACATCCAACACTACGTCCAGTAGCAAAACCCTTCCAACATATTATCCTTATATTTTTCCCACACTGACACTAGACTATTTTGCTATCAAAAGCATCATTTATCTGATAGCAATATGCCAAATGCTCTAGTCAACCTTGGCAAGCAGCTCGCTTTCCTTTGAACTTTTCAGTTACAAATGGCGCATTCTCGTAGCTATGTCTTGATCGCACTTTCGCTACATTCGCAGCTTTCAAATGGAAAACACTCCGAACAGTAACAAAAGCCTTAAAAGATTAGAAATGTTGCATAACAGTTGAAGGTCGATTCATGACTCAATGTATACTTACAGAAAAATCTACTGTCGTCTCTGCTTGAGAAGTATCAAGAGAAATTAGTGGTTTACAACACAAAAGATCTTTCTTGAGGCAATTTGAGAGCTGCTTAGAAGCTGTTTAAGAGTGCGAGTACAAAACGATGTATTTATAATCCCGACTCATTTTGACAATGATAAATTTATGAAGAATTATTGTTCGTCATGATGCTGCTTTCTCCTTTCACGACAGCGCTTTTGGCATAGTTTTCTGACTTCATGTTTTGTGATTTCTAGAAGTGCGCGTTACTTTGTAGGCTTTGATTGTTTGCTAGTCAAAGCATTTAATGAGGTTTCTTTAGCTCAGCTGACAAGCAGAAAAATGAATAGAAAATCTAAATAAGAAAGAGACTCTAAAAATTAAAAAGGAAAGTTTATGCTAGAGAGATCTTGAGGTGTGCATAACAAAGAAAATTTAATATTGTGACGACAATAAACAAGATTCAAGGAATCAATGAATAAATTTTTAACTGAATTTATGTAGTTGTCATAAGTTCAAAAGAAGAGTACCAAATGGAAAGAAAGCAAGCCAGAAGTTAGTAGCCTTATTTGCATCTAAGAGATTGAATTTACTAGCTATTTGAAAAAAAACGGAAAAATCAAAAACATAACTTCAAAAAAAAAGTTTATACTTAATTGTAAAGTTAACACCTAATTGAAATTTAACGTTTTTTCAGCATTTGGAACTATGTAATATTTAATCAATCCTATTAAGAACACGACTAAGTAAATATGGAGCGTGCAGCTTTGTTAGACTTGTTTGATGGATACCGTGACAAAGCTTTATACAACTTTCCTTTTAATACTATATACAGAATAGTGTTTGTATTTGCTACTAACTCTCATATTTCTTCTTTTACTCTTTTACTTCCCTCTTTTTCTATACAATTTCAGGTTTTGCAGAATTATACACAATTTGAAAGAAATTTCTTGCCTAGCAATGAAAGTTCTATTAAATTGTGTTTTTGAACCTCAGCAAACTACTGGGAAATTTGGGTCAACTGTGAAGACTTGGTGTGTAGATAGAGAGATATAATTTTTTTTATGTTTTTCATAGCAAATAACTTCCTGAAAAATCGCATGTAAGCACAGGGCTGCATGGTTGTTTTTTTTCATTTGAATTCTGTTTTGAGAAACCTAGATAATAAAAGTTCTCAATTGACGGCGTTTTCAATAGGTTTTTTGAATGTCGAAATGACGTTAAACTACACTAGGTGAGCAAAAGTATTACACCACTTCGACGAATGAATAATGGCGTCAGCGTTGTGAACAACATCCCCTTCAAAATTCAAACCACTTTTGTGATACCATTAAGCATCATTCCATGATTAAACCTCAATCAAACAAAACTTCAAACCTTTTGCAACCCATTATATCTTAATTTTGTGAAAAATATCTTTTAAAATGTCAAATAGTTAAATCTTACATTGGACAGTCTCAATTCTTTGAAAACCTTGGCTTGAAAAATTCAATCAAAAACATTTACAATTGGTCACTTTTAAACGCCAAAATAATTCTTAAGTAAACTTTGGCAAGATCACATTTAGATAATGGAGATCCCAGAAGATCATTATTGGCCTTGAATTTAGCGAAAAGTGACACAGCCGTTTTTAATGATGACGTTTCAGGCATTTGCGTGTCACTGCTTACGACTGTTCATCGCAGAAATTTTTGTATTTTCATTCAACGAGGAGCTAAAATGCTGTTTTGAGCAATTTACAGTATTATTTGTTCTCTAAACATCGCAATTGGGAAAGATGAAATTAAAGGCTACTGAAATGTTTTATCGATTTAATTCTGTTGCAACATGTTACGAAATGGTATCCGAAATCAGGCCCTTTTCAGTACGAAGAACATGCAACCAAGACTTACTTTAAAAACTCGGGAAAATTAACAGTTTCGGGCACCCAAGCGAAAAGTAAGTAATTAAGAGTTCGCCTTACTGAAATTTGCAGTTTAGGGCAGGTCATTTTAACATCAAAGAGTGATTTTGCATTTTTCATTTTCATTGTTTTACTTTGATAAATTTTCCATTAACTTCAATTCTAACTATCATCTTAAAACTTTTATTTACCTGCAGTAGCTACTTGAATTTCATTTTGCTATAGAGAGTTCGCGGCGCTGCTGCCATTTTTGGCAGATTGTGCAATACATTTGCTCACAAAGTGACCCTTGAAAAGGTCTATGAAAAAGGAACAAAACAGAACTTCGAAATAGAGCTGTATTCTAAGATGTAAGATCGCTGAAAGACTCACAGGGTGCAGGTGTATGCCTAACTAAATGCGCAGGAACTGTCCGTTGCTGTTTCATTCGCCGCAAAAACAAACTTTTTTAAACCTTTCTTGGCTTATTTTTCGAATTTAGGATGTTTTATTTATGAGAATATACCTTCTTTCCAAGCATTTCTTAATTCAAAACGCTTAAAGGGTTCCCACAGCACCTCCAGTGGTAGACGATTCTTCTTTGTTTTTCAGCTGCTGGCTAAAGTGCTTTCACACTCTCACTTTTAAAAAGTCCTTTTCTAGGATTTATACTTTGTTAAAAAATTCCAAAAGCATTTTTCACCACTGTAGGGCAATCCACAGGCTTCAAAAGATGTATTGGTTTTGAGCTTGGGTATTAAACTTGGTGAATTACCAATCGTTGCCAGATAAAGGAAAATTTGTATTTCAAATAAGTAAATCATCAGATGAAGCTATTTCTGGTTTAACATCGCCTAACACGGTTTAACATGGTTTAAAACCCCCCAAAATTTTAACATTGAACCGAAAAGGTTCTGCAACGTGAAAAAATAAACAGAACTCATAAACAGGCTCATAAAACAACAATTTTCTCTTTTATCTTGAAATATTTTCCGAAGGGAATATCTGTTCTTTAAACTTACCAATTATAAAATAAAACCTCGAATATTTGTAGAATTAATTCTAAAGAAGGTTAGTATCAGGTATCAAGAAAAAATTAGGTAGCAAATCTTAATTAGAAAAAGAACTTGAATTGTGTAAATTTGAGCATTTTGCAAACCTGAGAAGATTATCAATTATCAATATTACATATCTTCTAAATGCCGTGTGATTCAATGAAGTGTATTTTCATCACAAAAGAGCTATGGTCATGAATGTTGTTATGATCTTGAATTTTTTAGATGCTGATCAATTTTTGAGGAATAAAACATCAAGAATTGAAAAGATCATCAAGATGCACATGCCACGTAACATGATTAGAATCACAGCGGGCTGTTTATCAAATTTCTATTAGATCCTATTTTATGTCATGCACGCTTTTCCTATTTTGTTAGTCAGCCTCAGCAATAAGCAAGCATAGGCAATCAGTGATATATTATTTCCGAATCGGCGAAAGCAATCCTTAGATTCAATAGAAATGCTTATAGATCTTGTTATCTTATCAAGCACTCTGGGTCATATGGTTTTTTAACAGGTGCTACAGGTAAGCAAATTTTGATTCTTCTAGAATAAGCCATGTTTCGTGAACAGTAAGGAATAAATTGTGACGTGGCTTTCTGATACCAAATGGTCATAAAGCCTTCAAAGCAGATTCTTCTACAAATTCTGTCTTAAGAATTTCTTCCAGCTCAGCTCATTTTTAAATTGAAATTCTTGATTAGATTTCATATAGTATCAGTAGTGTAACGGAGCAGTGTGGGACCCTTATTAAAATTAGTGTTTCGGGGCCCCTACTAAAAGAAGTGTTTTGGGGCCCCTCTGCTTAACTACATTTTAGTCAAATTTAGAGCCCGAAAAACCCTTGAAGAAATAGTACACAACAACATCTGAAGAAGAATTCTGCCGCCTATCATATTTCTTTTGATTCTCATCTAAGTTCTTCCCAGATATTCATGGATCGAATAACAGAGCTATAATGCTTCTAAATGCTTCTAACGTGTTTATTAAAAAATCTAGCACTTAAATTATAGAGACAGATTCATCTTCCTTTATATACTCAAATGAACCACCTTGCCGACATAGCCTAAGCTGCAAATTCAATAGCATCAAGCATCAAGCACATCTTAACAAAGATGACCATTCTCAGTTGGATAACACTTTGGGAGATCTCGCTGGCATGATTTTGCTTGTGTAAAAGGTTCACTCGCCCTTTCATCGTTCCTTTCAGGATATTCAGAAGATTAAGTAAAGACATGGTCCGTGAATTTTTCTTCGTTCTGTTCTCCCTGCGGAGGTTGATTTGAGCTTGGAAAATCTTGGTCTTTTCTTTTTCAAAAAGGGAAAACTTTCTTTGTGTTTCATGCAGCAGCTTTGACTTAACGTTTCAATTCGGCTCTTTTGCTCGCACCGGATTCATAAACACGCATGGCATTGGAAGACATTGTGAAGGGTGCATTAGAGGAAAACCTAAGAACGGATGACTTGCAAGCTTTTTTCATCATTTCATACCACTGCATCGCGGCACAAGAAGACCTTGCTGTTGGTTAAGCCGAAAGCTTAAAAGGATTTTCAATTCACCATAAATCAGTTTAAGCTGGCAACATTTTGCTTCAAACCAGTGCGGCTCTTTCAAATGCAAAGTAAACTGTCTGGTGGCATTTTCTTATATCATATACCTTTTTCTTTGTTGTTATTATTGTGGCTGCACAACATTCAATATCATTATTTGCTTCTCAGCCTGAAATCACAATACCTCGCTATCAAATTTGTCAATGATGCTTTCAATGAACTAGGCAACTTGGAAATTCATCTAACTCTCTAAAACCTCTTCCCAAAGTCCCAAGCTTTGACAAATCTGCCCAAAAAAGATACCGTTATTTCCCTGCTGTTTAGGAAGCAAATCATGTACCAATCGATATTTGATGGAAATTTAGATTTATAGCATAGATGTTAACAGACTAGCCATTGGTACGCTACCTAGCAATAGTAAGTGTATGATTTTAAATCGAAATAGCGATATGAAATGATATTAAGATTCTTATCTTGCAGTACTGAATATTGTAGTACATTTATGATACTATCGGATCCCTGGATTTTACTTCTATGGACTAAATAAATTTTGGTCACAGTTTTTTTTAGTTGTTTAAAGTTGGTACAATTTCAAGCTTTGCATACTCAAGCTAATTAAAACCAACTAACTTAAATTACCAACGCTAATTCTGAGATTTTTTTTCTTGAATATTTGTAAACTAGGGGAGTAATTTATATCTTTTGGAACCGAGTTACACATTTGGCTACATCTGTGTGATACGGTATTAAATCCATATATTCGTTTATGGAAAATATTTCATCCATAAAAGGTGGATTCAAACCGTTAAATGTTTTGTAAGTTTCTATCGCAAGATATTGTAAATTTTTCTCATGAGAAGTTATTGTTTTATTCTTTATCAAAAGTTGTTTGAAAGTTGATTTATAATCATCATGAGCAATTTTCGTTGCTCTTTCATGAATCCGGTTTATCTGGCTATTACTTTTCCTACTGCAAAACATCCAAATAAGAGGACAGTAATTAAGATAATAAAGTTTTCATTAAAAGAGTTCGCTTGAGAAGCAAAGCAACGGATTTGAGTTTACTGGGACAAATGATGGTGTTGT